AGCCCTTATGACACTTCGAACGCGATCTGTTTTCACTACCTACAAGATAGCCGATATGTTGCACTACTCGTGCGCGCTCATCACATATATGATATACTTCCTTAACTGCTTTGTGCCCATCTTCACCAATATGATGAACATTCGTATGCGTTCACAGATGTGGTTGCGATACACCTACGAACGTGCGTTTCTCTTTAGTTTATGTCATACTATTCATGTATCAACTGTTGTTCCACCAACACAAGCACATATATGACATTGAATACGTACCTGTGTGTGTCAACATAACTCACACGCTGTATGCGATGTACATGCCGAAACATCTTCCCATAGACATCATCTTGCATGTGCGACATTTTACAACGCTTAAGACAAGATCAGTGTGTTTGCACAGTCATCAGCAATCCAAGTATCTATTGTGACCTATAACACATTTTACAAATTCTATGTTCTCATCATTAGACGTGAAATACAAGTGTAGAATGTGTAACTACACAACTCACTTGCGAAATTAATACCATGGTTGTAAAATCCAAATCCGGCGTTAAACCTAACTGCCAAAAAACAAACTACGGGAAAATTTTCCCGGGAGAAATTCGAATCAAGCAGTAGTGCTAATTCATCTGAGCCTGATACTAGTAAAGTAAAATTATCAATTGACAATCAACCTTATTTTCACAAGTATCGACAACCTCGTTCTCTCGCCAGTCGAAAGTCTCAACGAGATCCTGTAAGCTAGTCATCGTTGACTTCTCTTTATCCAACCCAAACTCCTAATTCATCCTCAGATACATATCTGTCTTTATTACCGAGTCTAAATATAACAGAACAAATAAACGAAGAATCTGCTATCCAAGCACCTATGTATTCCAAAAGTTCGCCTTCAACAGCATGGTTTCAGGGGAACTACGCGTGGGTAATATGGTATGGGCTAAACTAGCTGGTTGTCCGTATTGGTCATCCCGTTTTTATGCTATTTGGGCTCGCACTGCCTATCAACTTTCTCAAGCCACACTACTCCCAACTTCGCAGTCATTGGAAAACAATGCATCATCTTTGGCTGTCCTTGCAACTCCCTCGGATCCAAGTTAAGCGACTGGTCAGATTTCGGCACCACCAAGTACTGATAGCCAGTGGTCATCTATGAGAACTCTTTCATCTTCTCTAGAAATTCCGTTGCTCTCACCTGTGTTCCCCTTCTTCTCCTCTGGATTCATGATAAGTCACCGTGATTTTAGTACTTTCGATCACGGTGCAGAGTCTATGAGACGACAGGATTACCAATAGCGAAACCACAGACCTCAACCATAATCTGCCAAGTATTCCTTCCCTGAATAGACCTGTTTAATATTCCAGTGTCAGTGGGTAGCTTACTCGAAGGTAGGGCTCTCTTCGACAAACAACTGAGGTGTAAACACTGTACAATCCTTCTCTTAAGGGAAAATCCCTTCGCTAAATGTAGCTTGAAACTCGACTTAGTCATTGAGATGTCCACCAAACCCTCGTTTAAACCCATTTGTTTCAAAATCTGATAACTGGTTCTGAACTGCCGAATTTATATGGATCCTTTAAAATTCATAAACCGAATAATCCACTGAGACCTATATTATATATCTGCGGCTCACCTACACATAAGCTGGCCAAATGGTTAGCTAAATACTTGACCCAATTCGTAATAAATTATGTAAGTTTTCCCTGAAAGACACATTTGAACTAATTGATATTCTTGATGACATTGATATTAAAGAGAAGACTATGCATTTTTTTGGTGTAAACTCTCTTTTTACCATTGTTCCCTTGATGAAAACTGTTAACTTTCTTTGTGACTATATATAAGTAATTTCCCTATTTTTCCCGTTCGGTCAACTCTACTAAGATAATTAATTTTATTATGTACTGAGAAAGTTCATTTCCAGTTTGGTAATGAACATTTCCAGCAAGTTGATGGAGTTGCTACAGGTAGTCCTTTGGGACCTCTCTTAACTAATTTTTATATGGCATATGCTGAAAATTTATGGAATGATCAAACAATAAGCTTGCTCTGTATAGGAGATATATGGATGATATTTGAATTATATGTGATAAAGAACTCAATGTCTCTCTGTTACGGGACAAATTCAATAGTCTTCAGAATGACATTGTACTAACTCATGAACCAAATAGCCTGTTTTAGACATACTGCTGAGTCGAAGTAGGAATGGACTTATAAAGTGTTCTATTTATAGAAAACCAACCTGGACTGGACAGTTTCTAAATTTCAGCAGATTTTGTCCACTGCAATAATAGCGAGGTTTGGTAAAATGCCTCTTCAAAAGGGTTCAAAGGATTTGCACAACGGATATATTTGAGGACGATGTGAAATTCCTAACTGAAGCATTGATTTCAAGTGGCTATCCGCTAAAGTTCATCAGTAGGTGTAGAAATCAGTGAAGAAAAAAGCAAGTTTTTCATTCGGCTGAGATGAAAAAGGTTTATATCACTTTACCATATAGAGGTGAAGCGAATGATCTGATATTAAGACGGAGACTAGAAGCAGCCATCGAGAAAAGACTAAGCCCATCATTTCACGTAGGACTGAACGTCACTTCCCAATGTATTTATCAATTTACATGTTTGTATGGACACAGGTACATAGAGAGGGGTAATCGTACTTTGCGATCAAGGGTTATGGAACCCGTACCTAAGTGGCTACAAAATCAGTTACCTTCAGATGTGCGTTGGAAAAAGGAAACTATGTTAATCGACCGCCAAACACATAATTGAGACAGGGCGTAAGATTGACATCAAGACAGCCTTCAAAACATTGTATAGATGTTGAAGGACGAATTTTGAGGTTTATGGAGGCCTTGGCTATTAGAAAATTAAAACCCTCCCTATGTGTGCAGAATCAATTTGACATAATCTTGAATTTACTCTGGTAATCTTTAAGATTGGGGTAATGTGACAATTTCCTACCCTTTCTTATTCTTTTCATATTACGTTAAATTTCTCTCTCCTTTATTTACAATTATCACCTTAGGTCTGTTTGAACACTTCTTTAATTGAACTTTTATTAATCTTCATGTAATATGCCTTGACAAGTAAATACGTGTGACCGAAATTGTTCCAAGTTTATAGCGCAAATACATCATATTTTTAGAAACAATTACTTCTTCTTACTGTTTTATCAAAATCTATGTGCTTTTAGTTGGATATGAAGATCATAACCATCAATAAAACATGAGTACCCCATAACATTACAGACAATGAAGTGAGCTTGCAAGGAATCACACTCCTACGATGCGATAGGGTGCGCAAGACAGGTGGCAGAGTGGCTACATATGTTTACAGACATTTCAAATCCAAAACACTACACGGTATCCAACTTACCGATGTGACTCAGTCATGCTGGTGTTGCTTAAACAGAAGCCCCAATTTACCAGTGTGTGACTTGTTCAGGCATTCACTAGAATTACACCAAATCCCAGCTGAATGACAACAAGCTACTCACTCTCTGTTCTTTGAAATGAAGATAGAGAGGATCCAGCTTGTTGCAGACCAGTTGCACGACTACCAACACTATCGAAGGTAGTTGAAACACTGATGAATTAAGTATCATAACAACATCTTCCAAGGAGCTCAAAACGGTAATAGGTGCATCCAATATTCGGATGACTTGGGACAGCCGAAAAACCCACTGGTATCAAAAAATACAGGTTGATGTGACATTCCTTGACTTTGAAACGTTTTCGAAAATGTGCTTCACTGATCCGCTTCTATCATGGCTAGGAAACTACCTTGTTAATAGAAAATTCCCACCATGTTTGGTGTAGTGCACGTGAACTGGAGAGTTTTAGCATCAAGAGTTTGACAAGAGACCACCTTGGGTTCACCTCTCTTCCTTACATTCATTAGTGACTTGTTAAATAGAAGTAGCTCGGAAGCAATGCTCTACTGCGATAGTGAGAATTTCTGGAGGTCTATAAGAAGCGAAGAAGATTCAACTGAGCTTCAAAAAGACCTTACATCAGTTGAAGAATGGGCAGCCGAACATAGGTCAAAACTAAACCAGTAGAAATTTCACGTCATGAACATTCTGCCCCATGTGGCACCAACAAATAACGTCCTCAATGGAAGTCCGCACCATAATGTCTCCACAGGAAGCGTTCTCGGTCTAAAAGGTGTTGAAAGCCTACAAACGAGCTCAGACTAAATAGGAAACGCAGCCAACGGTAGAGAAATTCATCTTCTTATGCGAAAACAATATACGTAATCTCTTTAATATAACTTCCAACAAACACACCCACAATTCTGTCTCAACTCCTCTCCTTAAAAAGGACTTACAATATACCAAGTATGTCGAATCATCTCAACTTAAACATTTTGTCAAAGCTGACAAACACGTTCTCGCATACGGATTGTTGTGCGCAAGGAAATGAATTGGTTTTTAACGAGCTCGTCTATCAAGTCCCCACGCCTGATAGCTGTAACACTCAGGAACCGGGAAGACGTGACCGAAACACTACAAGCTTGGTACAGTTCGAAGAACGATCTACCTAGCCACATCAGATGTTGTGAGAGCCGACCTAGATCTGTGAGAAAACAACAGGGAGGCCAAAATGAACGCACACAGCTGATAGTTAAACTCGGTCAACTACCTCTGGCACAAGATATGAGTGAACCAACCGCGCAGGCAAAAAACCTGCAGAGGCCAGTTCCCACAGAATTGGCCGACTCGGTTTAAATAACTTGTCTGAAAACCCAACAAAGGCTGATGCTGCAAATGTGCACCAGGTTCAGAGACAAACCACCAAGTGCCTCTATGGCAACGTAAGAGGACTAAGGGGTAGGCTGTTAGAAATCAGGGATATTTGGCCTCAGATGGATCTGAAGATCACAATCCTAACTGAAACATGGCTATCCCCTGACATTGCAGACGCAGAAGTAAGCTTGCCAGGCATGACACTCTTCCGAAGCGATAGGGAACACCAAACTGGAGGTGGAGTGGCTATATATGTAAATAGCCACTTAAAAGCAGAGCGGCTATACAACACCCAACTAACTGAGGTGACAGAATCATGTTGGTGTTGGTTCCACTCAAATGGCACGAAATACTTGATTGGAGGGATCTACCGACCTCCTTCGGGTACTAGGGCCTAGAAAAGCAAACTGGTTGAGGTAATTCTGCAACTGCCACTCCTGGGGTTTGATCAAATACTCTTAGTCGGAGACTTCAATACCCCATCTTTAAATCTCAGCAATCAGAGTAAAACTCCCACTGGTTGGTTCCAAAGACAAGTTGGTACAGCCATTAGAAGCTCTGGCATGACTGAGCACGTACGCAGCGCCACTAGGTGGACTAAGGAAGGGAAGCCCTCAAACCTAGATTATCTGTTAACGAACGACCAGCTCCTGGTTGAGGATGTTCACATCCGCGCTCCAATAGGTAGTAGTGACCATGGCACAGTCCTGTTTAACATGGTCACAAACGAAATGCTGACACCGGACGGTAACGAGCCTTTCCTTTGCTACAGTAGGGCAAACTACACACGCATGAGAGAGGTGCTCCTACATGCCCCATGGCCACGGGAGTGGCGGAGGCTGACAGTAGATGATCACTGGCAAGCAGTGAGAGATATCATCCAAAACGCTGTCGTAGACAACGTACCTCAATCACACCCAAAACGCCAGAACAGAAGAACCTGGGTTAGGCGCGGCACGGAACGCTTGCTACAGGCGAAGAGGAAAGCCTGGCACAAGTGGAAGGTCTCCTTGAAGGATTCCGATCGCAGTTCTTACTTGGCATTGAGAAACAGATGCAATACCAAAGTTCGAAGCGACAGGAGACAATTCCAGACGATACTAGCCGCCAGAATAGAGGCATACCCGAAACATCTGTTTAGGTTCATGTCCAAAAGAAAACCTACTAATCAAGGGTTGTGCCCCCTAAAAGGGACTAACGGAGAAGACCTCACCAACCTAGAGATGGCCGAGATCTTCAACACCCATTTTTCTGATCAATTAAACCAGGCGCCTACATGTTCAGAGTATTACGCCAATCCAATGCCAGCTGACGGCTTAGGGAACATCCGTATCACTCCTGACCTAGTATTAAGGCAACTAAAATCCTTACGCCCAAGTAAGTCACCAGGTTGTGACAAAATCCGCCCTATAGTCTTGCAACAGTGCGCTGAAGCCCTCTGTTCACCGTTATGCAACCTGTTCAGGCATTCACTGGAGTCACACCAATTCCCAGCGGAATGGAAACAAGCTACTCTCTCTCCAATCTTCAAAGGAGGAGATAGAAAGGACCCGGCCTGTTACAGACCTGTCGCACTACTACCTATATTATCAAAGGTTATGGAAGAGCTAGTGGACGAACAAATGAGGGAGTACATGGATAAGAATAAAATACTCCATGAAGCTCAACACGGGTTTCGGGAAGGCAGGTCGTGTGCATCTAACCTTCTCATCGCATGGGACAGTTGGACATCCTGCTTGGACCGTAAAATACCAGTGCACGTAGTATTTCTCGACTTTGCAAAAGCCTTTGACACAGTGCCCCACGCACGCCTAATCGAAAAGGTTGTGGAAATGGGCTTCACTGACCCACTCGTATCTTGGCTCAGAAACTACCTTGAGAATAGCAAGTTTCGCACCAAGGTAAACGGGGTGCACGCGAGTTCAAGAGTATCCACTTCAGGAGTTTCACAGGGGACCATCCTAGGCCCACTTCTCTTCCTGATATTCATTAACGACCTGTTAGGCTCAGTTAGCTCACCGGCATCGATCTACGCAGACGATGCGAAGATCTGGAGGTCCATTAGAAGCGAAGAGGATTCGACTGAGCTTCAAAAGGACCTTACATCTATTGAGAAATGGGCAGTGAAAAACGGTTTAAAACTCAACCAACCGAAGTGCCACGTCATGCATTTCCTGCCTCATATGACGCAAACCACCTACACTCTCAATGGAAGTCCGCTCCCTAATGTCTCCTCAGAGCGCGATCTTGGTTTAATAACCACAGAAAGCCTCCACACGAGTCCGAACTATGTAGGGGATGCAGCCAAGGCAAATGCGACTCTTCACTTTATGAGAAGACAGCTTGTTGCTATCACCCCTCGAAAGATTGCACATCAAAGAGCAAATACTCAGATTCGTGCACAGTTTTTCTCATTGCGAGTCGTCGCAACTTGGAATGCTGTCCCAGCCGAGGTAGTTACAGCCCCCTCAGTGGACTGCTTTAAGAAGAGACTTGATAATCACGTACTCACATACGGACTATCATCTCCCTCTTGGACAAGATATGCCTGATGCATATCTTGACACCTTCTAGTTGTTACCATTGCCATCTCCTCAGATCACTCAATTAATCTATCTAGCCTATTCCTCTCCCTTGCTTACACTTCGGTCCTCTCTCACAATTCTCACTACCAATTAATAAACTAAATTCATCTATATATTACTCAGTTCTGAAATTTTACTCACATTATCATTTTAATTTACCCTTAATACCCTTATTACTCTCCACATTGCAACTAACTGATCTCCGGTTTGGTAATGTGACGGCTGCTAGTATCCAGAAATCCTACTGCCCTGAAACAAACGTTTCATTCAAATCCCGAGACATACAAACTCACAACCAACTGCCAACTGACTAGAATTAGACAGTCGAGTGACTAGACCTCCATCCATTGGACATTACCGAACACCTGGAACTGCACCGATAGAACAAGAATCGAGCACGAAGAAATCAAATTTGTTTACACTAGCTCGTGAAAAAGATATTGGATATTGGGTTCGCCAAGGTCCTTCACCTCGAGACTTTCTGCGGCTTTATCAAATAACAAGTTTGTTGCCTGATTTCTAGGCAGCAGTTCAACGAAATGTTCTAGGCCCCTTGAGAGGCTGCTTTTAGTGATGTTTTACCCACTTTTTATATTCATCTCAAAATTTAACTGGAGTAGCATTCTCTTGTGTCTAAACCTGTGGATGTACTCATTTTCTGTAAGATTACATCAACGATAATGGGACTGTGAATTAAATTTCAATAATTTCTTCAGTAGCTGCGATATTCTTTATTCGAGTGTACGGACAGCGTTACATCTTATAAAGTATTAACGCTTGTTCACTAACTGCTAAACTGGAGTTTGGTAGTTAGTCGATTCTCACATCCCCTAAGAGATTCAAACATTTAGCGTTTATGTGATTAACATTTCAGTGGGCATATATTTCGATCTAGAGAAAAAAGTATAGCTGGTCAGTTATGGGCTAAAACGATAGTACGCAGATATATCTACCAATTCTCACGACAGTAAGATTTGTGACCGTATTTTCTTGATTGTTTGGGATTCCTAAGCGCATTAGCATCTCCATTCTCTGAGTACATTTTGTTGTTCAGACCGTAGATTTCTGATAAAGTGGTTTTCAACAAAGTGAGTAATATATCAAAAGCGTTTGTTTTTTCAATAGCTGTGAAAACTGCCAAAAAATGAAGTAGATAGTTTATAGGAAGACATATATAAGTGATGCCTATAAATATCAGTTCAAAATTTACTGATACATGATGACCAGGAAGGACAGAAACACTAAGGATGTATGATTCAAAATTATTCTGTATAATTCGGAAACCAAATAAATCTTTGACTATATAATAGTTTTTCTTTTCGCTGTAACAAAAAACCAACACAAATAAACAAACTCAAAGCCTTGGTCTTTTCTCCCAATTTATCCGTACTTTTTTAGGCGTAGTGTTCGCTGTTGTTTTGTTATTAGCGGTAAACCTAAACAAGTTTTGACCTATTAGTTTTGTCCCTTCCTACTGATAATATACAGGTAATGTCTATTCATCCTTTCTATCGAAAAGCTTTCTTTTTGGTGATTAAAAATAAGCTTGTAATATTATAAATCCTGAATTTTGTTTAACGGTTTTTCGAATTTCAGATGACCGATAGTCGTTTTCCACTTGATAAAAGGATCGTTTACATCTCTCCTGAAGAGCTTTCGAATCTTACGACAGACGGACCAGTTTATGTACTATCAACTGCGGAAAATCCAGAACGTAACCCTTCAACAAGTAGTTCAACGCAGCTTGCTTCAATCAGCCAAAATCCATCCTCAATTGCTTGTTCAACGTTTGGTATAACTTCAACTTCATCATGCAGCAGCTCGAATTTGTTTACTAACACAGTCTCATATCCAGTTCCTTATCACACCAACATTCTATATCCTCCTCCTGTGGTTCCGACAAACTTTGTTTCTCCCTATGGGTTCTATCCTTTTCAAATTCAACCTTTTGTCGGTTCACCACGAGTTTCGTGGATTACACCTGGTTTCCAGAATCATGCTTTGTATCCTTCAAGTGCTAATGTATTCCCATCGTCTGGTCACTACATTCACCCCTACCAAAATTTCCATACTTTCCAATCCAATGTTCCGTCTACTTCATACTTTCAAACCTTCAATCCTTACAAACCCCCTCCGACTTTCAGTTTGCCACAACTAACTACGAAGTGCAGCAACACTGTTCTGGTTCATGATTCTACTTCAGTTGTCACTCCCAATAATACCGTTACAAGTATTGCAAGCACTATGAATACTAATTATACCAAACATCCTTGTCCATCCAATCGACCAAACGAAGAAAATAGGTATGCATACTTATTTTATATTAGAATTTAGAAAAACTACTAGATCTTACCAATCAGCTGACTGGTGATTTACTTCGCTTGGTTATTTATTACATCACCTCTTTTGTAAAGCCTATTTATTACTTGTTTGATCCATGATCTTCCGTTAGCATAAGACAAATCACATTCGAATTTTTCCCTTAATGAAACATTGTAACGAGACCGGGTGGTAGCTCAGAGTTCCCCACCTTAGCTGTTACCGTGATATGGTGGTCGGGCTTGCCCATCGTGATGACCCAATAGCTATTTTGGCTGGAAAATCTGTTCCTTTAGGTTCTACCATACCAAGCAGATCGATTGCAGAACTGTAAAACTAAAAGCAGCAACTCAAGGTCTGCGAGAGAAGTCATACTGCTGACCTGTGGGTAACGAAAGTAAGGTCGATGTAAAAGGCGATTCAGATTTTTTAATGAAACGTACTAGGAATCAGTGAAACTATCTTGGAAAAAGATGGGACTGTTATTCATTCTCAATCCAGAAAATTCAATCCGTGGGCAGAACACTGGTATTCGATTCAACTGGCCTTCAGCCACACTTCGCTTACACTCGACCTCCAGTCATTCTGAATGGTAAATTGATCTAAGTCCTCCAACTCTTAATGAAGTTGAAAAAGCCATAGGCAATCTAAGTCGATAGAGGGTGCAGCAGACCCTAATAGTTTGACGCCTGAGATTTTTATGAAGTTTTACGGTTCGACACTATTATTCAAGAAATAGTATCTAGTGAAATAAGGTTAAAAAGATAAAGTGATGAGGAATTCGGAAGGTTATGATTTGAGAGAACACAAAGAATGAATGCACCTGCATCATTGCAAACGGTTTTGAGCCATGTCATTCAGGATCTGTAACCATCGATTACTATCATCTCGCGGGCCCCAACCAGGTAGTCAACACCCAGCAACATGACTCAGTCCACTTTTCAGTGACTTCATGGATTTGTGCCATGTTTTGGTTTATCCATCCCTAGCTTTCTTCCAACTTACTCCCACATCGCAAAACAGCTCGACCAGGCATTCGGTGGTTAGGCATACGTACCATATGTCCTAACCACCTCAACTGATGAAGTTTCAATACTTCATCTGTTGATCTGCCACCCTTACCTAGGATCCGTTTCCTAACAGTTGCTTCCTAACCCTAACCTGTTGGTCCTAAGTAAGGTAGGTAGGTCCTTACTTACTTACGCCTGTTACTCCCAATGGGCATAGGCCACCGACCAGTTTTCTCCAACCAACTCTGTCCTTCGCTTCCCTTTCTAGTTCTGTCAAATTTTTGTTCATTCCTCTCATATCTTTCTCTATTTCTCGGCGTAATGTGTTCCTTGGCCTTCCTCTTTACCTTTTGCCTTGAGGGTTCCTAGTGAGGGCTTGTCTCGTGACGCATTTAGGTGCTTTTCGTCGTGTGTGTCTTATCCACTTCCTAACTTCTTCCTCCAGTGGAATTTGGTTTGTTTTCTCCCACAGTACATTGTTGCTGATGGTGTCTGGCCAACGAATCCGAAGTATTTTGTGTAGACAACTGTTAATAAGCACTTGTATCTTCTGGATGACGGCTTTCGTAGTTCTCCATACAGTAGAACTGTTATGATATTTGTATTAAAAATCCTGATTTTGGTTTTAGTTGAAAGTTGTTTGGAGTTCCAAATATTTTTCAGTTGTGAAAATGCAGCCCTCGCTTTGCCAATCCGCGCCCTCACATCTGCATCGGATCCACCTTTCTCGTCGATGATGCTGCCCAGATATGTAAAGGTGTTAACGTCCTCCAAGGCATCTCCATCAAGAGTGATTCGGTTGGCGCATGTTGTGTTGCATCGGAGAATTTTGCTTTTTCCTTTATGTATGTTGAGACCTACTGCTACAGAGAGTGCTGCTACACTGGTTGTCTTCTCATGCATTTGTTGTTGCGTGTGCGATAGAAGAGCCAGGTCATCTGCGATGTCCAGATCGTCCAGTTGCGTCCTGGCTGTCCAGCTGATACCGTGCTTCCCTCCAGATGTCGACGTCTTCACAATCCAGTCGATGAATGACCAGGATTCAGAGAAAGGGTGAGAGTAAGCAACCTTGCCTGACACCGGTCTTCACCTCAGAAGAGTCTGTTAGCTGACCTTCGTGTACGATTTTGCAGTTCTATCCATCATAAACATTGCGTAGGTTGTTATCCATCTTCTCTGGCACACTGTAGTGTTGAAGAAGCCTCCACAGTGTTTTCCTTCCCACGCTATCGAATGCTTTCTCGTAGTCGATGAAGTTGGTGTAGAGTGGTGAGTTCCATTCAAATGATTGTTCCACAATGATCCGTAATGTAGCAATTTGGTCAGTACACGAACGATCCTTACGAAATCCGGCCTCTTGATCTCGAAGTTGGACGTCTACGAAGTGCTTCATCCTGTTAAACAGTACTCTGTTGAAGACTTTGCCTGGTATCGAAAGAAGAGTGATCCCTCTGTAGTTCTCACACTTGCTGAGATCGCCTTTCTTTGGTATTTTGATCAGGTATCCTTCTTTCCAATCTGATGGTACTTGTTCCTCATCCCAAATCTTCTTGAAGAGGATGTGAAATATTTTTGCAGTTGCTTCTACATCTGATTTCATTGCCTCTGCTGGAATGTTGTCTGGTCCTGCTGCTTTGCCGCTCTTGATTTGTCTGATGGCCATACTGATCTCTTCTATTGTAGGTGCGCCAATATTAATTGGGAGGTCCGTAGATGCCTCTTCGATGTTGGGTGTGTTCAGTGGAGCTGGTCGATTCAAGAGTTCCTGAAAGTGCTCTACCCACCTATTTCGCTGTTCTTCAGTGTTGCTGATTGCTCTGCCTTCCTTGCTTTTCACTTGTTGTTCTGGTTTACGATAGTTTCCGGCCATCTTCTTTGTTGTTTCGTACAATTGTCTCAAGTTTCCGTATCTTGCAGCCTTTTCGGCCGTCATTGATAGATCTGACACATATTTTCGTTTGTCAGCTCTGATGCTCTTCTTCACTTCCCTGTTTGCTTCTGTGTATGCAACTTGTGCGGCAACTTTCTCTGCTCTTGTCCGGCTGACATTGATTGCTGCCTTCTTGTTCCTCCTTTCTTCAATTTTTGCAACAGTATCAACAGAGATCCATTCTTTGTGATGGTACTTCTTGTGACCGAGAACTTCGTGACATGTTGAAGTGATTGCCTCCTTGATCTCTTTCCAATTGTTCTCCAATGTTGCTTCCTCTCCATTGAGTAGATCCTGCAAGGATTGGAACCTATTGTTGAGGGCCATCTTGAATTCGTTGAGTTTTACGGTATCCCGAAGAAAGGCTGTATTAAACTTGTGTGATGTTGTCTGCCCCGTTATCCAGTGTTTGTTGAGTTTCAGTTTTATTTTAGCAACTAGCAAGTGGTGATCTGAAGCTATATCAGCTCCTCTCTTTGTTATCACATCTTTCATAGTCCTTCTGAACGTTTTGTTGATACAGATATGGTCAATTTTGGTTTTGAGTAGTGTGATCCGGTGAAATCCATGTAGCTTTGTGAATGCGTTTGTCTGGGAATATTGTTCCGTTGATGACCAGTTTGTTGAAGGCACATAGGTTTGCAAATCTCTCACCGTTTTCGTTCCTTTCTCCCAGTCCATGTAGTCCCATGATGTCCTCATATCCAGTGTTGTCCATGCCAACCTTGCCATTTAGGTCTCCCATAAGAATCGTCAAATCCTTTGGTGAACATTTATCGACGATTGACTGCAGGCTTTCGTAGAATTAATCTTTAAGGTAGTCATTGTAGTCATTGGTAGGTGCATAACATTGGATGACGTTCATTGTAATGTCCGCTTTCTTTGTTTTGAAGGATGCTTTAATGATTCTGGGTCCACGAGATTCCCATCCTATCAGTGCGTTTTGTGCTTGTTTGGACAGCATCAGTGCAACTCCTTGTGTATATGAAGCATTTTCCTCTTCATGACCAGAGTATAACAGCAGTTCCCCTGAAGCTAGTCTCAGTTGTACTACCTATGTCCAATGCGTTTCACTGATGCCGAGCACCTCGAGGTTGTGCCTTCTCATTTCTGCCGCAACTTGAAATAGTCCTCCAGTCTCCCACAATGTACGAACGTTCCATGTACCTAAAAAAATGGTTGCTATGGTTGTCAGAAGAGGCATCGGCCCCGTAGACGTCGGAGGTAACTGGGCTTACATCATGCGACGTCATAATTCTTCTTCCAACTGTCAGGGCAGAGTTAATATGGTTTGAATTATTTCTTTTGGTTAGCGTTATTTTCGGCAAGTTAGTTTATAGTTAGGATGGGGGCACCAACGCCATATCCAAACTCTTCCTCCTTTATCCGAGGGCTTGGGAGCGGCAGTAGCCCCGAAGGTTCTACAGGCGGAGTTAGGTAGGTCCTAGGTCCTAAGAAAATTAAATCTTTGATGAATCTTTATGAATCATTCATTTAAATAATGTTTTGTTTTTTGTCTTTTTTTTCCTAATAAAAATTAAAATAAAATAGATCTTTAGAATCGAATAACTCGAAAACGAATTCAACGCCATCATCATCCAGATTGAAACACTTACATCCTTTACGATATACCAAACTTATCTACGCTTCAGAATTGAATTATTTTACTTTTGATAAGATTGTAAGTTAATTGTGCTCATTATATTATTCGATTATTATTGTTTTATTAAGTAAATTATCAATTAGATTTATTTTGTAGTGTAGGAATAAGTTGGAAGAAAGTTAGGGGCGGCTACACCAAAACATGGCAGAAATCCATGAAGTCATAGACGAGTGAACTTAGCCATGTCGGTAATTGTCGACTACCTGGTTGGGGTCCGCGAGATGATAATAATCGATGGTTAAGAGATCTTGAATGACATGGCTCAAAATCGTTCGCAATGGCGCTGGTGCATTTATTCTTTGTGTTCTCTCAAATTCTAATCTTCTGGATTCTTCAACATCTCTAGTTTTGACTTTCTAAACTTTTCTCACTGAATCATACTTCTTGAATAATATCTTCTAATCCTAACCTCTTCGATTACTTCTAATACCTTTACTACCTTGTCTACTATTGGATTTGAATTGACAATGACATCTTTGTGTGCTGATGTGTTATGGCAACATGAACTGATGTACTTACGTACAAAGTTCTACGTTGCATCTGACTGACTGACTGACTGACATTTGCATTTTAGATTGTTTGTACTTATTACTGGTGTGTTATTGTAATTGAATTTAGTCATTCATTGTGTTATATAAATTTCAGTAAATAAATAACTTAACTTATTCACTTCTAAAAATATATACATATGTTGTATTTAGCATAATAGTTTAATATGTTCTGAAATAAATCTTAAGTATTTAAAGGTAATCTATAGCTAATCTATTCCAGGTTGGCGTTAATTTAAATAATTGTTTTACGAAGTTTTGAAAATTGTTAAGTTACATATTTGAAATCATGAATTGATCAATGTAGTAGTAGTATAATTACATGTGCTCACTAGTGACTAGTTGCTCTGTGAGCAATCTTCTCCGAGTTCTAGTGGGAGAAGTCGTGACCACTGAAGTTCAACCTATTCGGATGTAGACAGTAACTACTACCGAAGACTGTATATGAGGTTGCGAAAATCCATGAATTGATGGAAGTTAGACAGTAACACCGTTAGATACCGGCTCAGTGATCTAGAGGTTAGGCGTTCGCGCGCAAGACCGAAAGTCCTGGGTTCGAATCCTGCGCGGTGCAAGAGTCGTGGATGCGCACCGGCACTGATGAGTCCAATATCAGGACGAAACGGTCATTCAGAGCTTGTGGGTTTCTAATAGTAATCTAACACTGATCGATTCTTGATTTCAAATGTGTTATGTAAATAATGTTCTTTTTTAATTCTTATTACTTTGCTGTTACTGTTTATCATTAGTTCAATAGAGAGAATTGCACAATGTATATCACTTGATTAACACTTTATTAGTGCCTATCCATCAATGAAAACAATCAATTAGAAAGAGATTGTAAACATGGGTGTGGTTCTTTCTCTTACCCTAGGTGGTTTTTATATATGACATTTTGTCTTTCGAAACTAACTATTTGTTGTATGGAGGTATAGGAAGGATTTGATTTTGACTAATTTCGTCTCGAGGGCGGATGTCACGTCCCGGTTGTCCACACTATGGAAGAGTATTTCTTGAGGTACCTGAAAATCTGAGGTAGATTAGTGTTGGTCTGAATTATACCTCTCGAACCATATCTTCGAACCCTAATCTTCTCCATTACTGTTAATACTCTTATTAGCGCTACCACTATTGGATTTGAACTGACAATTGTATCTCTGTGCTAATGTGGTATGGTAACCTGAACTGAACTGTACGTACGTACGTACGTACGAAGTTCTACCTTCTAACTGACTGACTGGTTTGTTCTATGGAACTTGATTTTCTCTGTTTGTTTGGTAATACTTTTCAATATATCAATATTGAATATATTAACTTTCCCTTCAAAGTGATACTTGTCTGGATAGTTAGTAGTTATTCAACAATTTCCCAACTGTTATCATCTTGCCTGCGATTAATTCAAAGAATACTAAGAGGAGAAAATTGCACAATGTATATATATATATATATATATATATATATATATATACATCACTTAATTAACAGTAACATTTAGAGGTTAATTTTAATTGGCTATAATAACCCGTGAATATAACCCCACCTTTGATTTGTTTGAAATGGTATTATTATCTGTTAGATGATTGGATGAAATCACTAGAGAAAGCTAACTGCATTCATTTTGGAACTTGTTTTATTGATAAGTTCCATGAAGCGATTGGATAATAAGATTTAAAAATTTCACAAATATTATTTTATCTAAAGTTTGTGTTTATTTGAAGTCGTACTGCTGACTGTAGACGGGTTCGTGGCAGCAGTAAGGTGTTTCCCTCAAACAACTCGCACCTGCAGCGATGTTGGCTTCTCACAAGGAAGAATGGAGTTAGAAAAGTTTGACCCTGAAAATGTCACACCTCACCTTACTCCACATATTTTCGTCTCCATCGGTAAGGCTACTTACTTAAAGAGCGGAGCTAACACTTTAAAAACTCCGCATAAAAAGGCCGTGCGTGACCGGACTTTAGTAGTTGTTCTTTGGCCTCCCCTATCATGCTCTCAGGTCACTAAGACCAATGCTAATCCGATTTCCTTTTCAGGTTCCCTAAGGAACACCTTTTCATGGTGTAGGCAGCCGAGAAGTCATATCCACCTTCATACTCGTAACAGCACACGAGACCATATTATTCACGATCATATTCTTGCTACACCTCTTAATAACTCTCCTATCTCTACCATCAACTCTTCTTTCACTCCTTTGCCACGTCGCGCCGCTTATGCAAACGTTTTGAGTTCACGAAAAGTTATTCCTGGTCTCCTGAAATCCCACTCTAGACTACATGTTGAAGCTTACATTGTTCGAACCTTTTGCCAAATAGGATAGTAAGGTTCCCTAGCTGGGACATTAGAATCTCGTGCTATTTATGCTGCGCCTCCGAAACAAGCATACAGAATCGGAGTAGAATCATTAGTTTGATTTCATCTTGTCCAGATAAAGAACCAACTCGTTTACGCTGCGTGTATCTGAAAGCCGTGTTTCTGCTTTCCGTGGTCTCGCTGGTGTAGGTATAGGATTGAGTTCTAGGGTAGAATTATCTCTTATACTGGATCCTAGTAAATAGTGGCTTGTGCGCTGTCTAACTAAATGAGACATTAAAGACTCGGAAAGAAAGAGACACTCGTCTTTGCCTCTTCGTCGTCTCTGTCTACACTCCCACTGAGTGCGGCTCAGATGAGGTAAAAGATTAGTTTTGCAGAAACCTTTCGGACCTCCTGCAAAACGTTAAGCTCTCTGATATAGTAACAGTGTCTGGTGACTTTATTGCTTAAGTAGCTGGACTAAGCGATACCTAAAGACACCTGGGTTGGGTCTGATGGTGTTGCGACCCGAAGAATACTTAATGGCGACTGTCTGTTGCAGCTATGCTCAGATAACCGCTTATTTCTAGCAAATACTAACTTTAAGCATAAAGAAAAGCATCTTTTGACCTGGCGACCCCCAAAGTCGTCTTAACGTTGGACCCAACTAGATCACATTGCTATCAGCCACCGATGGAGAGGCTCAACAAAAGATTGTCGCTCGTTCGGAAGCACATGTTTAGATTCTAATCATGCTCGAGTACAAGGGCGTATTTGTTTGCACCTTACTGGACATAAGAAAGACATTGCAAGGAAGCCTCTTAAGGTTCTACTTATTGATAACATAGCTTAGAATATATTTCAAGACCAACCATAGATGTCCGTCCTGGGACAACCTGGGATGATATCCAAAAGCAGTGAAAACAGCAGTGATATCTGCCATTAATCGAAACAAATGTTTTATGGTTACTCACGATCTCCAGTCATTCTGGACAGTACATTGATGTAAGTCCTCCAACTCTTAATGAAGCTGACAAAGAAACCTTAACTAGAATCTAGGAACGGGACGTAATCCCACATGACTGGTCTCAATCGTCGATTGTCCCAATCTATAAGAAAGAACAATAGTCCTCTTGTGACAATCATGGGGGAATCAGTCTTACTAATATAGTGTCCAAAATATTAGCCTCGATAATACTTAGACGCCTAACCGGAACTCGTGAAGAACAGACCCGAAAACCGGGCAAATAAATTGATGAAGTAGTGAATTTCCTTAAGTTTAGGTGCTCAACCAACGGCCTGCTTTTACGAGCGATGTTTTGTGATGTAGGGATAGGTTTGAAGAAAGCTAGGAGTGGCCAAACCAAAACATGGCACAAATCCATCAAGTCACTGACAATTGGATTGAGTCATATAGGTAAATGTAGACTACCTGGTTGGGGTCCGCGAGACGATAGTAATCGATGGTTGGAGACTTTAAATGACATGGCTCAACATCGTTTGCAATGTCGCAGGTGCATCCTCTCTTTGTGTTCTCTCAAATTCTAATCTTCAGAATTCCTCATCACTTCTATCTTTGTCTGTCTAATCTTATCTCACTGAATTATTCTTATTGAATAATATCTTCGATCCCTACTACTCTCCATTACTGCTAATTCTTATACTATCTCCACTACTATGAGATTTGGACTGACAATTGCGTCTCTGTGCTTAATGTGGTGTGGTAGCCTGAACTTATGTACTTACCTACGAAGTTCTACGTTGTAACTGACTGACTGACTGATAGATAGCGCTTTGCATCATATCTTTAATGGTTAAATTTCTATCCTAAATGTGTCGAAGAAATCTCAGGTTTTCGAAAATAGTTTTTGGTTTATTCTTTGCTTAAAGTAATCTTATCTATTGCCCCTCCACCAACAATCACACAACAACTCAATTACAAAATCATCTTCACTATTTCCATCTGCTTACTTGTCATACAGTTAGTATGTATGAAAGCTCATGTTAGCCTTATAAAATCTCTTAAAAGTTGAACAGCAAAGCGTAATTATTATGCTTATTTTCATATAATGATTCAAACATCACGTATCATATGAGAAGATTACGATGTTTTGTCTGCAGCTAACACACTAGAAATTAAATCTTTGGTTCGCTAATCAATAAAAATCTTGGTGAATAACGTCATAAACACTCACATACGCACACACAGACACACACACACAAGTAAATCAAGCGCATATCTAGTTATGTAATGTGGATATTATTTATGTCTATGAAGTATTTGCCTTCAAGAGAAAAAAAAACATTATTCACTCAACATTTAACCACTGTTTATATTACTACTACCACTAATATTCAATGAATATGAGTTGGTGTGTAAGGCTGGCTGCGAACATGCCTACCTGTTAGGTGAAAGCTAAATGTTTTTTCGGGCTGAATTTTGGAGGTTTGTGTTTTTTACACATTTGAAATCATCAATCAATCATTGTTAGACCATATCATTAGAAACCTGGAATCACTGGACGGCCGTTTCGTCCTTGTATGGGACTCATCAGTGGCAGTGCGCATCCACAACTCGTGCACCTCGCAGGATTCGAACCCGGGACCTTCGGCATTGTAGGCGAACGCCTAACCATTGGACCACTGGGCCAGCATCCAATGGTGTTAATGTCTAACTCTGATTGATCTAGGGATTTTGCGCCACCTTACCCATTTGTCTTTGGTAGTTACTGCCTACACCCGACACGGTTGAACTCCATTGGTCACGTCTTCTCAACCTAGAACTTCGAGAATTTCCTCACGAAGCAAGTAGTCACTAGTGAGCACGTGTTACGATATTTTTGAGCAGAGTTTTTTGGAGGTTTTGTGTTTTTTACACATTTGAAATCATCAATTGATGATTTCAAAAAAATGAGAAAGCTAAATGTTTTAAACAATGAATCACTTTTGTACACATTTCCGGTATAGACCAATTTTATTATATGTTGAAAAATCTAATCTAATTGAAATAAAATCAACATACCAACTACATTTTAATCATTTCTTTATTCTGTTGTTATTATTATATTATACCTAGTTTGAACATATATAAGTATATTATGCCTTGACTTTATTGTTTCTTTCATATATATATATATATATATATATATTTTTTTTTCTTACAGACTGGATCGCATGTAGCCACACGTCATTTGATTGATTTGGAAGATCGATTTGAAAATGAAGTAATCGCAAGACGTCATCGTGTAACTTCAAATGATCCAGTAAGACATCCACCTGAACGTCCTATATTGTCTGATCATGGTGAGTAGTAGTTGTAGTAGTAGTAACAGTAAATTTTCCATTTAATCTTTTTTTCAATTAGAGTTATAGAGATTAGTGTTTTTACACATTTGAAATTGTCAATCAATCATTGTTAGATGACCACCATTAGAAACCTGGAAGCACTGGACGGCCGTTTTGTCGTGGTGCGGGACTCATCAGTGCCAGTGCGCATCCACGACTCGTCAAACTGACATGCTTGAATGCTATTACGAGTTCACCTTAGTAGTCGGTAAACGAAAGCGAAGACAAATTATCCAGTGACACGATCGGCTACTCTAATCCGAACGTTCCAAGACCTTACTCTAACAGTATCACAAAGTCTTGATATGGCGTAGAAAGTGTATTCTACTATAAACATCCAGAAAATATGAGGTTTTGTACAGAAGAAGAAGAAGAATAAGGAGGATCATAAAACTTTACAGACAATGCATATTAATACAATTAGGTCGACCATGAATACTAACCAATAGGAAACAACATTTGAAAGTCTGTGGAACTTGATAGGCTGATAGGATGTGACCTTAACTATTATTGACCAATAGAATTAGACTTACAAAAATTAATTTCTTTAGGATATTTGATGAATATATCCTAACAATTAGCCTAACCGTGATATCCGTTCGCTAACCAAAGGACGAGTGTACTGCGCAGTAGTTCGCTCCGTCTTACTCTATGGCTGTGAAACATGGACGTTAAGAGTAGAAGATGTTCGTAGGTTACTAGTATTCGTTCATAGATGTTTAAGAAGTATTGCTCGTATATCGTGGGACAACCGTATAAGCAATGCTGTCGTTAGGAAACGAGTACTAGGTAAGGATGGCAGATCAATAGATGAAGTAGTGAAACTTCATCATTTGATGTGTTTAGGACATGTGTTACGCATGCTCAACCACCGACTGCCTCGAAGATCTATGTTTAGTGGTGTAGTAGAAGGTTGGAAGAAAGCTAGGGGCGGCCAAACCAAAACATAGCAGAAATGCATGAAGTCTCTGACAAGTGGACTGATTGATGTTGGTAGATGTATGCTACGTAGTTGGGGTCCGCGAGACGAAAGTCACCAATGGTTAGAGACTTTGAACAACATGGCTCAGAATCGCTTGCAATGGCGCAAGTACATGCATTTGTTGTGCTCTCTCAAATCCTAATCTTCTGGATTCGTCAGCACCCGTACATTTGTCTTTCTAACCTTATCTGACTGAATTATACTTCTTGAATAATATCTTCAAACTCCACAGTCTTCTTCATTACCATTAATACCTCTATTATCTCTATGACTATTTGATTTGATTTGACATTTGCGTCTCTGTGTTAATGGGGTGTGGCAACCTGAACTTATGTACATACGTACGAAGTTCTACGTTGCTACTGACTGACTGACTGAGTAGCACTGAACATGTGCTGTGATATTGTAAAACTCAATAGTTTTTAAATGTTATCACAAAAACACTTGAGCAACCTCCTACATTATCTTCGTGTTTGAACTCCACTGGTCACGACTTCTCACTAGAACACTAGGAGGAGATTCCTTACGGAGCTAGTCACTAGTGAGCACAGGTAATTTGCATTATGGGGTTTCGGAGTTGGTTGAGAGTTACTTTTTTTTTGAAAACATGAATCAATTAATGTTAGACCATCATTAGAAACCTGGAAGCACTGAATGGCCGTTTCGTCCTGGTATGGGACTTATCAGTGCTAGTGCGCATCCACGTCTCCTGCACCTCGCATGACTTGAACCCAAAACCTTCGGTCTTGCATGCAAAACAGACTGAACGGCTCTCCAGTGCTTCCAAGTTTCTACTAGTGGTCTAACATTGATGATGTGTAAATGTATTTTAATTACTACTCCTGTTTAAATCACATTGTAATTCATCATAGCTGTATTAGTACAACTTCATTTACTTAGTTTATTTAACAATCTTAGTGTATTGATGTTTAAACTCAAATAAGTTAATTGTAGTGTAGTGAAGGAGAACACAGTTGAGGACAACCGAATTGTATTTAACGAAAATTACCGAGTTACTCAGTAAAATAGGAAAACCATATCGTAAAAGGTTAATTTGCAAATCTTCAATCCATTGTCTGACATTTCACTATTCATGCTATTTCATACAAATTCCATAGTGTTCTCACTCTTCTTTTCTTGATCTTCCCTCATCTTCTGATGCCAGACATTACGTTTACACTCGCGCGTCATATACTACTTATAAGTAGCGCGCACCACAGTAGTATCATAAAATCAAAAGTTTACATTGTATTATTTCTATTTGATTGAAACAATTGGTTATTAACCAATAACATTTATTTTATTTTATTTACTTATTTATTCACAGAGCATCGACGTAATTCTCGTGCTTCTCATTTAAATCGTTCAAAAAAGTCAACGCATAAAAAGGATGTGTTTCACACGGATCATGATAATGATGATCATGATCATCATCATAATGACCAGTTGCTAGTAGATAACAGTGGCAGTGCAGAAATTACAAAAAAAGTTTGTTTCTTTGTTTGTTTGTTTGATCATTATTTTCATATAAATTCATTGATCAATGTCCTATTGATCAGTAATTCATTGTGTTTCAATGTAAAATTTGAATTTGTTCAATAATAACAACATTGAACAGTGGTTCTTAATGGTTCGGATGAAAAACAAAAATATTAAATGAAACTTTACTTTATATATTTATTTTAGTTTGTATCGGTAAATTATATTCATTTCATTCATTAGTTAGGGTGATTGGGACATGTATTACGAATGTCCAACCAACGACTGTCTCATCAAGCTATGTTTTACAATGTAGGAGTAGGTTAGAAGGAAGCTAATCGGTGGCCAAATCAAAATATGGCACAAAACTATATAGTCACTGACAACTTGATTGAGTCATGTTAGTAGGTGTTGACTACCTACCTGGTTGGGGTCCGCGAGATGATAGTAATCGATGGTTAAGAGATCTTGAATCACATGGCTCAAAATCGTTTGCAATGGCGAAGGCACATCCTCTCTTATTGCCTTCTCTCAAATTCTGATCTTTTAAAATATTCATAACATGGCTCAGAATCGTTCGCAATGGCGCCGGTACATTTATTCTTTGTGCTCTCGCAAATCCTAATCTTCTGAATTCTTCAACACCTCTAGTTTTGACTTTCTAAACTTTTCTCACTAAATCATACTTCTTGAATAATATCTTCTAATCCTAACCTCTTCGATTACTTCTAATACCTTTACTACCTCTTCTACTATTGGATTTGAATTGACAATCACATCTCTGTGTGCTGATGTGGTATGGCGACATGAACTGATGTACTTACGTACGAAGTTCTACGTTGCATCTGACTGGCTAACTCATAACGTTTATCGCTTTTTGTACATTTATTTCACCGGATTATAATTGAATAATTTATTCGAACTCCTGAAATGCTTGAATGCTCACTTGGTAAACAGAATGACAGCAATAACTCAATGACACGATAAGCTATTCTAATCCGTTTGTTCCAGCCACGACTAACTAGATCAAGAAGTCTTGATAAGGCGTCGAGAGTGTATTCTACAAGCACCCAGAAAATACAAGGTGTCTAAGCACATAAATCAAGCTTATTTATACAATGATAGAGACGCCTTCGGGAGAGTCACAAAATAGCGTACTATAATAACCCATCAACCAACGATAGTCAAGGATTTTCCAAGGGAGTAATGTGAGCTGAATGTCAACTTGCACGAAAACATGGAAATTCAATATTTCAGGATAAAACTATAAAATTAGGATCTTTTTCAAGTGAGTTCTGTGGGAATCTTACGTCTCCAAAGAACCCTCATCTCCATAACTGCTAATACGTCTACTACCTCTACCACTATAGGATTTGAATTGACAGTCCATCTCTATGCTAATATGTAGTATGACAACTGATGTACATACGTACACCGACCGTAGCTGCTACCTTGACGTGGTGGTCGGGCTTGCCTATCGTGATGACCCAACCGAGCTATACTGGCTGAAACATATGTTCCTGTAGGTTCGACCATGCCAGGCAGTTCGATTGGATAACGATGAGACTAAAAGCAGCTACTCAAGGTCTGAGGGCGAAGTCGTACTGTTGACTGCAGAGGGGTGTGGTAGCAGTAACGTGTTCCCCTAAGACAACCAGCATGTGCAGCGATGCTGCCTTCTCACAAGGAAGGAAGGGTTAGAAAAGGTCGACCGTAAAAATGTCACACCTCACCCTACCTCACGGATTTCCGTCTCCGTCGGTAAGGGTGCCCATTAAGGACTTTCAAGAGCGGAGCTAATACTAAAAAAACCCTTCATCGAAAGGCCGTGCGTGACCGGCCTCAAGCAGTTGTCTCTTGGACTCTGCGGTCACGCACCCAGGTCGTTAAGACCAACGCTAATATAACTTCTTTTTCAGGTCCCTCAAGAAACAACCTTCCACGGTGTGGGCAGCCGGGAAGTGACAACCACCCTCATACCTGTGACAACACACGAGACCAAATTGGTCAAAATCAAATCCTTCCCACACCCCCTAATACCTCTCTTCTCTCCACAACTAACTCTACTCACATTCCCTTATCCGACTGACATACGTACACAGTTCTACGTTGTAACTGACTGACTGACTAACTGGTGAATTCTTTCTTTCATGCCAATCAGTTGTTTTGTTTTGTTCTGTTCTGTTTTGTTGATTTTCTAATATCATTTTTTCGAAAGAAGAAAAAAAACAAAGTATTCCTTTATCAAATTACAGAATTTATTGACTGATCAAGCAAACCATTCAAAAAAATCATTATCATCAAAATCGCATTGTCATTTACATAAAAATAAACACAATAATTCTTTATTGACCAATTGTGAATCAACTTCAACTAACAACAACAACAATCCTGATAATGCTGATGCTGCTGATGATGATGATGATTGTCAAACTATGATGATTAATGGACGGTCAATTTGTCAACGTACTTTAAGACAACAACGTGAAATTGCTTATAAAATTCAACATCCTAATCGTTTACATCCAGATATTTGGCATAATGAAGCGAATGAATTCAACGATGGTCCAGCATGTTCATGTAAACCGAAATATCGTATTGGACCATTACATAATCAATATGAAGGTGAAGAGGTAATTATTTTGTTTACTTACCTAATAGAGTTAATTATTCACTAATAATAACACAATGCATTGTGTCTTGTTTTGTTTTTTTCAACTCTTAACCATAACCACCATTAGAAACCTGGAAGCACTGGACGACTCTTTCGTCCTGATATGGGACTCAATGATTTCCTATGTGCAACAAACAAACACTAATCTCAATAACTCTAATTGAACTAGCTTCGTGTGGAAATTCTCGGAGTTCTAGTTGAGAAGACGTGACCAGTGGAGTTCAACCCTGTTTGGGTGTAGGCAGTAACTACCAAAGATAAATCGGTAAGGTTGTGCAAAATCTGTAGATTGATGATCAGAGTTAGACATTAACACTGTTGTATGCCGGCCCAGTGGTCCAGAGGTTAGGCGTTACTGTTACCGAAGCTCCTGTGTTCGAATCCTGCGAGACGCGGGAGTCGTGGATGCACACTGTCACTGATGAGTCCTATACCAGTACGAAACGGCCATCCAGTGCTTCAGAGTTAGACATTAACACTGTTGTATGCCGGCCCAGTGGTCCAGAGGTTAGGCTTTCGCACGCAAGTCTGAAGGTCCTGGGTTTCAAACCCTGTGAGGTACAGGAGTCGTGGATGCGCACTGACACTGAAAAGAGTCCCATACCAGGATGAAACGGCTGTCCAGTGCTTCCAGGCTCCTAATGGTGTCTTAAAAACGATTAATTGATTATTTCAATGTGCAGGAAACATTTATCTCCATAACTCTAATTTAAAAAACTAGCAATAATAAGCTTCCGACGGTGTAAAGGACTACCGAATGGTTGACGATAGCGGTTGTGATAGTTCAGTGATTATCGATTTCAAACGACTAAATCAAAGATTTGAACCCTAATTCATGTATTTCTTTTTTAAGCCTACATGAATATGTTGTACACATGATAAAAGAATTGGTAGAATAGTTACTTACTAAAAATAATTGAAAATTACACGTCACAAAACAGTCACGACCCTAAAAAAGAACGGAGCTAATACTCAAAAAACCTTTCATAAAAAAGGCTGTGCGTGACCGGCCTCAAGCAGTTAGTTGTCCGTTGGGCACTGCGGTCATGCTCCCAGGTCTCTAGGACCGACACTAATCTACCTTCCTTTTCAGGTTCCTCAAGAAACACCCTTCCACGATGTGAGCAGTCGGGAAGAGACGACCGCCCTTGATTGGTTTTTATTGACCTTAAACCTGTCCTTGTGTGCACCTTTATTTTGATTGTCTCCCCTTATGATCAACGGGGCGGGATACATGGATTAGTTTTCTTTCTCAAGTTCTACCTTATTGTTTATTATTGAGTAAATTTGAATAGTTCCCGTCTAAAACTTTTTTGATATCATCTTCAGATAATCTCTGCGATTACTGCTAATAACTCTACTACCTATACGACTATGGGATTTATAGTGACAATTGCATCTCTGTGCTCATGTGGAATAGCAACTTGAACTGATGTACGTATGTATGAAGTTCTACGTTGCTGTGATTGATTGACTGATTTTGAATACGAATAGTAGAATGGTGTGACAAACAGACAGACAGATACAACGCAGAACTTCGTACGTATGTTGTGACAGGTGTATCCAGCTGACAATTTCTTTCTACGGTGAAATTGATGTCCTAAATTCCACTGAAGGAAGAGCATTATTCTAAATCTATTAAAGATTACTCCTAGAGAAATATATATACTTTCTATTGTCTATTCATTTCAGCCTATTCCACTGTGCATTCCAGAATCCAATAATCGTGATCGTCTTTATCATTATCGTGTAATTATAACACCAACAACTAATTTTGTTCAACCAATCCCATCGAAAATCACTCATCATCAACATGATTATCTATTTGATGGTTTCTCATTGTTTACACATCATAAATTGAATAAAGTAAGTGTCATTTAAATTTAAATTGTGAATTTTGCTTTTAATGAAATTTGATTATGAATTCATTGTTGAAATCATGAATGAATCATTGTTAAACCATTAATAGAAACTTGGAAGCACTGGATAGTTGTTTCATTAATGTATGGGACTCATTAGTGACAGAGCGCATCCATGACTACTCCTGCAACTCACAGGATTCGAACTCAGGAACTTCAGACTTGCGCGCTAACGCTTAACCTATGGATCACTGAGCTGGAATCCAACGGTGGTAATGTCTAACTCTAATCAATCTAAGAATTTTGCCTTGCCTCATCCATAGTCTTTGGTAGTGAGTGCTAACGGTCAACAGAATTTAAACCCCACTGGTCGCATCTTCTCAATAGAACTCTGAGAATTTCCTCATGAAGCTAGTCACTAGTCAAAACACATTTCACGACTTTTAATTATCGAGTTATTGAGTGTTGGGGACTTTAGATCGCTAGGACTCGCTTGATAAATTCCTTAATTTGGGTTTTACGTTCCCGAGCATGGGCTGATCTATTGACCGTGAGATTTCCTTTCCCACCAGGAAAATCCTTGGCTGTGATTGGTTGCTGTGTATTCTAGTGTGCTATTTTTGTGACTGTTCGAAGGACGTTTCTATGATGTATCAATAAACGAGATTTGTGTGCTTGAATGCATTGTGCCTGCTGGGTGTTTGTAGAATATACTTTCTACGCTATATCAAGACACTTCATTAGTCAACTATTCAGGGTAGCCTACCTGGACGCTTGTTCATTGTCTCGTCCTAGTTTATCGACTAAGGTGAACCCGTAGTGTAGTTCCAAGCCTACTTGGTGACGAACGTAACAACTGGCGACGGTGATTTCGGAAACATGGATCCTGCCAAACTTGAATTATTACTTGAACAGTAACTGAAACTGATGCAGATGTTGACAGACATAAAGATTTCCCATTTGCACATAGCCCAGCTCATATAATGCAACCACAGCTCCATCGGTCGACGGCATCGTAAATAGCATAGCTGAATTTCATTATGATCCTGATGCCATTGTTACTTTTGACTTATGGTTCCGGCGTTATGAAGATTTATATAGATTTTATTTGGCTAATCAAGATGATGCTTGGAATGTTCGGCTGCTACTTCGAAAGTTGGGTGCTAGTGAGCTGGACAAGTAGTACTGCAATTTGATCCTGCCTTTGAACCTACGAGATCGTTCTATTTCTGAGACAGTTCAGACATTGAGCCAACACTTTGGCGACAAAACTCGTCGCTGTTTAATACTCGTTATCGATGTTTGAAGCTAGTTATGAACGAAGACGATGATTTTCTCACACACATGGGCAGCGTCAACCGTGAATGCGAACGCTTTCGGTTGAAGTCTTTATCGGAAGCTCTCATTTACTAACTAATAGTAACTTTATGAGGAATAAGAATAGACCAGACATTCGACCATCATTAGTTTAATTTTTGGGTTCAAAACTTAATTCATAGCCGAATCGTAATTTGGTTTAGGCGTTTAGATTAAGATTTTAGGATTGATAGTTAATATAAGGAAAAAAATGCATTCGAAGTTATCTGAATGGATATACATGTACATGTGGTGTTTTTTTTTTTTTGATTTCAAAATGTTAGAAACCTTTCAGTTGCCTTCAAATGATCATACATTATCATTCTTGCGTTCTCTTTAACCTTTCCATATGTTAACCGTTTTTAAGCATTTCGGTACCTAAATATTGATTGTTTTAAATAAGGTAACATTTGACTCATAAATCCAATAGTCAGTCATCACTTAAAGTTTGATTATTGAAAATTGTAGTAGTTAAGTTTGTTGTTGTAGTATTATTCAACGTTGTCCCCGTATGTATTGTGTTATCTGTACATTTTAGCCGCCTCCATGTCAAGTTCTACGTTTTAATCTATTATATGATATTTTTCCAATTGAAGAAGAATTCCCTCAGGTTGGTGTTTTATTTTTATCTCCTATTTGTGTTTATTTTCATTTGGTTATTATTTTTTTCGTTTAATGATGATTACTGAGTTGCATACAGTAGCTACGAATGAATCTCAACTGGGTAGTCGTGATAGATCCTAGTTATATACATACAGCTTTGATTCACAGTTCGTTACTTTGTCATGAATTGACCACTGTCACTTTTATTCAATCTATTCCAACGTTAGCGAATTATACCTGATATAGAAGTCATATATCCGAACCATCTTTTAGATGATATTGTAAGATGATAATACCAAGTCATTTATTGTCACTATGCCTGGACATGTATCGCCAAATCTGCTTAGATGTTACCACTGGATGATCAGTAATCCTTTGGAGAGAACGATGATCGAGCGCATAGTTGTGGAACATTCTCAACTCAGAGAGACGAGGTATCATAAACAAAGGGCACAACCGATTTCACTAAAACAATCAATCGTGCTTTTATCGGTGGTATGAGGGCGGATGTTACTTCCCGGCTGCCCACAATGTGGAAGGGTTCTGGTTGTTAGAATGAGCATCGACCTCATGACTTCCAAAGGAACTCGGCTTTCATCATGAGACGTCATAACTCTTCTAAATGGAAGACCTTCTAACTCCCAGATCAGAGTTTATATAGTTTGAATTACTTTTTCTTGTCAACATTTTTTTAGCGAGTTAGTTTTTTGCGGGACGAATTCACCAACCAACCCCAATCCAAACCCTCCTGCTTTATCCGGGCTTGGGACCGTCAGTAGCCCAAAAGGGTCTACAGGTGGAGTTATCTCACGGAAACTTTATACATCCAACCTTTTATGTCCAAATTAATATCAGAACAATTCCTACAATGCCTTCAGATTGTATATAAGTATCTACCTTTCACTATACTTAGATTGATCTAATGACTTAGACCATCACCGATATTTACGCAGCTAACTCCTATAAGATAGATAGATAAACTTTTAACAGATCATTACAAGAAGCTAGGTGTGGCCAAACCAAAACACTGCACAAACCTATAAAGTTACTAGTATTGCAGATGTATTTTACATTTTAACAAAAAACCCTGTAATTTTGTAGGATTTAATTTGTCCTACAGATGTAATATTAGCAATATTGGCGAGCACACAGTCTCTAGGGAAGCTATAGTCAGAACAAGATCAACTTTTGCTTTAAACTTTATCTGTTTCTAAACATAAAAACAATTAGATTAGTACAATGAATAAGGAAGTTACAGTTATCAAGTAAACCCAGTAAACATACCGATCAATATAGCGTGTCTTATGGAAATGAATAAAACTATGAGTCACATCAATATAATCAGATAATAATATCCTTCAATTAGTAGGTCATTTACAACAAAGAAAGTTTACCGACACGTCAGATCAGATCACATGGCGAGCGCTTAAATCACAATTTGATTGGTTAGTTATGACATAACTACAATTAGTTATGCCGATGACATTGTCCTACTTGGTGAAGATGCTGACAAAATGCAGAGTCTTCTGACTACCCTAAGCAACAATGCAAGCATGTTCGGAATGCGGTTTTCCCCCTCGAAATGCAAATTGTTGCTTCAAGATTGGGTTGCATCGGCACCTGAACTAGTGATACGGAGTGAAGTAGTCGAGCGAGTAGACCGCTTCACTTATCTTGGGAGTCTCATCAGTGCCGATGGCCTGGTGACTGACGAAATCTCAGCTCGGATACAGAAGGCTCGATTGGCTTTCGCCAACCTGCGTCACTTATGGCGTAGGCGTGATATCCGTTCTCTAATCAAAGGACGAGTGTACTGTGCAGCAGTTCGCTCCGTTCTCCTATATGGCTGTGAAACATGGCCAGTGAGAGTAGAAGATACTCGTCGGTTATTGGTTTTCGATCATAGATGTTTAAGAAGCACTGCTAGTATACCGTGGGACAACCGAGTGAGCAATGCTGTCGTTAGGAAACGAGTACTAGGTAAGGATGGCAAATCAATAGATGAAGTGGTGAAACTTCATCAGTTGAGGTGGTTGGAACATGTCTTGCGTATGCCGAACCACCGACTGCCTCGAAGAGCTTTGTTTTGTAGTGTAGGAATAGGTTGGAAGAAGGTTAGGGGTGGCCAGACCAAAACATGGCAGAAATCCATGAAGTCATTGACTAGTGGACTGAGCCATGTCGGTAATTGTCGACTACCTGGTTGGGGTCCGCGAGATGATAATAATCGATGGTTAGAGACCTTGAATGACATGGCTCAAAATCGTTTGCGATGGCGCAAGTGCATCCATTTGTTGTGTTCTCTCAAACCCTAATCTTCTGGATTCTTCAACACCTCCAGTTTCGACTCTCTAAACTTTTCTCACTGAATCATACTTCTTGAATAGTATCTTCTAACCCTAACCTCTCCGATTACTTCTAATTCCCTTACTACCTCTTCTACAATTGGATTTGAATTGACAATGACATCTTTGTGTGCTGATGTGGTATGGCAACATGAACTGATGTACTTACGTACAAAGTTCTACGTTGCATCTGACTGACTGACAATTAGTTATGGAAATAACTAACATCCCCCCCCCCGAAGTGGTCACCACGTCTAGACCCCGTTACCGTCGCGCTCGACCTCTTCCGTATATCTCGGTTGATCTCTTCGGTGTCTGTCTTCAATCGAATCGTTCTGACTCGGCCATATGTACCACAATTGACCTGTCTAACTATAGCTTATGCCCACAGATTTCTTGGTAAGCCAGTATTGTTTATACTAACACTGAGACTCCCTATTGTGGATTCGTTCTCATTGATTTTATGAATGCATTTCCGTATATCGCCTCCAAGATCAAAGAATAATGCTACATACGACAAAATATTTCTTCTGGTTAGGTTTCCAGGAAACTCATGAACCTTGGAAAATGATTCGTCCGTTCGGGCATTCCAATCTATCCCTAGCATTCGTTTACTTATCTCGTTCGACTTGCATACGATAATGTTTCTTTTCGGTACACTCACTCTTCCACATTCATTGCACCCTATCCTCAAAGTTCATGAATCAACTAGAGTAGCAGACAGGCATTTGTAATCAAGTGGAAGTACTAACTTTTTTGTGTTATTGTTAAATATCTTAATTCTTATATGATGATTATATGTCCCCTATTTTTTTTTTCTTCATTTTTTTTCCTCAGTATTTCACTGTTCGTTCATTAGATCTACTTACACAATATCTATTTATTGAATTACTTGAATTATTAGATTTAAATTGGAAACCATATAAAGTACAAGAAGAAAATGATGCGAAAAGTTGTCATGTAATTCATTTAATGCCAAGATTTATACGTATTTTGTCAAATACTACCACCACCACTACTAATACTACTAATACTACTAATCCGATTGTTAGTAGTAATAAAAATAGTAATAATAATTCAGTAGATAACAGTCAACAATACAATACCGAGTTAAATAATTCTAGTGTTTGTATTGATGACACTATTGTTGATAATAATAATAATAATAATAATAATAATAATAATAATAATAATATGATAATTGGAGAATTACTTCCAGTTCATGTTATAATGGAATATTGGTTAAAAGAAGCATTAACTCCAGTAATTAATATAATGGAATTATCATCTATACAACATATGACTACAACAGAATGGTCAAGTTATATTAGTGATTTACGTGGTACATTAGCTTGTTATCCAGGCAAAGTAAGTTTAATGTGTTTGTTTATGTGTGAGATTCACTTTTTTCGATGTGTATGTGTGTGTGTATATATATATATTTTTTTATGTTCTACAGTTCGATTGGATCAACTGTTGTTGTTCTCTGACTTGACTAATTATTATACATCAACTCAATGTCTAAGAACCTTAAAGCCCAGTAGTTAAGGTTCTATTGGTTCACTATCCTTTAGGATTCTTCTTTGTACCTTGATTTTGAGTTCTGAAGTTAGCAATCAGCTTGTGCACTATATTCCCGACCGTAGCTGCTACGTTGACATGTGATGGTCGAGCTTGTCTATCGTGATGACCCAACCGAGCTATATTGGCTGGAACATATGTTCCTGAAGGTTCTACCAGTCAGTCAGTCAGTCAGATGCAACGTAGAACTTTGTACGCAAGTACATCAGTTCATGTTGCCATACCACATCAGCACAGAGACGCAAATGTCAAATCAAATCCAATAGTAGTAGAGGTAGTAAGGGAATTAGAAGTAATCGGAGAGGTTAGGGTTAGAAGATACTATTCAAGAAGTATGATTCAGTGAGAAAAGTTTAGAAAGTCAAAACTAGAGGTGTTGAAGAAACCAGAAGATTAGGGTTTGAGAGAGCACAAAGAATAAATGCACCAGCGCCATTGCGAACGATTTTGAGCCATGTCATTCAAGGTCTCTAACCATCGATTATTATCATCTCGCGGATCCCCAACCAGGTAGTCGACATTTACCGACATGGCTCAGTCCACTAGTCAATGACTTCATGAAGGTTCTACCATGCCAGGAAGGTCGATTGGAGAACGATGAGACTAAAAGTAGCTAGTCAAGGTCTGAGGGCGAAGTCGTACTGCTGACTGACCGTAGAGGGGTGTGACAGAAGTAAGGTGTTTTCCTCGGACAACCAGCATGTGCAGCGATGCTGCCTTCTCACAAGGAAGGAAGAGTTAGAAAATGTAACACCTCACCCTACCTCACGGATTTCCGTCTCCTTGGGTAAGGGTGCCCATGAAGGGCTTTTAAGAGCGGAGCTAATATTAAAAGAACCCTTCATAAAAAGGCCGTGCGTGACCGGCCTCAAGCAGTTGTTTCTTGGGCTCTGCGGTCACGCACCCAGGTCTCCAAGACCGACACTCAAGAAACAACCTTCCATGGTGTGGGCAGTCGGGAAGTGACAACCGCGCTCATACCCGTAACAACACGCGAGACCAAATTGGTCAAAATCAAATCCTTCTCACACCCCTTAATATTGTACACTATATTTATATTTTAAAAAGGTGTAGAGTTTATATATTCAAGCAGACTAGATCCTCATCTATTCATGTACGCTTGTTACTATCACTCATGAAGCATAGGCTACTGCCCGCCATTCTCCACCCAATTCTATGATGAGCTCCTCCTTCCAATTGTTCTCCATTGCTAATTCATTCTTTTCATTTGGCCGTAAGAGTTTCAAGTTACGCCTCGCCTTCTGATGCAGTCGTAAGATTTCGGTAATGTGTATATCCTATTCAGAACTGGAAAGGAAAGTTTTTTTTAGGACAGAGAAGGTTGGCGAATACCGATTGGTGACCTATGCGCCCCATTGAGAGGCTGTCCTATTGTCACCTTCAGTGCTTTATTCTGATTTCTTCCACAATAAGTTGGTTATTGTATTGATTGATAGCATCGGACTAAATATTTTCTGATAACCTTTTCATAATTTTACTTATATCTCTCAGTGTGTCTGTATTATTATCTTGTAGAAACCATCAACTATACGTATTGATCAATTAGATCGTCAATCTGTAACAGGTCAATGCAATCAAACTACATTAATCTATCCACTCATAGTACATATGACTTATACACCAATGAAATTAAGTTTAACACGTGAACCAAAATATAAATGTGTATTGAAAAATTTTATGAAATTACAATATTTATTAATGAATAAGCCAAGAATTAGTACAACAGATCGTGTACAATTAGTACAATTAGCTAGTGAATTAGAAGAAATGGAACATTCTGGGTAAGTAAGTTATAGTTTTAATTCATATAATCTAATAAGTTTATTTATAAGTAATGAATTGACTAACTTTAATGATACAACTAACAATTGAAAACTGAAAAGCAATAAGTAGTATTTGTCTACCAACTACTGTTAGTAATTTGATGGTATCAAGTAACTAGGTTTAAGCATTTTTTGTTATGCTCGTCTCTAGGTATGCTTAAAACTTTTACGGGTTCACCTTAGTCGATAAACGAGAACAAAACAATGAACCAGCGTCTAGGCAGGCTACTGTGATTCGATTATCCCAATTGTTCCAGCAAGAAGTCTTGATAAAGCGTAGAAAGTGTATTCTACAAACACCCAGCCAGCATATACAATGAATCGAAGCACTCAAATTGCGTTTATTTACGATCCATAGAGACGTCCTTGGGAGAGTCACAAAATAGCACACTAAAAGGACACAGTAACCAATCACAGCCAAGGATTTTCCTGGTTGGACATGTGATCTCAAGGTCAACTGATCGGTCCATGAAATTAATCCAAAATAAAAATATTTATCAAGCAAGTTCTGGGGATTTAACAATATTGAATTCTCACACTAGCGTGGGAAAAAATTTACAATTTTTGATCTGACCGCTCCTAGTTGGAAGAAAGCTAGGAACGGACAAACTAAAACATGGCACAAATCGATGAAGTCACTAATAACTGGACTGAGCCATGTTGGTAGATGTAGGCTATCTGGTTGGGGTCGGCGAGACGATAGTCACCGATAGTTCGAGACCTTGAATGGCATGGCTCAAAACCGTTTGCGATGGCGCACGTGCATCCACTCTTTGCATTCTTTCGAATTCTAATCTTCTGAATTCCTCAAAACCATTATCTTTCACTTACTAAATATATTTCGCTGAATTGTACTTCTTGAATAATATCTCCGCTTCCTAATCTTCTCCATTACCGCTAATACTTCTACTATCTCTACGATTATGGGATTTGAAGCGACTATTGCGTCTCTGCGGTAATGTGGTATGGCAATATGAACTTCTGTACGTATGTATGAAGTTCTGCGTTACAACCGACTGATTGACTGACAATGCGAAGGTAGTAGGTAGAACTTCTCTCATAGGATAACAGTGCCATGGTCAGATGAAGAAATTTTCTTTTCAGCAACTACGAACTTTTCGTACCCTCTGTTTTATCACAATATTAAAGTTACCATATAAAATTATGTTTACTGTCCTCGGAAATCAATATTTCATGTAGCATTTTATTTTTCTTAATAAAATAATCCTATTTAAGTAATTCTTTTTCAGGTCAATCGATTGTAGTTAGATTGTGATTGTTTTATCAATTACACATGATAACACTTAATTGTTATGACAGAGTTTTTAAATGTTTCATATTCAGTTCACAATCTTTGTTTCTACAACCGATCGCGTCCTCTTATCATTATCATAATCATCATTACCCGACCATAGCTTCTAACTCGATGTGGTTGTCGGGCTTGCTTATCTTGATGACCCAACCGAACTATATTGGCGGCAAAGTATGTTCTCTTAGGTTCTAACATGCCGGGCAAGTCGATTGGTGAACAACAGTTAGATTAAAAGCCGCAACTTAAGATCTGAAGACGAAGTTTTACTGCTGACCTGTAGAAGAGTATGACATCAATGAAGTGTTTCCCTCGGACAACCAGCATCTGCAGCGATTCTGCCTTCAGGAACTGGAAGGATGGTGTTAGAATGTCACATCTCATCTTAACTCACTGATTTCCGTCTCCGACGGTAAGACCATTTAGAGTGTAGAGCTATTCCAAAACATCCGTACGTGACCGGTATGAAGCGGTTGTCCCTTGGGATCTGCGGTCATACTCATAACAGCATATGAGACCAAATAAGTCATAATCAAATCATCGATTATCAATCAATGTACACGGAAATCAAGTTGACGAAAGCAGCGTAACAAATAAAACAACATATATTCTGTTAGAACAACACATATAAGTGAACAATATTGTTTTCGATTAGATCGTCATCAGGCTCTATACTCTAATATACATGAATATTTATATGAAAATGTTAAACCAATCAAGGCAATTTGAGTGATCATCACAATGAAATGAAAAAGGCAAAAGTACAAGTTGATAGTAGGAAGATAGGTGAACCGATAGTAGTAGGAAAATTTATAAAATATGATAACTAAAGTAGGTCAAAGGTGGATGAATAGAATTCAAATAATCATCAAAAACATTACGTAATAAGCAAATGTGTAAAAATAAAATAAAAAATATAATGTCCATCGTTAGTTACGTCATATCCGGCCACGGAAGAGATAGGGATGTCACGAATTTCTTCTGAACACATAAATTAGGGTTGAATGTGCGTATTCCTATGGCTTCTGCGATGTGTAGGAGACGGGATCGAACTCCGTTGGGAAATAATGGAGGTGTACGATAGATCACCCGAAAAGATCTACAATGTGACCACTATCTACCAGGTGTGCTAAGATAGAACTGCGTATTGTTTTTGACTGACCCTTCGTAAACCATGCTGGGAGATGTTCACTCACTCGTTGTGTAAGTTGCCTGGAAGTACGCCCGATATAGCTATCTCCACAGGAGCAGCTGAATTTGTAAATGCACATAGATGACGATCTAATCGAAAACAATATTGTTCGCTTATATGTGTTGTTCTAATTTTCACAATGGGAATCTTTATTATATTCTATCGCAGGTTCTACTCACTCCTGGTTTAGTTCGACTCATCATAACCAAACTTAATATTTAAAATTCTTTGATAAAACATGTTTAACTCAAAGGTGTTGTATACAAATGGACACATCTACTTTCTTGCTGAGTTTTCTCTGTTCAACTGATTTAGAATTAATAACACATGTTATACTAATTTTTAATATGGAAGAACATATTCAAACATTTGATTGTTTTAAATAGATTGGTCAATTGAACTCACAAAACAGTGTAAAGAAAGTAAAATCTATGTCTAAAAATAAAAATGCTTCACAATTACATTGAATAATGAAATTAAAAAAACTTTCTGTTTGGCTTTTTTTCATTTCTAGCGTACATCGACGTGAAATTACTGTAGAGATTAGTTGTGAAGGATTTTATCGAACTGGAATACGACCAGATATACCACAATATGCATTGAATTTAGTTTCATTAATAGCTCATTTACGTTTTCATAAATCATTAGAAAGTTTAGAGAATCGTTTAGGTTATACATTTAATGATAAATCTCTATTGCATGTAAGTTTACATTTTACTTGTCTTTCTGTTTGTGTGTGCGTGTGTGTTTGTGTGTGTTCAAGAAATATCTGTTTGCTGACTAAAAGACGAGTGTACTGCGTAGTAGCTCGCTCCGTCCAACTATATGGCTGTGAAACATAGCTAGTGTATCTAAAATTAATGTTTTACCTGGTTTTCAGAAGGGGTATAGGCCACTTGACATCCGAAAGAACTCGGCTTTCATCATGACACGTCATAACTCTTGCAAATGAAAACCTTCCAACTCCCTAAGCAGAGTTTAAAAGGTTAGCGGTTTTTTTAGCTAGTTAGTTTTCAACAGGATGGGAAGAATGATTAACATGAATGATTGACAATGATCGATTGATGATTTAAATATATATATATATATATATATATATATATATATATAATTGTATGTCTACCTCTTGATTTGTTTGTTTTAATTTTTATAGCAATCTCTTACTCATCCATCATATCGTCGAACTAATTTCGGTACAAATCAAGATCATTTTCAAAATTCACTAGTTAGTTGTGGTCCACGTATTTTAGAATATGGTGATAAACTAGAATTATATAAAGCATGGCGTAAAAAAGGTTTAACTAAAATGATACAAGTTATGTCATTTCTACCGAAAATGCATGAAGAACGATCAAACATATATGGAAATGAACGATTGGAATTTTTAGGCGATGCTGTTGTCGAAGTAATCTCTAGGTAAAGTGAAATCATGTTGATAACTTGTTTTGAATTAACTGATTAATTAATTAATTAATTAATGATGAGTTTTAATTTGTGAAATTTTTTTTTGAAAATCAAACACTGTGATCCTTTGAATAAGACAGACAGCTGCTGTTATTCTATTCAATTTGGTTAGAGTTAGGGTGTGTGTGTGTGTGCGCCTACAATTAATTCCATGTGAAAATAATTAATTCAGAACAAACAAAACAGAAATTTGAACAGAGAAATGAGAAGACATATTTTGTGAGATAGTACCATTTTGTGCTTTCTCGTCAGTCACAACATACAAGCAACATGTTATTTGTGTAAATACAGCAGTTTTGAAGATATGGTCAAAATTTCTTATTTAGCATGACATTCACTCACTAGAATCATGGAAAACAAAGGTCAACATACAGTTGTTTTTGAACACTTAAAGTTGAACTTTTCCGACCAATCAAGATAGCTTCGAGTAGTTTCAGTGTGTGTGTGTGGGTTTTGATTACATGTCACAACTCTAAAGGCTGATTTTGGGTCAATTTAATGACCACTCATCATTAGATGTTTTGCAATGGACGAGGCTGGGTTTCTTGATCGATTTTGAGATGACGGGCTAGGTTGATGAATCATGAATTTGATTAACCATTTTGGAATATTTTCTCCTATCCTGTCTTCCAATCGGCGATCTGTCCTCCCTAAGTAACTTTCTCCGCTGTTACATGTGAATTGGTAAATACAGTGGGATTTGGACTGAATCGGTCTTGGAGACTTGATTGGGGTAACTGAGATCGATTGAGTTGTTGTGATAAGTCTCAGATTAGCTGCATTGAAAGTCTTTTTTATTGCAGCTGCAGTCTGTTTGGTTGTAATTTTCATGCAATGATCACCCTTGAAAGGTAACTGTAGGTACACTGGTTTCTTGGGCACATCAGTTGCTATCAGCTTCGTCGTAGTTGTGTTCTGATGACCAATAAACGTTTCAGGATATCCGTTTGATTTAAGTGTCTCAGTAATAAGCTTGAATTCGTCGTTCAATGTATCAGCAGTGCAGATTCTACTTGCTCGAGCGAATAAAGTTTTGACAACAGAACGTTTATATTTAATACGATTCACCCGAATCTAAAAGTCACTTATGAGGAAGAAAATTTATCAAAGGGAATCACTGTTTTGAAAAAAGAAATTGAATGTAGAAACAACCTGCCCTTAGTCAGTATTGGTTCATTTTTCAATGATTTGCTAACTGAGGTGTTTACCCTACTGAGAGACAAATGATTCTAAATAATAATATTCAAACAAAACATATGTACATTCAGTGCTCGTCATTTTTTCAATAATACATTCTAGTTAATGTCATTTTGTAAAAAAAATTCAGTTCTAACAAGAATCCTTTCAACTTGTGTTACCGTAGCTGCTACCACCTTAACGTGGTGGTCGGGCTTGTCTATCATAATGATTATAGAGGGATGTGACAGCAGTAAGGCGTTTGTTTCCCTCGGACAACCAGTATCTGCAGCGATGCTGCCTTTCTGAAATGGAAGGAAGGTGCTATGAAAGGTCGACCAAAAAATGTCACTCCTCACTTAACCCCACTGATTTGCGTCTCCGGCAGAAAGGCCACCTGAAGAGTGAAAATTTCCACTTTACAAACTTCTCATAAAACCGCCGCGTGTGATCGGCCTAAAGTAGTCGTCCTTCGGGCTTGGCGGTCACGCTGCCATGTCGTTAAAAGCCAACACTAATCCGACTTCCTTTTTAGGTTCCTCATGAAACACCCTTTCACAATGTGGGCAGCTGGGAAGTGATATCTGCGCTCATACTCATAACAGCACACGAGACCTAATTGGTCACAATCAAATCCTTCCTACACCTACTAATAACTCTCGTATCTGCACGACCTTTCAACTTAACTGTTCAACTAGTCAACTCACTAATAATATACTTCAATATGTGACTAACAAAGTTCAAGTATGTACGAAAGTGAAACAGTTAGTTTTTCGTAATGGCATTAAATAACTGTCATACTGTGTTACGATACTTATCTAATTTCCTAAGATAATCGTTTGTAAGTCTAATTCTATTGGTCAATTCCTATTGGTCGTCCTGACTATCAATGTCACAGACTTCAAATGTTGTTTCCTATTCGACCTAACTGTATAAATACGCATTATCTGTAAAGTCTTATGACCCGGACCCGGATCCCTAGTCCGGGATCCTGATTCTCTTCTGGACTCGGACTACTTACTTTCTGGACGCTTGTAGAATACATGTTCTACTTCATATCAAGTTTTCTTCTTTTACTCAATGAAGGTTAGGACACTTGGATTAGAGTAGCATATCGTGTCGCCGGATCATCGATCTTCACTCTCGTTTTCTGGCTAAGGTAAACTCGTACTAGTTCAAGCATATCAAATTGACATATTTACGTGCATGCATAACATACTGTCTCACGAATTGATTGAAATCGACATGTTACAATGTAGGACCTCAGCTCTTAGATCGATTTTGATTGGTTAATTTATTCTGTTCAAAGCTTAAAAATCATGTATTTGATGCCGAATACAATTATGGACGTATAAATGCTGTAGAACTTTAGTTTTTTTTTAAACAGCTAGTTATTTTGAAATATTTTTTTTCTCCTTGTTTCTCTTCATTTACTTACTGTCTTCTAGCTTGTTTGTTTTTTCTCTTCACAAATATCTATTTATAGTATCCATTTATTCTTCATGTTCCCTGACTTATCTGAAGGTCATTTGGATGCATACCGTCAAGCTATTGTTCAAAATCAACATTTAGCTGAATTAGCTGTTGTAAGTTGTATTTATTATTCATTGAATATTATTTCATTGCAGTGAATAAATGCAACAACAGTCAGTAACACTTGATCACATAATTAATATGAATTTAATCAAAATAAATTTTATCATCATAGTAGAATTGCCATTAGGATATAGTAATCAATGATAGTGGACAATACTCCACTGGGTTTAAACTCCACTAGTCATGTCTTCTCAATAGAACTCTGAGAATTTCTTTGTGAAGCTATTGACAAGTGATTATTAGTTATTATTGAGATCATGAATCGATCATTGTTAGGTTGAGCAAAACCTCACATTGATCAGAGTTAGACTTCTTTGACAAGGTGAAATCAGATTAATAATTTTACTAGGATCCTGTATGCGCGTTTCCGAGACACAGTATACATCGATGACGCGAGATTCTAAAGTCCTAGCTAAGGAAGCCTGTTGCCCTATTTGACACAGTGTGTCCGTACATTAAATGCTCCAACATGTAGTTTAGAACGGGGTTTCAGGTGGCGAGAAATAACGTTTCGTGAACTCACATTGTTTGTGTGATAAAGGAATGTGAGAAGAGTTAGTCGTGGAAATAAGAGAGGTATTAGGGGGTGAAAGAAGGATTTGATTTTGACCAATTTCATCTCCTGTGCTGTTACGGGTATGAGGGCGGTTATCACTTCCCGGCTGCCCACACCGTGGAAGGTTGTTTCTTGAGGAACCTGAGAAGGATGGTAGATTAGTGTTGGCCTTGGAGACCTGGGTGCGTGACCGCAGAGCCCAGGTGACAACTGCTTGAGGCCGGTCACGCACAGCCTTTTTACGAAAGGTTTTTTGAGACGGAAATCCGTGAGGTAGGGTGAGGTGTGACATTGTTAGGGTCGACCTTTTCTAACCCTTCCTTCCCTGTGAGAAGGCAGTATCGCTGCAGATGCTGGTTATCCGAGGGAAACACCTTACTGCTATCACAGCCCTCTGCAGTCAGCAGTACGACTTCGCCCTCAGATCTTGAGTAGCTGCTTTTAGTCTCATCGTTCTCCAATCGACCTTCCTGGCATGGTAGAACTTTCAGGAACATATGTTCCAGTCAGTATAGCTCGGTTGGGTAATCACGATATGCAAGCCCGACCACCACGTCATGGTAGCAGCTTCGGTCGGGAGAGTTAGACTATAAATACTTGATCATACCTCATCACATTGAGTCGGTTCACTGGCTTTCTCCGTTTCGCTTCGTTTTGCTCGTACGTTCATGTCTATCTGTGTGAACGATTGCCCGAAATAAATTCATTCGACTGTATATGTATTTGACTTCTCATCACCGCCGTCGCACAAATAGGGGTTTGCCTACGTATGATGTACGAAAACTGAAGAGGAAGATTTATTTTACAGCATACTTAATTGTTGATACAATGAAGACGCAGTATACATCGATGGCGCGAAATTTTAATGTCCTAGCTAAAGAAACCTGTTGCCCTATTTGACACAGTGTGTCCGTACATTAAAAGCTCCAACATGTAGTCTAGAATGTGGTTTCAGGTGACCAGGAATGACGTTTCGCGAACTCGCATCGTTTGCATTAGCGGTGTAGTGTGATAAAGGAATGTGAGTAGAGTTAATCGCGGAGATAAGAGAGATATTAATGGGCGTAGGAAGGATTTGATTGTGATCAATTTGATCTCGTGTGTTGTTACGGGTATGAGGGCGGTTATCACTTCCCGGCTGCCCACACCGTGGAAGGTTTTTTCTTGAGGAACCTGAAAAGGAAGGTAGATTAGTGTTCGTTTTAACGACTAAATATGTCTCACTGAACTATACTTCTTGAATAATATTTTCGATCCCTAATATTCTCCATTACCGCTAATACTTCTACTATCTCTACCACTGTGTGATTTGAACTGACAGTTGCATCTCTGTGTTAATGTGGAATGACAACCTGAACTTATGTACTCATGTACGAAGTTCTACGTTGTAACTGACTGACTAAATTGTTCATAAATATTGGAGTTAGATTATGAGGCACTAAAATAATGAGCCCTACTTCAAATCTAACACAGCCACTAGAATCTTAATGTTCACTGTTCCGATATGACTTTGAAGTGATCGATATGCATCCAGAAGAGATTCGCTATTCTCTACTTAAAGGATGGATGATCCAATCACTAACTATTCCCAACTGAAGAAGAGGACCAATGACCATCATCATTCCAAGATCAATAGTTCATAACTTGGTTACTATTTACTACAGTCTTCATCCGCACATAATAACATTCACTCTCCTAATTACGACATTGATTGATTGATTGAAGTATATCAGTATGCAAATATGTAAATAACCAGTTGACTAAAGTGATAAATTTTTTCGAAAGTTTAATTCTTTCAGTGTTGTTAACTATATTAGTCAACTAGATGCAGAATGTGTATCTTAACAATGAGCATTAAGACAATGCCTAATTTCTCAGTATGTAATTAAGCCACCTAATATCATACAAGGTCTGCAGTATAATGTACTAGTAAGATACAAAGACTAGTGGTCGCATCACAAACTAATCGATAAAATCTAATTTTATTGATTTTTTTTTCAAACACAAACATTGATACAAAAGGGCAAGTAAATGTTTATGCATGCTACACAAATTATTAAATTTGTGTGTAGGCTGGAGGAATACAGCTTGGCCTACTTAATAAAGCGAAGCAGATGGTTTTAAGCAGCTCATGACTGAACTTCAATGTGGAAAAATGATCAAGTGTGCAATGAAATAAATCTTCCTATCCATTTCCGTATATCATACTTAGGCAAACCGCGTTCGTGCGGTGGCGGTGGCAGCGGTAGTAGTGTGGCGCGCGCTACTTATAAGTAGTATATGACGCGCGAGTGTAAACGTAATGTCTGGCAGCAAAAGATGGGGAAAGATCAAGAAAGGAAGAGTGGGAATACAATGGATTGAAGATTTGAAAATTAACCGTTTACGATATGGTTTTCCTATTTACTGAGTAACTCTGTAATTTGCGATAAATGCAATTCGGTTGCCCTCACCTGTGTTCTCCTTCACTACAGTAGCAAGCAAAATACAGTGTTGCGGATTAATTTATTTTATGCATTCATCTATGCAGACAGATATGAGAATCGAAAGCGTGTACAAACAAAGCGAAGCGAATTGAAGAAGGCGAGTGAGCCAACTCTTCAGCGTTGAAGCAATGGCTAAGTATTTATAGTCAGGCAATAATAAGCTAGATAATAAGCCAGTAAGCATCCACACACAATCAAATATACATTTATGGAATAATTTTAACGACAAATCATTGAAGTACAATGAGTGAATGGTCAGATGCTACAGGCTTTCTTAGGGTAACAGTCCACGAGCATTTGAACCAACGTATATATATTCCACAAGGCAGTAGAGCGACGTTCGGAGATGTAGTCCCATAGTGTAGACGATTGCCGAAGATAGATTCATAAGCCTTTTTTCTCTCTCTCGGTACAGTGGAACCCATGTACACCGTTGGTTTTGAGTGAAGGATTTTCAACTCCTCTATGTGGGTCTATCATTCGTAACAACCTGGTTTTAGGCATCACCGAACACTCCTTTCGTTCTGTCAATTTTGTAAATACAGCGACTCTGTCTTGAGAAGGCAGTGAATTGGATTTTCTTAGTTGATGCTTATATATAAATGCGTGGCTACATGAGAACCTTTCAAAGGAGAAAGTGCACTTTCCTCATTCTCATTCATATCCGGTCATTTGCGCGCCAATGATTATTAAATGATCAATTAGTGTGTAATCACTTTAGTTGTAAGAGATTTTATCCCCCAGTGAAATAAATTTAATCAGAGAAAGATAATGGTTTTGAGGAATTCAGATGGTTAGAATTTGAGAAAGCACAGAGAATGGGGATGCATATGCACCATTGCAAACGATTTTGAGCCATTCCGTTCAAAGTCTCTAACCATCATCGGTTACTATCGTCTGGCCAACCCCAACCAATATGACTCAATCCACTTGTCAATGACTTCATGGATATGTGGCGGGAAGCTGTATCTGGCTGTCCTACCCGTAACAGCACACGAGATTAAATTGTTCACAATCAAATTCATCCTTCACCCTCTAACAAACTTTTACTACTGTGAGGTCCAAATTTACTGCGTGTTCTTAAGTTTCGTAATTAACTCGTTTAGACAATCGTCACTAAGTAGCGTCTGATGGTTTATAAATCAGAAAGCGAATTCGAAGTATGAATACGTTTATATTTTGGACACACCACATAGCCAAGTTGAAAAGCAGAGAAAGAATGAGCGAAGGTAGCGAGCGAATAGGCGAAGCGTGTTGGAGAAAGCTGAGAGCCAACTCAAAGAAATAGAGCGTAACTAAGACTATATAGGCAGACAAATATAAGACAGACATGCAACAAGCGAAATAGGCACACATGAACGAAAGCGACGAATAGTTGACAAGGTCAAATAACAAGTGGAGTACATCATGTGAACTCATACAAACCAACAATAATAAGAACAATGGGTACATATAAGTTGTTGCTACGCGAATGGCTTGGTTAAATAGATTAATCGAAAGGGCTTAACCAAGTTAGATGTAATCAAACTGGAATATATGTGGAGGCACTACACTACATTAGAACAAATTCAATTTTTAATCATATTCATTTTGAAATATATTCTATGCATGTTTTCTGTTAATAATAATAATAATCGATGTATATTTTTGAATAAGTAAGTTAGTAAATATCTCTCTCTTTCTGTCTTTATGTACTTGTTTTGGTTTTAGCGTCTTGGCATTCATAAATATTTACTATATACTCATAGTGTAGATTTTTGTTATGATTCTACATTTATCTACGCTCGATCGGATGCATTTGAAGCTTTAATGGGTAAGTTTTTTTAATGCATGTTTATGTAAAAGTGTATTTTCAAGGGTTAAGGAGATGATTATTGATATGCACCAAACATCCTACGAAGAATCATTTTGTAAGTTGTAAATTCTATTGGTCGATTCCTATTGGTCAATATTATGATCGTCCTGACTATCAATGTCACGTACTTCAATGTTGTTTCTTATTGGTTGTCCTGACTATTAATGTCAGTACTTCAAATGTTTTTTCCTATTGGTTGCCTTAGCTGGCAGCGCTTTTTCCTGATCTCTTCCTCAATTGTAATCTAGTTTATCCTCTCCTATGCATAGCTTGTTGCTGATGATGTCTGACCAACTAATCTGGAGTATCTAGAGTGGAGAACTATTAATCAACACCTGTATCTTCTATATGATAGCTTTTATAGTTCTCCATGTTTCCCACTCCCCATACGATAGAACTATTTCATTGTTTGCATTGAAAATTCTGACTTCTGATCAATTTTTATTTTTTTTTATCATGTTTGAATTCAACAATGACAATTCACTCACATTCTCACACATCAGCATCACTGTGAACTGCTCTAACCATAGAAAAACAAAGAAGAGGGACAGTTTGCACGACATGAATAGAATAGGACAGATAACTACTCTTTCAAACAATACAGAAAATGAGTGAATTTATTAATGAAAAAAAAATTAAAGTCACAATAACAACACCAAGCAATTTATAGAAAGCATAGGTTATGTAGAACTCCGCCTGTAGACCCTTCAGGGCTACTGCTGCGGTCCCAAGCCCCCGGATAAAGGAGGAGGGGTTGGTCATGGGGATGGCGACCCCATCCCATTAAAATAACTAACTTGCCAAAACAACCCTAACCAGAAAAAAATAAATCGAACCATTTTACCTCTGCCCTGAGAGTTGAAAGGAGAATTATGACTTCTTGTGATGAAAGCCGAGTTCCTGCGGAAGTCAAGAGGCCAATGCCTCTCCTAACAACCAGAGCAACCACTTTTTTTTAGGTAAATTGTGGGAGACTGGAAGCTTACTTCATGTTGCTGCAGAAATGAGATGATACAACCTGGAAGTGCTTGGAATCAACGAAACGCATTGGTCACAGTGTGGTGTGTGCTACTTATACGAACGATATAAGTAGTATAAGAATGGACGTGAAAGAAGAAGTCTCACGGTCAGAAGAGGAAAACGGAAAGCAAATAGAGCAAAAGCGAGAAATAAATAGAGCACCGACAGGAAGTAAAGGAAGCAACAGCAGCAATGGAAGAAGGTTGGAGCGTTGGAAGTCAGGACTCAAAGATGGTGTGCAAATAGAGTGTTCAATGTGATGTTTTCGTTTTTAATTGACTAAGAGTGTCAATTTGCCCAAATACAATCTATCGAGCCTGTTTCAGTCTTCTCAACAGGACAAGCCCTCATATGGAACCCACAAGTCAAAAGGAAATGAAGAAGGCTCAGGGAACACATTATGCCGAGAAATAGAGAAAGACATGAGAAGAATCAACAAAAACTGGAAAGAACTAGAAAGGAAAGCCCAGGACAGAGTTGGTTGGAGAAAACTGCTGGGCGGCCTATGCTCCATTGGGGGTAACAGGCGTAAAGTAAGAAATTATAGGTTATACAGTCCTGTTGCTGTTGAAATTCGATTTCGCTTGTGATGGATGATCCTCGTTTGTTGGTAGTTGGTAATGCAGATAAACCTTGTATTACATGTTCTCTCATATGGTTTGTTTGAGTAAATCAATATAGTGGAATATTGATTTTATTTGTACAGACAACTACTCTTTATGATTGACATAATGATAATAATTATATATTTGCATTTTAGCTGCAATTACATTAGACGCTGGATTAGATATTGTTGATAGAATATTTGGTGCTGTACTATTTGGTGATGATGAAAGAATTCATCGTGTTTGGGTAAAAATTCCACCTCATCCATTACAATCTCAATGTCCTGAAGGTGATCGATCATGGGCAACAAAAGTTCCAATGTTAAAGGTATTTTCGTATGGTGACATTCTACCTTTTTTTTTTGAACATATTTAGTCTGTTAAGTTCATTAGAGTCAGTCAGTCAGTTACAATGTAAAACTTTGTACGTACGTACGTACGTACGCATGTACATCTTGTCAAGTTGTCATATTATACACACATTAGCTAGCAGCACACAGTGAAATTGAATTGCCAATTCAAATTCCATAGTAGTAGAGATAGTAGAAGTATTCGTGGTGGAGAAATAAACTTTAAAAGAGAAACATAGAGGTGACAAAGAACTCACAAGGTTAGAATTTGAGAGAATACAAAGGATGGATGCACTTGCACCATTGTAAACGATTTTGAACCAGATCATTCAAAGTCTCTAACCAGGTAGTGTACACCTCTACTATCAACATGGCTCAGTCCAGTTATCAGTGATTTCATGGATTTTTGCCATGTTTTGGTTTGGCCACCGCTAACTTTCTGACAACCCACTGCCACACCACAAAACATAACTCGTCAAGGCAGTTAGTGGTTGAGCATTTGTAACACTTCGCCCAAAGTCCATTACTCTCTCTCTCTCTCTCCCTCTAATGTAGATAAGAGGAGAATGTAATCATGTAAGCAATAATAACCGAGTAAATTACCTTCCACAGCGTTTTAATAATGAATCTTTATATAATTAAATAAATAATAAATACATATTCTTCAAAAGTTTTATTCTTAACTATCATCCTTTGGTATGATGACCTTTTGGTTTGTATTATACTACTGAATTCTAACCAGTCAATCTGTATATATGTATATATGTATATGTATATATATATATATTCTGTACAAACTGAAAGTGTCATTTTACCAAGTTGATCGATCTACTATTCTCATATTTGATTTGTATTATAAAATTTTTCAATAAACTAGTTTTCAATAACACACTTTTAAGCTATTTTCTGGTTTATGATATATTATTTTTACCCTATGGGATTACAAACAATTTTATTCTCATTACTAACGAGGAGGAGAAGAGAGTATTATACCACGGCAAGAACTGTGAAAAATGCTCAACAGTTCTTGTTGTTGCTTTGTATACTACTCCGCAGAGAAAATCTACTGCAGAATGATACTGTTCATTTTGGTTATATATATCATTGACCAGTATAATGCTTAGAAAGTTAAATCGACGACTGTTTATTGTTGACTTTTGTTCAAAATATTCTGTTAAATTTTATTTACATTTTGTGTATTCATTTTTTACTATTCATATATATATATATATATATATATATATATATATATATTATTGGGTTCGTCACTAAGTATGCTTGAGGCTATTACGAGTTTACCTTAGTCGATAAACGCGAACGAGACAATAAACCAGCGTCCAGGTAGGCTACCTTGAATCCCCAACTAAGGTAAGAAGGCTTTGTAAGCGTAGAAAGTATATTCTACAAACACCCAGCAATTACAATACAATCAAGCACACAACTCTCGTTTATTTATACACCATAGAGACGTCCTTGGGACAGTTAAGAAAATAGCACACTAAAATACACAGCAAACAATCACAGCCATAGATTTTCCTGGTGGGAATTGAATTCTCAAGGTCAACTGATCAGCCCATGTTGGCAAACGTGAAAACCAAAATAAGGCATTTATCAAGCGTGTTTCGGGGATATAACATCCCCAACATATATATATATATATATATATATATATATATATATATATATATTGCAATCTGAGACAGTCTATTCTTTGAAATTATGAATCGAGAATTGTTAGACCACCATTAAAAATCTGGAAGCACTGGATGGTCGTTTTGTCCAAGTATGGGACTTGAATGCGTGATATTGTGCAATATTAGGGTGATCAAGCTTAGATATTTACGCCGTTAGATGCAAGCTCAGTGGTCTAGAGGTTAAGTGTTCGTGCACGAGACCGAAGTGTTATGCTCGTCAATTGATATGCTTGAAACTATTACGAGTTCCCCTTAGTCGATAAACGAAAGCGAAGATAAATAATCCAGTGACAAGAAAGGCTACTCTAGTTGGAGCTTCCCAAGGAACCAATAAGTAGAGGAAGAAGTCTTGATAAGACGTAAAAAAGTGTATTCTACAAGCATCCTGAAAGTACAAGGTTGACAAGCACACAAATCGAGTTTATTTATACATGATGGAAACGTCCTTGGGAGAACCACAACAATAGTGTACTAAAATAATACATCAACCAATGATAGTCAGGGATTTTCCGAGTGGGAAATGTAATCTCAGGGTTAAGTGACCAGCCCATGCACGAAAACATAAAATCCAAAATTAAGGCTTCCATCAAATGAGTTCTGGGGATCTAACGTCTCCAAAACGAAGGACCTGGGTTCGATTCTTGTGAGTAGTGGGAGTTGTGAATGCACACTGTTGATGATTCTCATACTAGAATGAAATGGTCGTTCAGTGCTTTTAGGTTTCTAATGCTGTTCTAACAAGGATTCATTCATCATTTCAATAATATATATATATATTTCATAATCAAAGTTCCCCCCTTAGATTTTTGCCATTTCCCAACCAGTATGTATCTATTTATTAAACCGTTTTAGAAATTATGTACATTAGAAGATACTTTGGGTATAAAATTTAAACATCTACGTGTACTTGCTCGTGCTATGACTATACGAAAAACTGGTTTTAATTTTTATACTTTGTAAGTTTAATTGAAAATGTTTTATGCGACATTGATCTTATTTGTGTGTGTTGTGTGTTCATCACAGATATTAGTGGTAAATTTTGAGTTATCATTGAAAACACCAGAAAGTATTGGTCATCTATTTCGGTATAGTATCAGTCAGTCAGCTACAGCGAACAACTTCGTACGTATGGACGTACGTACATCAGTTCAAGTTGCCATATCACATTAGCACAGAGGACGGATATCACTTCCCGGTGTCTACACCGTGGAAAGGTGTCTCTTGAGGAACCCGAAAAGGAAGACCTGCCAACGTGACTGCAGAGCCCAAGGGACAACCGCTTCTAGGATAAAGTGAGGTGTGAAATTTTTAGGGTCGACCTTTTCTAACCCCTTCATTCATTTCGGGAAAGCAGCATCGCTGAAGATGCTGATTGTCCGAGAGAAACACCTTACTATTGTCAAATCCATTTACCTCCAGCAGTACGACTTCGCCTCCAGACCTTAAGTTACTGCTTTTCGCCTTATTGTCTTCCTCTAATCGAACTGCCTGGCATGGTATGACCTAAAGGAACCATATGTTTCATCCAATATAGCTTGGTTGGGTCATCACGATAGGCAAACCCGACGACCATGTCAAGGTAACAGTTACATGCAGGATTTCGTTATATCAATAGGAATCTGTTGGTTAGTCAATTTCAAACCAACAACAGAACAGGAAAGCTTTTTCTTCATTTATTTGTAGTATTTTTATGATATGACATCTCTTTCATTGTTTTATTTTTTAATTTCCTCTTTTCATAAATAATTTCTAGAGGTGATAATCAACGTTTAGAATTTCTTGGTGATTCTTTATTGAAATATGTATCAACCGATTATTTATTTCGACATTTTCCACGACATCATGAAGGACATTTATCATTATTAAAAAATTCTCTAGTTAATAAATATACTCAAGCATCTGTATGTAGTGAATTAGGTTTGGAAAATTATGTAATACGTCGTGAAGATAATAGTATGCATAAACATAATGATGTTGATGACGATGATGGTAATAAGAATAATACTACTTATATAAGTAGTCAACAATCAATCAATCAACTCAAATTTAAACGTAATAAAAAATCTGGTCAAAAACGAATTAACACTTCAGATAACAATAAAAATGATCATTGTAATGCACAAAATCAAAATGTAAAATATAGAGCTGATTTATTAGAAGGTAATTAAGTTTCTTTTTTAATTTTAATTGTGTTTTATTGTTGTAAGCATTTTGTTTATTTTTTCGTATTGTTCAAATTCATTTGCAAATTACAATACCGATGTACTCGATTTAGTTTTTGTCTATACCTATATATATTTGTCCAAACTAAGTTTTAGGTAGAAGGTGAAGTTTGGTCTTGAACGAGACTATGGTTTTAATGTTCAATGCTGAAGACTGTGTGTGATCGATCAAGACTGTATCGTTTTATCAATAGATGAAGTAGTGAAACTTCATCAGTTGAGGTGGTTGGGACATGTGTTACATATGCCTAACCACCGACTGCCTCGACGAGCTGTGTTTTGCTGTGTAGGAGTAGGTTGGAAGAAAGTTAGGGGCGGCCAGACCAAAACATGACAGAAATGCATGAAGTCACTGACAAGTGGACTGAGTTATGTTTGTAGATGTATGCTACGTGGTTGGGGTCCGCGAGACGATAGTCACCAATGGTTAGAGACGTTGAATGACATGGCTCAGAATCGCTTGCAGTGGCGCAGGTGCATCCACTCTTTATGTGCTTTTTAATTCTAACCTTCTGAATTCCTCATAATCTCTATCTTTCTACTTCTAAATTTATCTCACTGAATTATACTTCTCGAATCATATCTTCGCTCCGTAATCTTCTCCATTACTGCTAATAATTCTACTATCCCTATCACCCTTGGATTTGAACTGACATTTACGTCTCTGTGCTTTTGTGGTATGGCAACCTGAACTGATGTACATACGTATGAAGTTCTGCATTGTATCTCTCTATCTGTCTATGTTAACTGTTTTTAAGTGTTAACTGTATTCAATAAACAAAGATTTTTTATAGCATTACGTTAAAATTCAGGGGTTTTTGTGAAAGGGCTGAAAACAAGCTTATGTTAATTGTTCAGTTAGAACTATCTAAGGGTAGGAAATTGTGTTTTCTCAGACTATACTTAGGCATTTCTAATATGATCAGTCAGTCAGCTACAACGTAAAACTTCATATATACGTAGATCAGTTCAAGTTACCATACCACATTAGCACAAAGATATCGAATTGTTTAATTGAAATCTCATAGAGGTAGATGTAGTAGAAGTATTCTAATATTAGAGCCAATCAAAAATGGCCGAACAAAAAAGTCACTTACTGGTCACCAGAAGAAATATACTCAAGGATGAATGCCTATCATTAGTCAAAAAATAGACTTAAAGGAGAGAAATGTGTCAATGAGTATCCATGTATATGATTCAATAGCTGAATAAGTTATCTCTTATTTTCTTACTCAATAAATCAGTCTAGAGGGTTAGTGTATATCAGGTTCGGACATTGCACATCATTGCAAATTCCTACCGACTCTGAATAATCAAAATAACCTTGGTATTTCTCCACTGATTTCTGAAACGCTTTCTAAAGAGTCGCTAGATGTTCATTGTGTTGAGTAATCGCTGAATCGTATCCAAAAAAAGCAATAAATATATCTTCTCACTTGACACACACCATTCCTCTGGTTGAAGTTTGTTGCATTGATATGCGTATGTACGTTTTGTTTATTATGTCATAATCATAGTTTGATACAACAACCATTTCTAACTTCTGATACAAAAAGCCTACTTACTTACTTACGCCTGTTACCCACAATGGAGCATAGACCGCCCACCAGTTTTCTCCAACCAACTCGTCCAGTTGCGTCCCAGATGTCCACTGAATACCGCGCTTCCCTGACACCGAGTCTGATACCGGTCTTCACCTCGGACGAGTCTGTTAGCTGTCCATCGTGTACGATTTCGCAGTTGAATCTATCATAAGAATTCCGTATGATGTTAACTATTTTCTCAGGCACACTGTAGTCTCGAAGAAGCCTCCATACATATTGTTTTCCTATCCACGCTATCGAATACCTTCTCGTAGTCGATGAAGTTGATGTAGAGTGGTGAGTTCCATTCAATTGATTGATACAAAAAGTAATCATTGATTATATATAAAAAAAATACTAACATTACTCTTTTTCTATTCATTCTCTCGTCATCATCATCATCATTTTCTTCTTCTTTCCTTTTTTTTAGCATTTATCGGTGCATTATTTGTTGATAAAGATTTAACATGGGTTGAACGTTTTTGTCAAATTTGTTTTTGGCCACGTCTTGTTGAATTTATTTTAAAACAAGAATGGAATGATGCTAAATCAAAATTACAACAATGTTGTCTTACATTTCGTTCATTAAATGAAGATCCAGAAATTGCACATTATAAAGTTAGTTTATTGTTATTACCTACCGTTAATTCTCTATTTTCATGAAATAAAAACAAACTCTTCTTTTTTTCAAAAGAAACCCATCTGCAACGCCTTCTACGGTTACTGTCGGTCCGCAAGCTCGGATAAAAGGAAAAGGGTTGGGCATGGGGTTAGCGACTCCATCCGGTAGAAATCCAACTCGGTAAAACAGACAGACAGACAGATACAACGCAGAACTTCGTACGTAAGTACATCAGTTCAGGTTGCCATGCCCCATCAGCACAGAGACGTAAATGTCAGTTCAAATCCAAGAGTGATAGGGATAGTAGAATTATTAGCAGTAATGGAGAAGATTACGGAGCGAAGATATGATTCGAGAAGTATAATTCAGTGAGATAAATTTAGAAGTAGAAAGATAGAGATTTTGAGGAATTCAGAAGGTTGAAATTAAAAAGCACATAAAGAGTGGATGCACCTGCGCCATTGGAAACGATTTTGAGCCGTGTCTCTAACCATTGGTGACTTTCGTCTCGCGGACCCCAACCAGGTAGCCTACATCTACCAACATGACTCAGTCTACTTGTCAGTGACTTCATGTATTTGTGCCATGTTTTGTTTTGGCCGCCCCTAACTTTCTTCCAACCTACTCCTACACCACAAAATATAGCTCGTCGCGGCAGTCGGTGGTTAGGCATACGTAACACATGTCCCAACCACCTCAACTGATGAAGTTTCACTACTTCATCTATTGATTTGCCATACCTACCTAGATCTCGTTTCCTAACGACAACATTGCTGATACGGTTGTCCCATGATACACGAGCTATGCTTCTAAGACATCGATGTTCGAAGACTAGTAACCTACGGAAGTCCTCTACTCTTAACGGCCAAGTCTCGCATCCGTACAGTAGGATGGAGCGAACTACTGCACAGTACAGTCGTCCTTTGGTTAGTGAGCGGATATCTCGCCTTCGCCATAGGTGACGCAGGTTGGTAAAAGCCAATCGAGCCTTCTGTATCCGAGCTGAGATTTCGTCAGTCACCAGGCCGTCAGCACTGATGAGACTCCCCAGGTAAGTGAAGCCGTCCACACGCCCGACTACTTCACTTCCTATCACTAGTTCAGGTGCCGTTGCAATCCAATCTTGAAGCAACATTTTGCATTTCGAGGGGGAAAACGGCATCCCGAACATGCTTGCATTGTTGCCTAGGGTAGTCAGCGTCTTCACTAAGTAGGACAATGTCATCGGCATATTCTAATTCGATAACTCGTTAAAACAATACTATCCAGAAAATCAATTCGCTGGTTGGCGACGTATGCTCCTTTAATGGGTGGGTAATAAGCATAAGTACGTAAATAAAATACACTGATTTCATTCGCGTTTTGATTGTTCGATTTTTTATGAATTCCTCTCATCAATCCGGATAGGAATCAGCTATAATATTGTAGTATTATATATCGCACATGTTTGCAGTTCTTCTTCAGTGTAAATTTAAACTTATGACTTTGTAACATTATCAACGCGTTGTACTCAGATTAATTAACCTACCAGTGGTAAAATAAAACCTATCTCGTCAGTCCCACTGTTTTACAATAACTTCCAAGTTGATGTCAAGTTTGCAACGCGAGATTTGATATGTAATTTTAGAAAGGCAAGAATATTTTATGTCATGTAGAGTATTTCAGTGGTGAATAACTTATTGATCGCTTATGTTTCTCTGTCTTCATTAGGTTCTAGAACATAGTGGACCAACTAATCAACGTGTTTATCGTGTTGGTGTTTATTTTCGTGGGCAAAGATTAGCAACTGGTCAAGGTCGTTCTGTCCAACAAGCTCAAATGGAAGCAGCTAAAAAGGCATTGGAATTACATCAAGGTGAGTGATAATGTTGATCTCTTGAAACAGATATCATACAATGCTAATATATATCTGCTGTGGCGAATATTCACATGTGAAACTGAAATAGTTCAATGAACTTTTCTATTTTATACGATATATCACAACCAATTCGTCAATAGAAGCATGAATTGAACTTTGAAAGTTTTGATGAGATTTGGATAAAACTGTTACACCTGCACGTAAACACGTCAACTTGATATACTTGAACTATTACGAGTTTACATAGTCGGAAAACGAGAGCGAGGATGGAGGATCCGGTGACACGACATGCTACTCAAATCCGATTATCCCAACCCCCATATTTAGTAAAAATAAGAAGACGTGATATGAAGTAGAACCTATATTCTACAAGCATCCAGAAAGTACGAGGTCCGAATCCAGAAGAGAATCAGGATCCGGGACCGGGTCCTGGTCTTGGTCGTGGTCATAAAACGTTACAGATAATGCGTATTTATACATTTTGGTCGAATAGGAAACAGCATCGAAGTCTCTGACATTGACAGTTAAGACGACCAATGGGAAGCAGCGTTTGGAGTGGGATTGATAGTCAGGACAACCAGTAAGAAACAACATTGGAGTATGTAACATTGATTTCTAGGAGGACCATAAAATTGACCAGTAGGAATTGACCAATAATTCTCTTAGGATATTGTACGAATATCCTATCAAAAACCTATGAAATGTTTTGAACTGTTAACAGGGGGACAATAGTACAGTAATTAACTCTTATGAGATAAACTATATGCTCTAGTAAACACCATAAAGACTATCGAAAAATAATGTAAGGCTAAAATTACGATCATTCCCATGTCTTTATGAGAACATTGAACGCCAGTTAATTGTTCCAATGATTTTTCAAGAGGTGAATTCAATTAAGTCAATGATGCACAGAATTCTAGCAAAATGCGAAACATTTCCCAAGGACTTTCAGCTTGTCTAGTGAAATCATCGTCCCTATATCATGGTATCTTGAGGCTTATGACAAATTAATACGATTCATAATTGGCTTAAAGTCACACTTTATTAGTGTAGGATAATAGTATCATCCAGTTTATCTGGATCGAAGCAGGTGAACATAAGTTCAAATGCACGACTTACTAGTTTTAAAGTCGAGCACTAGTCAACAACCAGTGAAAATAAAAAAACTAGAGTTCTAGGCATGTTTCATTTGTATATTCCCACTACTACTTCGTCAGAGATTGTGTCTAGAACCTTCAGCTATGATAGTGAGCAAATGGTTCAGTGCTTACGTCGTTGGACTTTCAGCCTTCAGGTCACAGATTTCGCTCTGTGTACTTTCAACTGAGCACCCAATTAGCATCACTATCCAAGTACATCAATCTGTTCGTATGAATTGGGCAATCACAACTGCATATTAAAGCTTTATTCAACTCACACCAAAGTTAGTTATTATTGTAAAACTAATTGGTAGTTGTTTCGATTAATAATCCGTTTATCGACTTCAAAAGAAATCTCCCTAACTCGAATAATCAAGTTGTGACCAAGAAATGATCAATTTGGAGCCTAAATCCAAGGTACTAAGCGAAAATCACGGATTGGTTGGTAAGATCGTGAATTTTCATCAGCTGAGATCATTGACATCAGCATTACGTATGCCCAGCTACTATCTATTTCCATAGATAATGTTGACTGGGGTAATTAGTAGGTTGGATGAAAGCCAGGGACGACCACAGAAAAACTTATCATCGGTTCATAATGTCATTGATTGTTGAACTGATCTGTGTAAGTCCCAACTATCGGGTCGTCATTCGTTCACTTATGGTTGAAGACAATGTGTGACATTGTAGTGAATGAGAACACAGGTGGGTCAACCGAATTGTATTTAACGAAAATTACAGAGTTACTCAGTAAAATCGGAAAACCATATCGTAAATCGTTCATTTGCAAAATATCAGTTCATCATATCGAACTGGACTGTTCCTGTTGCAAAACATCAATCCATTGTCACTATTCATGCGTTTCATACAAATTCCATTGTGTTCCACCACTCTTCCTTTCTCGATCTCCCCCCATCTTCTGCTGCCAGACATTACGTCGACACTCACGTCATATACTACTTATAAAGAGCGCGCACCACAACATGACTTCAAAACCGATCTCAGTAAAGCAAATTTATTCACTTTGTGTCTTTCTTTCTCATCGTAAATTTCGACATGGTTTTATATATATTTTCTTTCTTCAATACAAAATGATGCTTTCCTCTCGAATCTCAAACTTCATCAATTGATGTGGTTGGGACATGTTTTACGTATGCCCAACCACCGACTGCTTCGACAAGCTATATTTTGTGGTGTAGGAGTAGGTTGTAAGAAAGCTAGCGGCGGCCAAACCAAAACATGGCACAAATCCATGAAGTCACTGACAAGTGGACTGAGCCACGTCAGTAGATGTAGGCTACGTGGTTGCGGTTCACGAGACGATAGTAATCGATGGTTAGAGACGTGGCTCCTACATGGTGTATACATGGCTCAGAATCGTTTTCAATGGCGTAGGTGCACCCACTCTTTGTGTTCTCTCGAATTCTTACCTCCTGAAATCCCTCATCATCTCTATCTTTCTCTTTCTAAAGTTATCTCATTGAATTATACCGTAATCTTTTCCATTACTGCTAATACTTCTACTATCTTTACCACTAAATGATTTGAACTGACAATTGCGTCTCCGTTCTAATGCGGTATGGCAACCTGAACTGATATACATACGTACGAAGTTCTGTGTTGTATCTGTCTATCTCTAATCTCATATTATACTATTAATAATGATACAATTAGTTTGATTACTTTTATTTTGCATTCATCTCCATTGTGTTTGTGATGTGACAACTTGGAATCAATGCATAAGGTAATGGTTGGGGGGGGGCTACATCAAATTGACTAATTGAATTTGTATTTTTAATTTTCTCTCTCTCTCTCTCCAATTTTATTACATAACAGATACATTTCGTCAATTGGATTTTCAACGTTCCGTCATATCGAAACGATATAAACAACCGTATATTAATAAAATATTAGATCAAGTACAAAATTGGGATGAACAATTAGTGGAATATTTTATTTCAGATAAACCTACTACTAATAATACTACTAGTAGTACTACTACTACCACTACTACTACTACTACTGCTATGCCTTCTACAACAACTACTCACAATCAAATGAATCATACTATTCATAATCATTTTCATGATAATCCTGATAACGATGATGATGATGATGATGGTGATGCCGATGAGAAACAATCATTGTATAAAAGTAATAAACGTTGTTGTTTAAATAGAATTACATCGAATCAAACTATTTGTACCAATGAAAAGTCATTATCTCATTCCACGGACGTATCACCAGTCACCATATCTCCATTATCACAAATATCAAATTCATCAACCATGACAATAATGTCATCAATGATTGATCATCAGCATAATAATAGTAAGCAAGATGCAATCATGATTGTTGATAATAGTCAATTGGAACAATTGAATTCTATGGAAATTGTAAACGATAATGAATTATCTAGTCTATTATTATTCGATAACAATAATATTCACATATCGAACAATATAGATGATGTCAAACACATTGAGGATGATGAACAGGAGGAAGGTGAGATTATCATGGAAGATGACGAGGACGATGACGATTACTATGATGATGATGATGATGGTGTTGATGGCTATAGTGATGAGTTTAGTTAACGACAACAAGAAAATTAAAGCATTTCATATCTTCTTCACCATTGTTGTTGTTGTAAATATTTCTGCTAATCTTACTACTACTACTACTACTACTATTACTACTATTACTACTACTACTACTACTCACACTACTACTACTACTACTACTACTACTATTACTACTACTACTCACACTACTACTACTACTACTACTGCTACTACTACTATTACTATTACTACTACTACTACTACTGCTACTACTGCTACTATTACTATTACTACTACTACTACCACTACTAATACTACTACTACTACTATTTATGCTACTACTTATACTACTACTAAAGCGGTTAATGACGAACAGAGACTTTGAGTAAGTAGCCTGAGATGCATTTTATTTCCTTCTTTTCCATTTTTACGTATTATTTTTTTTTCAACGTGTGAAATCCTTTTTTCATTTATTATGCAAGAAACAAAAATAAAAATACAATAAAAGTCAATTGTAATATCAATGACAAATTGGATTTGACTGTTTTATATATTTATTTTCATTATAAACTTAATTGATGTGCGTATATTATTATTATGTTAGGTAAGCAATAATAATTGTGAAGAAATTTGTGAATTTTTTAAAATACATTCATAATTTTGATATCACAGTAAAGTGTTTTTCTACATTTTCTATTGTTATTTTGGTGACTGATGAAATCTCAGCAAGGATATAGAAAGCTTGATTGGGTTTGGTCAAGTTGCGTCACTTATGGAGCAGGCGAGTTATCTGTTTGTTGACTAAAGGACGAGTGTGTACTGCGCAGCATTTCGCTGTCCTACTATATGGATGCGAAGCATGGCCGGTAACAGTAGAAGACATTCTTAGGTTATTAGTATTCGATTATAGATGTGTTAGAAGCATTGCTCATATATCCTGGGACAGCCGAGTAAGCAATGCTCCAGTTAGGAAAAGAGTACTAGATAGGGATGGCAGATCAATTGACGAAGTAGTAAAACTCCATCAATTGAGGTGATTGGGAATGGGTAACACATGTCCCAACCACCGACTGCCTCGATGACCTATGTTTTATGGTGTAGGAATATGTTGGAAGAAAGCTAGGGGCGGCCAGATCAAAACATGACACAAATCAATGAATGCGCTAACATTTGGACTGAGTCATTTTGGTAGATATAGGCTCCCTGGTTGGGGTCCGCGAGATGATAATAATCGATGGTTAGAGACCGTGAACGACCCAAAATAGTTTGCAGCGGCGTAGGTGCATCCACTCTCTATGTTCTGTATTCCCCGTCATATCTATATTTCTATTTCTAAATTTATTTCACTGAATTGCAATTCTCGAATCATATCTTCGCTCCGTAATCTTCTCCATTAATGCTAATACTTCTACTATCGCTACCACTATTGGATTTGAACTGACAGTTGCGTCTCTGTGCTCATGCGGTATGGCAACCTGAACCTATGTACTGATCTACGAAGTTCTACCTTGTAACTGACTGACTAACTGAATAATATTAATAGTTAAAGCAGTTGGTTCTCATTATTTTCCAACCGATTATAACCATTGTCTATAATACATAAATTCACGACCCTGCTTGGTAATTGTCATCGCATCACGCCATTGAAAATACTCGACAACACTACTGTTGAATGTGCTTGGTCAACTTTAGTGAAAATACTGGATGACTTATTGACAAAAAATCTTGTTCCATAGTTTATCATCACTGCCAAGGCGTGGAACGCATTCCATAAAACTCTATTAACTAGTGTTGTAAATTAGAGAAATGGGAGAAGAACACAAATTGGCAGTAATAATGGTTTCGCTTAAACTACCACCTGTTACGTTAACCAAACCTTTTAATTCACTGAATATACTTACACTACTTAAACACTAATAAGTAATATACCACGAAATAGAAAAAAAGAAAGAAATATAGTTATGAAATGAAAAAGATTATATTAATACATTCCAGATTCGGATAAAGATTCGAGAACTGACTCTGCAGTATCAACATTCAATTCATAATTGAAACCATCATCATAAGGTGCATGATATGAAGGTAACAGAATACGATTAAAAAACCTTTTACAAAGTACAACATATAAATGGAATGATTTCTTCTTGAAATTGTAATTCACCATTTCATGCTTATCAATAAGACACAGAAATTTTATCCAATTTAAAAATATACCAAAATTATGCGGATTACGATAAATTACTCCACGTTGTTTTAATATTTGTGTGAATTTTGCATTGATATGACGTTCAATACTTGTCTCACCATTACTAATTAAATATGTATGCCAAATGCAGAGTGCCATTACTAAAGGAATTGCAATCGAACCAAAAATGAAACATCCTTTGAATAGTCGAATAAGGAATTCATTTGACGGTAAATATGTGTATTGGTTGAACCAAATCGATGAATATTTTGCAGTTATATTGATCTATGCATTAGAAGTAGAAATGTAAATGAAGTAAAATACACTTATAATATATATATAGCTGTTAGACTACTACTATTCAAATTCCATAAACAAGTATTACGTATACCCAACCACCGACTACCTCGAAGAGCGATGTTGTCTGATGTAGGAATAGGTTGTAAGAAAGCTAGGGGTGGTCAAACGAAAACATGACACAAATCCATCAAGCCACAGACAAGTGGACTGAGCCATGTTGGTAGATGTAGACTACCTAGTTGGGGTTCTCGAGACGAAAGTAACCGATGGTTAGAGACCTTGAATATCATGACTCAAAATCGTTTGCTATGGCGTAGGTGAATGCACGTTTTGTGTACTCTCGAATTCTAATCTTCTGAATTATTGACCACCTCTATCTTTCTCTTTCTAAATTTTTCTTGCCGAATTATACTTCGTGAATAATATATTCTAACCTCAATCTATCCGATTACTGCTAATATTTCTACTATCGCTACCACTATTGGATTTGAACTGACAGTTGCGTGTCTGTGCTAATGTGGTACGGCAACCTGAACAGATGTACGTACATACGAAGTTCTACGTTCTAACTAACTGACCAAACATCTCCGTGATGGATTTCTAATGAGCGGCTGTAATTCTTAGTAAGCACCAAGTTATAAGCACAAACGAATATCTACAGATATAATTAGATGATTGACGGAGAAATATGAATTATTGAATTTCGACAAATCACCGAAGTAGTAACGAATACATTGAGAGATAAAAAAATTCGGACGTTTCACTGTGAATCGATTCGTATGTAACAGAATAGAATGTAACTTCAGACCAAAATATCAAAGTTTTTATGTAACTGATTTTCAAACAGCCAGTGAAATAATTATTATTGTTTACTGTATCCAATTAAAATACACGTAATCAAAAAGTCACAGTTGTTTTTCTTTGCTTCTAAGATTAACTTCATAATTTTGTTAACATTTCTCGATTAAAAGTTGGTAGGAAAAGATCAAAATAATACGTATCAATTGTTGAACCAATGACTTCTGACTGAGTACAATCAAACAAACAGAAAGCATATGAAAATTTGAGGAGAAATTTCCATCGGTCCAAACCACCAAACATGCTATTAACATATGTTATATGAAAGAGAAAAATAGCAAGATGTAAGGCTAAGATGGTTAATATTTAAGACTAGATGTACTTACTTCAACGAAGTATAATATTTGCAGTAAGAATTGAGCCGAATACCGTTATCTTAAACACTATCCACTGAGCTACAAAGTTCAAATAATCACTAACATATTTATTTCCTAAGAAAAAATTGTTAATAACAATTCGAATTTGTTTTGTGATTGAAATCAATAAATTCTAAATAAATGAAACTTTAGTAGTAAGAACTATAGCTTGAAAGAAACGAAAACGTTTGATGAAAATTATGAACCAACTTCATATTCCACATTTAAGTGAATATATCTGCATTAATCTCATCTACTTTTACTCGTATTTAATGTCCTAGTTATGAATGACGGTAATAGCACTGAACTCAAATAAAAAGTCACAATCTTCTTGATTAATCCAATGTCTTTATAACGTCATTCCAAGCCCTTTTACAAGTAACATGAAGAAGGCAGTGACATATCCAGCCATTACATTTTGTAATTGATTACAACTTTCAGGTGAGTGACTAGACTTGGCTAGTACCATAGACCTAACGTCAACATTTTCTATTACATAGTTTTATAGTACAAACAGCAGGTATACACCTTTTTCAGATACAAACTCAACCAAAATACTTAATCATACTGTAAAGGATCTGTTAAGACTGCTGGAGTTTCAAGTAGACATTAAGAATTGATTTTAGCGAGAAAACTATTCTATTCTAGTACATGACTTTTTGACACTGTACTTATACAGCTCGAACACGTGTCGAAGCAAATATATTCAAGTCTCAATGTGAATGCACCACTTGAAGACCATTGAGTTTACCAAAGAACAATCTTTATCATCTCTTACAAACAATTAACTATCACAATATACACATTTACTCAACTATAATGACAACATTGAAGTAAATATCTTCTCCATAATAAACTAATCAAACTTACTTGATTTTGATTGATTTCTATTAAATAGCTTCGAAAATCTGACCAACCAATTGTAAGTAAATATATTCCACCAATACTCATAAATATTAATACTAAATAAAAATGTCTATGTGTATACAAACCAACACAATTAGCTGTCCATGGACAATGATGATCCATACATAGTATACATGTTTTACAAATAGAACAATGATGTGCTCTTATAGGACGTGATATATAACATCGTGCACATATAGAATTAGTATTATTATTATTATTATGCTGAATATTTGGTACATTACCAGGATTAATGAAAACAGCAGATAAATAATGAAAATAAACATTAACAATGATTAAATGACTTAACACGAAATGTATTAAAAACCAAAGAACTTCGGAATGTAAACTACACTTGATTGAATGATATTCATTATACAAATAACATGATTTCAAAATGAAAAGACGACGTGGAACCAATATTGTATACAATAAACATAAAATTAAGAATAAATAAATTAAAACTAATATGATTAAAGTTCGACCGAAATTTTTTCGACCACCAAGATATAGCGAGAAACAATTTAAAAGTGGTTCTAATATAAAAATTGTGTAAATAGTTGAAATAGTATCTAAATACCAACCAATAGATTGATAAATAGATCTAGGGGATGATGTATTTCTGTTTGGTTTAATTGTCATTAAATCAGGTAAGAATAAACGAATTAAACATTTTGTGATGTATATGTAATCAGACAGAAATGCAATTTTCATGATTCCAAAAAGAGAATTATGAACGAAACTGAAATATGAACAGAAAAAGAAGAAAACAGTAAGTATAGGTTCAATTATCAAGCAATATGTAATTTTTACAGTGATTTTCATTACTATTGAATTGCATTACTGTAATTTAATGATTAAAAAACGTAATGATTAACATATGTAAAAGAAATAAAATTCTTTTTCATTTGAATCAATACAAAAGCTGATAGTCACCGGTACCTACATACCATTTAAAGATCACGATTGTAGAATGTGGATTACGGGAATTTTCTCGAGTGAGATAGGAACGATGAAACCTCATAGCTCATATCAAAGTCGCACCTTATGGTTATCTCGCTAACCAGGATTACCATTTCGTGATATCCAGATACCACAGCTACTTCGGTTACTATATAGAACAAACGTGACTCTACCAAAGAAATTAAAGGAAATGATTAAAGAAGTATATAATAAAGCTACAGCTTATGGTATGGAACTGAGTAATTCACGCATATCATCTTAAAAAACTTGACGATATTTGAAAAACTGCTCAACCCTCAGTCACTTATCGAGAAGCGTACAAAAAATATGTCTTGTCGACTGATTAGACTACAGTTCTGTGACGTTTTAATGACCCTACACACTTATCACACTCGAAAACTTATAGATCTTCACTAAAACTTTTGCATAAATATATTTCATCGTAATAATTTAGTAATGATTTTATTACTGATCAAACAAAAAGGCATCATTCGTCTACAAGCGCTAGATATATCCAACGGTACAGCTGAAAATGTAAACCATCGTCGCAAGGGAATAGAGTATTACTTTCAAAAAGAAATAGATTCCAAATGAAAATGAACTAAACTTTGTACATAATAATCTACGATGATGTATTTTGTGTCTGGTATTGGCTAAACCACAAAAATGTTTTGATTCTTAAAGACTATGTTTAGGCTGTAATAATCAGAGGCCAGATATTGCATTCGACTGTTTTCTGCTGGCAGATTACGCATTAGAAGAATTCATGATGGCTCAATCAACTCTTAAAACAATTATATTACAATTGAGTGACACTATTTAACATTAAACAAAAGATTTATCAGCGAAAAACCACTCACTTTAAAGATATGATAAAAGCTCGCAAAAAACTCCCAAAACCTTCGACGATACAAAACACTATTTTTGCCGATTTACATTATGAGGTACGTGGTTATGTAAATAATACTGTTTTCAGTCCCAGGAAAGATAAAACAAAATCTTAAATTCAGCCAATGACATGATTTGGTGAGACTGTACAACTAATTCACTAGAAAAGTACTGCAGCAGTCAACATATTTTTTTGTTGTTGTAACGCATATGTCAAATGTTTACTTTATACAATGTCCAATATCCTTCTCGAAAGCAAGTACACACTAATTGATTTTTCTGCGTTCGATTCTGCTTCTTTCAGTACTTTTCTGAGCATTCGGTTGTGTTCAATTATTATTCTAGACAATCGACCACACTAATTCTAGTCACTGGGCCATTGTAAATTAGTAAGTCGCGTGATTCCCCTGAGTGCGTTTGTCTCACGGTGATAAGATTTCTGGATACCAACAGCTATCAGTTGCAATGTGTATAATGATAATAAAGAGAAAATTCTGATACTAACAGGAAGAAGCTTGAGGAACTAAGTGAATAAATGAATATATTATAGTGAATTAATCGATAGTAAAGATTGTGCGAGAAAACCGATGTGTAAGCAAGGAAGAGAAAACAAAGATAATAAGCGGGACAGATTAATTTAGTGATCTGAGGAAGTGACCACGATAACAAAAACTATTCGCATAATAAATCTTTCATCCATCTTTCCTGATGGTTCGTCTCGTGCACAGCTATATTCAACTGGTGCATGCATCAATCAATATGTCCAACTCAGAAAGTTCCAGACCCCGGAACGACAGAAACTAAAACTGGGATTCATTTTTTCCCATTAGGTTGCGATAAACCGAGATAATTTTATCTAACGACTATTACAAACCACAATGGTGATTACCTTTTAACGGAAAACGATAGCTTAAGTGGAAAATACAGGCTGAACAAGCTAATAATCTTATCATGGAGGAGTGAATATTACAGCTGACCATGGTGTTACAAATGACATGTTTCGGTTCCTTTTCTAATAATAAAAGCTAGAAGGCAATAGTAAAAAAATCAAACTGAATGTTAAAAAATGCACAGCATTTCATCCGAATAAACTTATGTTTATGTTTTATTTGCCTTGAAGAGTGGATAATCCTTGAATAATAGTTACGGACATTCGTTAATCAGAAGCTTTTTTATTTTCCATAACCATTTGAAATTGCTGTGGCTCCGATGATTCCTCTAAATTTACAGGTAACAATCCAGTTTCGGACACTAGAATGGGATATTTTATCGCTCTCGAAGATATAAAAGTTGTTTCCATTCACCGGTTGACAATCTGAGTACGAATTCGGACGAATGGAATCATTCAAACGCAAAAACCAGTGTCCGGGAGATCGGGCTGTCTCCATAAACTGCTCCATTATTGCTTGCTTCGAAAGCATACAAACAATCATTCACTCCCAAAGACAGGACTTGTGGACAAGTTACTGTAGATAAATAGAACAACACCAAATGAGTCGTTACTGGAGCGAAATTCCCCAGCCGAAATCCTAATGGGAAGAAGACCGGAAGTGATCCACAGCCTGATGCATCCAAATAATGCATCAACACCAGTACAGACAGAGTCAGGAAGGCAATCCACATGCGAAATGGGATGTACTGTATTTGCCCATGACTACAGAACAAACCATGGTCTTTGGACCGAAGTGCGAGTAGTCAGGAGAGTTGGGCTTGTTATGTACGAAGTAGAGGTAGGAGGCGGTAGACGGTCACGACATCGAAACCAGATTAGCGAACGGCTAGCCCCAGATTGCCCATCAACAGGAGCGAATCTTCTCCCCTGACATCCCGCTAGATACATTCAACGTACCGGCAGCCACGCAACGAGAAACTCAACAACAAGCTGATCTCCGTTCCAGAAAGTATCCTCCCCAACAACAGCGAACAAAAGTCAAGATGCAGGTCGACCCCAAGAATGCACGCTATCAAAAGGGGGAGGAGTGTGTTGGGACGGTAGATCCTCAGAACTGACTTGATAAATGTCCTAATTTTGGATTTTATGCCTTCGCACATGGGTTGATCAGTTGACCTTGAAGGTACATTTTCCACTTGGAAAATCCCTTACTGTCATTGGTTGATGCGTCGTTTTAGTATGCCATTTTCTATAAATAAACTCGATGTGTGTGTTTGTGAACCTTGATTATGTGGGTGCTTGTAGAATACCATGTCTACGTCTTGTCAAGACTTCTTCCTCTACTTGTGGGGCCTTGGGACGCTTGGATTAGAGTAACCAATGTCGTCTATGCATCGTCGATGTGCGCTCCGTGTACCGATTAAGGTGGACTCGTAGTAGTTTCAAGCATATCAGTCGGCGATCATATCGATTGGCGATGCGGTTTTTGAAACATGGGTCCTCCTAAACTTGAATCATTACTTGAGCAGCAGCTGAAATAATTGCAGATGTTAGCGGAGACTGAGATTTCACTTTCCTCACAGCCTAGCACATCTAATGCAACCACAGCACCATCAGTCGACGGCATCGCAAATAGCATTGCTGAGTTTCATTATGATCCTGATACCAACGTCAGTTTTGACGTGTGGTTCCGGCCTTATGAAGAACTATTTAAATTTGATGTCGCTAATCATAATTATGCTTGGAAGGTTCAGCTGCTTCTTCAAAAGTTGGGTGCAAATGAGCTGTATAGGTACTGTAGTTTGATCCTACATTTGAACCTACGTGAATGCTCATTCTCAGACACAGTCCAGGCAATAAGCCAACACAGGCACAATAAACCGTGGTCAGCACGTAAGGCAGCCAGGATATCACCAGGCATCTAAGGCCAGATCAGTATTTTAGTTCATGGCGTGCCCGAACTGGATGGTGGTAGCTTGGATGAAGCTCACGTGCAAAATGTGCAACAGTGGTGGTGGCTATCACGTAGCCTTAGCCATCATACCACGATAGTAATTTGCGATTCTTGAGCGCCTAACTCGTCACACCTCACATCCATTAAGTCACCACCTCTGATGGCTTTGGAATTCAGGAATGGGGAAGACCTAACAGAGGTGCTTCAGTCTTGGTATAGCTCGAATAACGACCACTATAGCCACATCAGGTGTTGCGAAAGCTGATCTAGATGTGTGAGAAAATAGCAGGGAGGCCATAATGAAAGCGTGAAATTGACAGTTGACCTCGATCATTAACCCCTGGCACAAGATACACGCCGATTGAACACATAGCACAAGCTGAAAACTTGCAGAGGCGAGTTCTCACAAAACTGGCTACTTCGGATTGAACAACTTGTTTGACAATCCGAAGACGGATGTTGCTGCAGAGGTGCACCAGGTTATGAGACAAACCACCAAATTCCTCTATAGCAACGTAAAAAGACTAGGGGGTGAACTACCAAAAATCAGGAATATGTGCACTCAGATGGATCTGAAGGTCGTAATCCTAACTAAAACAAGGCTATCCCTTGATATTGCAGACGACTAAGTGAGCTCGCCAGGCATGACACTCTTCCGAAGCGACAGGGTGCACTGAACAGGAGGTAGGATCACCATTTATATAAACAGCCACTTAAAATCCGAGCGGCTATACGACAACCAACTTACTGAGATGACAGAATCATTTTGGTGTTGTTTCCACACAAATGGCACGAAATACTTGATGGAAGGAATTTACCATCCTCCATCAGGTGCTGAGGCCTAGAAAGAAAAACTGTCTGAGACATTACTGCAACTGTTGAACTTTCGGTTTGATCAAATACTCTCAGATGCAGATTTTAAAACTTACTTACTTTCGCCTGTTACCCCTAATGGAGCATAGGCCGCCCAACGAATCCGAAGTATTTTGTGTAGACAACTGTTAATAAACACTTGTATCTTCTGAATGATGGCTTTCGTAGTTCTCCATACAGTAGAACTGTCTTGATATTTGTATTGAAAATTCTCATTTTCGTTTTAGTTGAAAGTTGTTTGGAGTTGTAGATATTTTTCAACTGTAGAAATGCAGCCCTTGCTTTGCCAATCCGCGCCCTCACATCTGCATCGGATCCACCTTTCTCGTCGATTATGCTGCCCAGATATGTAAAGATGTTAACGTCCTCCAAGGCATCTCCATCAACAGTGATTTGGTTGGTGCATGTTGTGTTGCATCGGAGAATTGTGCTATTTCCTTTACGTATGTTGAGACCTACTGCTGCAGAGGCTGCTGCTACACTGGTCGTCTTCTCTTGCATTTGTTGTTGCGTGTGCGACAGAACAGCCAGGTCGTCCAGCTGCGTCCTGGTTGTTCAGTTGATACCGTGCTTCCCTCCAGATGTTGACGTCTTCACAATCCAGTCGATGAATGACCAGGATTCAGAGAAAGGGTGAGAGTAAGCAACCTTGCCTGACACCGGTCTACACCTCAAATGAGTCTGTTAGCTGTCCATGGTGTACGATTTTGCAGTTCTATCCATCATAAAAATTGCGTATGATGTTATCCATCTTCTCAGGCACACTGTGGTGTTGAAGAAGCCTCCACAGTGTTTTCCTATCCACAGTATCAAATGCTTTCTCGTAGTCGATGATTTGGTCAGTACACGATCGATCCTCACGAAATCCGGCCTGTTGATCTCGAAGTTGGGCGTCTACGAAGTCCTTCATTCTGTTAAACAATACCCTGTTGAAGACTTTGTCTGGTATTGAAAGAAGAGTGATGCCTACGTAGTTCTCACACTTGCTGAGATCGCCTTTCTTTGGAATTTGTTCAGGTATCCTTCTTTCCATTCTGATGGTACTTGTTCCTCATCCCAAATCTTCTTGAAGAGAATGTGAAATATTTTCGCAGTTTCTTCCACATCTGCTTTCATTGCCTCTGCTGGAATGTTGTCTGGTCTTGCTGCTTTGCCGCTCTTGATTTTTCTGGTGGCCATACTGATCTCCCCAATCGTAGGTGCGCCAATATTAATTGGTAGGTACGTGGTTGCTGGTTTGATGTTGGGTGGGTGAAGTGAAGCTGGTCGATTCAATAGTTCCTTAAAGTGCTCCAACCACCTATTTCGCTGTTCTTCAGTGTTGCTGATTACTTTGCCTTCCTTACTTTTCTCTGGTTGTTCTGGTTGACGATAGTTTCCGGCCATCTTCTTTGTTGTTTCGTACAATTGTCTCAAGTTTCCGTCTCTTGCAGCCTTTTCCGCCATCATTGCTAGATCTGACACATATTTTCGTTTGTCAGCTCTGATGCTCTTCTTCACTTCCCTGTTTGCTTCTGTGTAGGCAACTTGTGCGGCAACTTTCTCTGCCCTTGTTCGGCTGACATTGATTGCTGCCTTCTTGTAGAATCCTTTTTGAATGTTTTGTTTTTTGGAAAATCCCTCCATGTTTATATATTTTTGTTATGACATGACGGACTTTTTCTGTTGACATTTTGGTATTTTATTTGATTCCAATTTGAGATTTTATCATTGTATATTGTTATTATTTCTATATTTTGTACTTATATTGAAGTTTTTATGTTTGCTTCTGAACTGTATATATGTTGTTTAAATTTGATCTTTAATATGGCTACAGCCATATTTGGATTGATACTGTGGCGGTTGGATTTAACGTCACTTATTCACCCTTGCCTTGGATACTCTTCGGAGTAATTGTGACCTGGAAAGTGCATCAACTCCAGGTATTGCTTTGTATTTCCATTTTTAACATTATATAGACCGCTTTCTTCTAGAATTATTGTGTTTTGACATTGGAATTGGTGGATAGAGCGTTCGACTTACACTTACTGGAAACAAATTGAACTGCTACGGTAGAAAATCCATCTACATTCTTGTTCCTCCTTTCTTCAATTTTTACGAGAGTATCAACAGAGTTCCATTCCTTGTGATGGTACTTCTTGTGACCCAGAACTTCGTGACATGTTGAAGTGATTGCCTCTTTAATCCCTTTCCAATTGTTCTCCAATGTTGTGTCCTCTCCATTGAGTAGATCCTGAAAGGCCTGGAACCTATCGGTGAGGGCCATCTTGAATTCGTTGAGCTTTACAGTATCCCGAAGAAAGGTCGTATTAAACTTCTGTGATGTCGTCTGACCCGTTGTCCAGTGCTTCTTTAGTTTCAGTTTAATTTTGGCGATCAGCAAATGGTGATCTGAGGCTATATCAGCTCCTCTCTTGATTCTCACATCCTCCATGGTCCTTCTGAACTTTTTGTTGATACAGATATGGTCAATCTGGTTTTGAGTAGTGTGATCCGGTGAAATCCATGTGGCTTTGTGTATGAGTTTGTGCGGGAATATTGTGCCACTGATGACCAGTTTGTTGAAGGCACATAGGTTTGCAAATCTCTCACCATTTTCGTTCCTTTCTCCCAGTCCACGTCGTCCCATGATGTCTTCATATCCAGTGTTGTCCATGCCAACCTTGGCATTCAGGTCTCCCATAAGAATCGTCAAATCCTTTGGTGAACATTTCTCGACGATTGACTGCAGCCTTTCTTAGAATTGATTTTTAACGTAGTCATTGTAGTCGTTGGTAGGTGCATAACATTGGATGACGTTCATTGTAATGTCCTGTTTCTTTGTTTTGAAGGATGCTTTAATGATTCTGGGTCCATGAGATTCCCATCCTATCAGTGCGTTTTGTGCTTGTTTGGACAGCATCAGTACAACTTCTTGTGCATATGAAGCATTTTCCTCTTCATGACCAGAGAATAACAGCAGTTCCCCTGAAGCTAGTCTCAGTTGTCCTACCTGTGTCTAATGCGTTTCACTGATGCCGAGCAACTCGAGGTTGTATCTTTTGATTTCTGCCGCAACTTGAAATAGTCTTACAGTCTCCCCTAATGTACGAACGTTCCATGTACCTAAAAAAATGGTTACTCTGGTTGTCAGAAGAGGCATGGGCCTCGTGACTTCCGAGGGAACTCGGCTTTCATCGCGAGACGTCATAATTCTTCTTCCAACTGCCAGGACAGAGTTAAAATGGTTTTCTAGTCAGCGTTTTTTTGGCAAGTGAGATTTCGACGGAATGGGGTCGCCAACCCCATTTCCAACCCTCCTCCTTTACCCGGTCTTGGGACCGGCAGTAGCCCCGAAGGTTCTACTGGCGGAGTCGAGATTTTAAAACTATATCTCTAAATCTCAGCAGTCAGGATACAACTCTCACTGGTTGGTTCCAAAGACAAATTGAAGCAGTCCTTAGAAGCTCTGAACTTACTGAGCATGTACGTAGTTCCACCAGATGGACTAGGGAGGGAAAGTCCTCAAACTTGGATTAATTGCGAACAAATGATCAGCTCCTGGTCGAGGATGTTCACGTCCATACACCAGTAGGAAATATTGACCTTGGCACAGTCTTGTTTAACAGGGTCATTAACCAAACACTCACACAGGACGAAAATGAGCCCTATCTTTGCTACACTGGGGCAAGTTATACGCGTATAAGAGAGATCCTCCAAAATGCCCATAGCCATGCGAGTGATGGAGGCTGACAGTAGACACTTACCGACAAACAGTGGGAGACATCATCCAAAATGCTGTCGTAGACAATGTACCTCAGTCACATCACGCACCTGGGAATAGAAGAACATTGGTTAGACATTGCACAGAACGCTTGCTATAGGCGGAGAGGAGAGCCTGGCAAATGTGGAAGTTCACCTTGAAGGATTCCGATCGTAATTCTTACTTGGAATTGAGAAACAGATGCAATACAAAAGTTCGAAGCGACAGGAGACACTTTCAGATGAAGCTAGCTGCCAAAACACAAGCAAACCCGAAGAATCTGTTTAGATTCCTGGAAAAACAAAACCTAAAAATCAAGGGTTGTGTTCTCTCAAGGGTTCAAATGGGGAGGAATTCATCAATCTAGAGATGGCTGAGATCTTCAACACAAACTTCACCGATCAGTTAAACGAAGCATCAACATGTTCAGAGTACTACGCAAACCCAGTGCCAGCCGATGGCTTAGGGATTATCCGTAATACTCTTGACTCAGTACTTAGGAAACTAATATCCTTACGCCCAGGTGAGTCACCAGGTTGTGACAAAATTCGCCACATAGTCTTGTAACAATGTGCAGAAGCCCTCTGTTCACCGATATGTCAACTGTTCAGGCATTCACTGGAGTCGCACCAACTCCCAGCTGAATGGGAACAAGCTAATCTACCTCCAATCTTCAAAGTAGGAGATAGAAAGGACCTAATCTGTTACAGAACAGCCGCATTACTACCAATACTATCGAAGGTAATGGAAGGGCTGGTGAACGAACAAATGAGGGAGTACGTGGATAAGAATAAAATACTCCATGAACCTCAACACGAGTTTCGGAAAGGCAGGTCATGCGCATCTATTCTTCTCATAGCTTGGGACCGTTGGAAATCCTGCATGTACCGAAAAATACCGTTGCATGTAATATTCCTCGACTTTGCAAAGGCTTTTGATACAGTACCATACGCACGCCTAATCGCGAAGGTTGCGGAAATGGGCTTCACTGACCCAGTCCTATCTTGGCTGAGAAACTACCTTGAGAATAGAAAGTTTCGTACCAAGATAAACAGAGTGAACGTGAAATGGCGATTATCCACATTGGGAGTTTCACAGGAGACCATCTTAGGTCCACTTCTCCTCCTGACATTTATCAACGACCTGTTAGACATAGTTAGCTCACCGGTAATGATCTACGCAGACGATGAGAGGATCTGGAGGTCCGTTACAAGCGAAGAGAATTCGGCTGAGCTTCAAAAGGACCTCAAATCTATTGAGGAATAGGCAGTGAAAAACGCTTTAAAACTCAACCAACCGAAGTTTCACGCCCTGTATGTTCTGCCCCACATGACGCAAACGAGTTGCATACTCAATCGAAGTCCGCTCCCTAAAGTCTCCTTAGAGAGCGATCTCGGTTTAATAACGACAGGAAGGCTTCTCACGAGCCCGAATTATGTAGGGGACTTAGCCAAGACAATATGGTGCTGTCACACTATTTAAGACGTACGTGATCCCGCACCTAGAGGTTCATTATGTCATCGCACCCGCTATCCTTAAAAGAGACATAAGTCTCTTGGGTAGACTTCAGAGACGAGCAAACAAATGGGTGATAGGGTTGAACGACAAACCTTACGAAGATAGACTCCAGCACTTGGGATTATCCCCCCTGAGTCACAGAAGGATCAGAGGTGATCTGATTTTGGCGTACAACATACTTAACACGCCAAACCATCCCAACATGAGCATCTTACTGATGCATCACCACCACTCCCCGGAGGTAATCCTCAAAAAGTTGCGCATCGAAGAGCGAACACTCAGGATTGTGTACACGTTTCACTTCGGTCCTCTCTGACAATCTTCACTACCAATTAATAAACTAAATTATCCATTGATTTATTTAGTCCTGAAATCCTATTTATAACATTAGAATTTTCTCCTTATTATTCTGGACATTGCAACTAACTGATCGCTGGTCTGGAAATGCGATAGCTGCTGGTATCCAGAAGCCCTATTGCCTTGAAACAAACATTTTCATTCAAATCACGGGACAATCGAATGGCTAGACCCCCATCCATCGGACACTACTAAACACCTGGAACCGTACCGAAAGAACAAGAGTCGAGCGCAGAGAATTCAACTGGCTTCTTCTAGATATATTGGATATTGGATCGACGCGGGAGTATAATTGGTAATCTACATAGGTCGATATGTTATCTGCTAGGTCGACCAGTGGTCACCTCAGATGGTTTTTGATTTCGCTCGGAAAGTTTAGGTCATTTAATTCACATTCTGATTTGGAAAATGGGAAGTTGGTCAACGTTGGTATGTGGGTGTCACGCCATTCAATTTTTAGTCATTGTTTCCAACTCGAATTCTACACGAAAATGGCCAAATACTAAGCTTGGACCTATAGATACCGTCAATCCGAAATTCCCGTTGCCTGGTTTTGTGGGGGTTCTATTAAACAAGGATGAGAAAGCTTTTGAGAAGATGTACGCACCTGCTGTGCATACATTACCTCCAATGAAAGAGGAGCACTATGCCTCACTTCTTTTGAATATTTACCATGGCAAAGAGGTAAGCATGTCATTAATTTTCCCTAAGCTTAGAATTTCCACTCAAAATGCATTTATCATTTGATACTACCTTTTAAACCTTGTCTTATCTGAAAAACTGTCGTCCCTGAGTTGTTAGACGTATTCACTCCCTTTTTTCGCGGCCAAAAATCTACGTTTGCTTCGATTTTTACAAAATTTGTTTGCACCTAAGACTTCCCCCAAAATGTACCTAAATCTGGGTTTTTCCCCAGAATTTATCCGAAATATCCAAAATAATCCGGAGTCGGTAGTTTTAGTGTATGGGGTGCAATTTCAAGTTGCTGGGGTCTACCAGATGGTTTAAATACAACGTCGTAAAAAAATTGTCAGTTCTTCACGTTTTCGCATCTTCAGGACAAATAGTCCAATTGTTCTATTCTTTAATTCGTGTTTTTTCTGGACTTATGTATCGACGTTGATTTCTTTAGGTGTCATTTGTTTCACTTACTTTAATTCACCGAAATTTGAGTCCGTTGGTATGTCTGAGTCCGAATACTAAAAATGGCAGTTTGACACGATAATCAAACTTTACGGTACTAATGACTAACAAACTAATCAAATAGCTGATACCCTGAAACCTTTTTAAAATAGTTATGTCCTTATACAAATGTTGACATGAAATATAATATCATCAGTTCAAGTTTGTGAATTAATAACCCAATAGTCTATTCTACTTAATGCAATTTATTTGGGTGCCATTTAAATCTTGTTTCAGTTTGATTGATTAACATTGATACAAGTGGAAATGATGCTTCAGACTAACTATTGCATTGTTTTATGCTGGAGTTTACAGGTTTCGCGGAAACCGAAGGCCCATCTAGCTCTTGCCAATTTTCGTCATATATGGCGTGGGCGAGATACCCTGCTGCTAATCAAAGGACGAGTGTACTGCGCAGCAGTTCTCTCCATCCTATTTTACGGCTGTAAAACATGATCAGTAGGAGTAGAAGACATTCGTAGGTTACTGGTTTTCGATCATAGGTGTCTCCAAAACATTGCTCATATATCCTGGGACAGCCGAGTAAGCAATGCTATAGTTAGGAAACGAGTAAAAGGTAGGGATGGCAGATCAATAGACGAAGTATTGAAACTTCATCAGTTGAGGTGGTTGGGCATGCATAACACATGTCCCAACCACCGAATGCCTCGACGAGCTATGTTTTGAGGTGTAGGAATATGTTGGAACAAAGCTAGGGACGGCCAAACCAAAACACAGAAATCCATGTAGTCACCAACAAGTGGACTGAGTCATATTAGTAGATGTAGATTACCTTGTTCGGGTTCTCGAGATGATAGTAACCGATGGTTAGAGACCTTGAGTGTCATGGCTCAAAACCGTTTTCAATCGCGCAAATGCATCCACTCTTTGTGTACCCTCAAGTGCAATTTTCTGAATTCCTCATTACCATTCTCTTTTTTAATTGATTCATTTGGTGTATATATCTCGAATGATAAATACCACTATTAATCTTTTTGATTACTGCTTATACTGCTACTACCTCTCCTACTATGAGATTTGAATTGACGATTCAATCTCCTTGTACTAATATGGTATGACAAATTGAACTGATGTACGTACGTACGTACGAAGTTCTCTTTTGTGGCTGACTAACAGAAGGCTTCACTACAAGGTTATATAACCTGTGTAATTTTCTACTTCGGAGTGATTAGTGCTCTTACTTCTTGTGTGAATATAATAACACTGAAGTAAAATAAAGAGTGATTATATGCTTTAGTAAATTACTTATTAAGAAAATTAAGATCAAAAAACATATTGGTACAAATTTTTCCTATTTCTAAGTATGTCGCTTAAGAGAATTTTAATTAATTGACTTTTCGGAAAGATTTTTCATATTTACGTTGGCCCCAATCTGTTTGCACTAAAAGAATCCGAACTGTTTTACTAACGGGCCTCATAAATGCTTATTACGTCAAACAAGCTGTGTATTAGTGAAAATACTATACCTCCAAACGAAATATGTAAGAATGAAAACCAATATTAGTTTCTCATATAAATCTAAGGTTCTCTATTTCAACCTATTTCAACGCATTTTCGTGACTTCGTTCTGAATAAATTTTCCTCGTATTGGTTATTTTATTATGATGTTATTTTCAGTAACAATTAATCGACTTATAAAACTGATTAACGACCGAAGAAAATTCAAAGTATATTCAGTCACCTTTGATCTCGTCCAATAAATGTTATCAAGAATTGCTGGGGATGGGGCTTAAGTGACTAGGGTTGTTGAATAATATATCGCAGTTGGTGTTAGTTACCACCACATATCCGTTTCTGTCAGTCAGCCAGTTACAAGGTAGAGCTTTTTACATCAGTACATAAGTTCAGGTTGTTATTCCGCATCAACACAGAAACGCAACTGTCAGTTCAAATCCTATAGTGGTAGAAATGGTAAAAATATTAGTAGTAATGGAGAAGATTAGGGTTCGAAGATATGATTCGAGAAGTATAATTCAGTGAGATAAATTTAGAAAGAGATAGATAAAGATCATGAGAAATTCAGATTAGAATTTGAGAGAACACAAAGAGTGGATGCATCTGCGCCATTGCAGTCGGTGGTCGGAACATGTATTATGGATGCCCAACCACCTCAACTGATGAAATTTCAATACTTCATCTATTGATATGCCATCCCTACCTTTTACTCGTTTCCTAACTATAGCATTGCTTACTCGGCTGTCCCAGGATATATGAGCAATGTTTTGGAGACACCTATGATCGAAAACCAGTAACCTACCAATAACTCCTATTCTTACTGATCATGTTTTACAGCCGTAAAATAGGATGGAGAGAACTGCTGCGCAGTACACTCCTCCTTTGCTTAAGGTTGTTAGAAGACTGCATTTTGTCGGCCTCTTCACCAAGTAAAACTATGTCATCTGCATAGTCTAAGTCCTCAAGTGATTCTTCTGGTAGCAGGTCAACGCCTGAGAGGTCAGGCGTTGATAATGCTATCTACGACAAAGTTAATTAAGAATGGAGAGAGTGAACAACCCTGACGGACACCACTTGAAGTAATCAATTCCGATGACAGTTCGCCTTAAGCTCTCAACCAGTAGTGTTCGAGTAGAGAGCTTGTATATGGTTGATATACTTCTTTGGTACACCTTTTAATGATAGATACTGCCACACAACCTCACGATCAACAGAGTCGAATGCCGCTCTAAGGTCGAGAAATACTACTATCGTGGAGAGTCTGGACGTGTGTCTTTGTTCTAGGACCTGACGTAGTGTGAATATTTGGTCTATACATCCACGTTCAGGTCGTGAACCAGCCTGGCTCTGCTGTTCTCTCTTGCTTCAGATTTCCTATAGATTTTTCAACTTCATTAAGAGTCGGAGAACTTACATTGACTTGCCATTCAGGATGACTGGAGATCATGGGTAGCCGAAGTGTGGCTGAAGGCCAGCTGAACTGCTTCGTAAAATGTTCTTCCCATCGATTCAATCTCCTGGATTGAGAATGAATAATAGGACCATCCTTTTCCGAGATAGTCTCACTCACTCGGATTCCCAATACCGGTTTCTTAGATAAGGCGGAATAACTGTCTGCTGTTGCCTGCTGTTGCGACACTTTCCGACCTCTTCTGACTGCTCACCATTAAGAGTAAGTAGTGTTATAGACTTCTGCCAACTTTAGTTGTACTAGCATCTATTTATTGACCTGTTTTAAATAGCGATCAGGACACTAACCTCTGTTCATTACTCTTATTAATCTTGATTCATTCTTTAAAAAAGCCTCGCTACTGTTGTGGTTTAGGAGTAGGTTGGAAGAAAGCTAGAGGGCGGCCGAAACGAAACATGGCAGAAATCCATGAAGTCACTGACAAGTAGACTGAGTCATGTTGGTAGATATAGGCTACCTGATTGGGGTCCGCGAGACCAAAGTCATCAACGGTTTGAGACCTTGAATGACATGGCTCAGAATCGTTTGCAATGGCGCAGGTGCATCCACTCTTTGTGTTCTCTCTAATTCTAACCTTCTGAATTCATCATAATCTCTATCTTTCTCCTTCTAAATTTATCTCATTGAATTATACTTCTCGAATCATATCTTCGCTCCCTAATCTTCTCCATTACTACTAATAATCCTACTATTACTATCACTCTTGGATTTGAACTGACAGTTGCGTCTCTGTGCTGATGTGGTATGGCAACCTGAACTGATGTACTTACGTACGGAGTTCTGCGTTGTATCTGTCTTACTACTGTTGTTGTCACTATTACTGTCATTTTCATTTTATTGAATATCACATCATATATGCTAAATTAGAAAATTAAGTTGATACATGCGCTTCTGTCTGTGTGTTCCTGAGTTTAAGCAGAAAATTGGCTAATCAAATTAGTCTAATTTTGGAAAGAAGTTTTTGTTTAGTAATCACACTTCATAATTTCACTAAAAATGAGATCATTCAAATTAATTAAACTTATACTTTATTTTTTCTTTCCAAATCTACTTACAACATTTACTGAAATTTTTATATCAACTAGTTTAATGAATCTGATTCTGCATTGATTCCACGTATATCGGATCAATTCGAATGTACCATACAAACTTGTCCAATGTTAATTCAACAAAGTAAGTTCATCTGTATTCAATTTCTTCTCACTACTGTTTTTTTGGGGCAGAGTTTTGGAGGTTTGCGTTTTTACACATTTGAAATCATCAATCAATCATTGTTAGACCACCATTAGAAACCTGGAAGCACTGGACGGTCGTTTCGTCCTGATATGGGACTCATCAGTGGCAGTGCGCATCCGCGACTCCTGCTCCTCGCAGGATTCGAACCCGGGACCTTCGGCATTGTAGGCGAACGCCTAACCATCGGACCACTGGGCCGGCATCCAACGGTGTTAATGTCTAACTCTGATTGATCTAGGGATTTTGCGCGACCCCACCCATTTCGTCTTTGGTAGTTACTGCCTACATCCGACAGGGTTGAACTCCATTGGTTACGTCTTCTTAACTAGAATTCCGAGAATTTCCTCACGAGGCTAGTCACTAGTGAGCACTGTTGCGATATTTTGGGGCAGAGTTTTGGAGGTTTGCGTTTTTACACATTTGAAATCATCAATCAATCATTGTTAGACCGCCATTAGAAACCTGGAAGCACTGGACGGTCGTTTTGTCCTGATATGGGACTCATCAGTGGCAGTGCGCATCCACGACTCCTGCTCCTCGCAGGATTCGAACCCGGGACCTTCGGCATTGTAGGCGAACACCTTACCATCGGACCATTACTGTTTTTATTTTTTTCCATCTTTAAAACTTTACAGACACACTCACTCACTCTCACTCACTCTCTCTCTCGCTTTCTCTCATTTTCCATAAATGTGTTTAGCTTTAGCTGATTTATTTCCATCAAAAAAACTTTCATCCAAACCATTAACTGTATGCATTCTTAGTCATTCAACTAATGAATTTTTCAATCTATGGAGTGAAGAAGCTGTCAATGAACGTGAACAATTAGCATGGTCTGTAAGTTTGTTTCTTTTTTTTTTTCAAGTTTAACAATGAATTTTTACACTTTTCCTTTTTAGTTTATTACTTCAGCTATTGAAATTTGTGTATCATTAAAAGAATCCGGTTATTGGGCAGATTTTATTGATCCATTCAGTGGAAAACCGGTTTGTTTGTTTTTATCGTCATAATAATAATAATTATTATTACTAATTTTAGTATCTTGGAACACATGGTGCTGGTAGTAGTGTACAACTCATCGATGACACAGATGAAACAATGAAACATTTCGGTTTTGAATTAGACAATTCAATGTGTTGTAAAATTTTACGTCATCCAAAATGGAAAAATCATGTATTTGTTGGTTTGATATTTACAAATGCACCAGATTCACATCCAGTATTATTAAATATTTAATTGTCTCTTCTAATTACACTACTACTACTACTACTACTACTACTAATACTACTAATTAAATTATTTTATTTTAGTCTTTAAAACATAAAACAACATCAACATCAACAAGTGTATTTTTAAATTCGCGGTTGTTGTTGTCAATGTACAATGTAAAAGTCTCTCTCTTCTTGTTCATGTGATCAATAATAATCAATAATAAAATTCCACTTTACCCATCTGCTATGTGTTTGTCTTTTTTTGTTTTTTGCTCTTTGCTAATTCAATCCTTTTAATGAATGAATGAATGAATAATTTTCCTTTAGAATGGATTATTTTGGCATTGAATATGATCAAAAAGTGGAAGAGATTAAACATCAAGAGAATAAACGTAAAGCATTATTATCCTCATCATCATCATCGACCGTATCGGAAAGTATATATGAGTGTTTTTTTGTCTTTGTTAATATTATTTTTTATATATTATTCTTTAAAGATATCATTGATGATCAATATTTCAATGGTGTTGATAATCATCAATTAAGCAATGCTACTACTACTACTACTACTACTAAACACAAAGTGAACATCAAATCGATACTTCAGCCAAATGTATTATTACATTTGAATGATTTATGTGAAATTGATTCACAGTATTTTGGTAATAATAATAATAATGAAGTTGTTTTATTTTATGATTATGTTTATGTTCAAAATGATATTTTGTTAGTATATTATTCTTATGACAATAGTTGATTTATTCATATAGTTGTAGATCGTAGCTTTTAACCAGTTAACCCCGTTGTCTTATGATCATGTTCTTACTGGTTATTCATTTCCATTATTCTGTGAGTTCTTTTGATAAGTGAGACTTTTAACTTATGAATGCCGAAGGTCCTGGGTTCAAAATCCTGCGGAGTGCAGTAGTCCTGGATGCGCATTGCTGATGAGTCCCATATCAGGACGAAACGGCCGTCCAGTGCTTCCAGGTTTCTAATGGTGGTCTAACATTGATCGATTTACGATTTTAAGAAAGAATGTTTGTCATGTAAATCATTATTCGATCATAGGTGTCTTCCAAGCCAGTGCTTGTATATCCCTTAGACAATCGAGTAAGCAATGCTTTTGTTAGGAAACGGGTACTAGGTAAGGATGGCTGATCAATGGATGAAATATTGGAACTTCATCAATTGAGATGGTTGGGATATATGTTACGTATGCCCAATCACCGACTGCCTCAAGGAGCATTCTTTTGTGGTATAGGGGTAGGCTGAAAGAAAGTTAGGGATGGCTAGACCAAAACATGACACAAATCCCTGGAGTCACTGACATCTGAACTGAGCCGTCTTAGTAGGTGCACCATTTTCAATTGTGCAGGTGCATCCATTCTTTGACTTCCCTCAAATTTTATTCTCAATTTCTCATGACGTCCATCCTTCTCTTCTCAAATCTATTTCAATAGATTTTATCTTCAAACCCTAATCTTTCCTATTACTGTTCATACTTCTACTACGTCTACTATTATGGGATTTGGATTGACGATTCGATCTGCTTGTGCTAATGTGGTATGTCAACTTGATCTGATATGTGTACAAAGTTCTAGGTTGTTGGCTCGGTAGTCTAAAAGTTAAGAATGCATGATCAATACTCCTAATACAAAAAACGAGTCTAAAGCAACTTAGATAAATCATACAACTAAAATGTTTATACTACTGTACAAAAAGACGCAACCATATATATATATATATATATATATATATATCATTGAATATCACAACCATATGTTGTGAGACATTGCAATAATATCGATCTGGCATAAATTCTTCGCGTATCTTGTAAGTTTATAACACAATAATAATGAGTGCAATATGGATAGTGGTAGCTTTTACGTTTCAGAGCAGTAATCTATTTGTCTATAGCATTCCGGATAATACCTTACCTCTTTTGATTTACCCCATCGATTTACATCATTGGTCTTCCCACTGAGTACACAAATTTATCTGGATATTTTAGCTATAAAAATGTACTTAAAATACTACTTAATCAAGTGACTAAACTCCAAGTAAATAAACACGAATCAAAACTCAAATAAAGTGTAAATAACTAAACAGAACTAAGAGGAGCTGAGAGTATTTAATTGCGTGTATATATTGTCATAGTCTGTGTAAAATCGTTTAAAACATTAAGAGGAAATCACATTCTGATGCTAAATGCACCCAATTTCAATTCTTTTCAACTTGAATTGGTGGGGGGGGGGTCCATGCCTAGATAGATTGTATAAGTATTCATTTCCAAATATGCTTAGAAATTGATTAGTTTCCATTTTCAAACACCAATTGTCTTCGTTGTGGAGGTGGTGGTGCTTGATTTTCTATCGCTAAATTAACATACCATCTAATTCACATAAGACCGCTTTCATTTCAACTGCAATATCGGTAAAGTTAATTCCTAAAGTACAAAAATTAATTTTCCTTTTAAACAATTCTTATTGACATTATTCAAATAATCCCATCATAAGACCGCTTATCGGAACTATGAAATATATATAAATATATATGTAAGCGCAGTACATTTTGCACAATGTGATCACGTTTCATTGTGAAAAACACATGTATCTATGAAAAGTGTCACGTTGTTTAGAACTGTAAGGAACAAGTATTAAGGTTTATTAAAACTTTCGCCAAACAAAGATTCAAATTGTTATGCTCGTCAATTGATATGCTTAAATGCTAATATCAAGTTCACCCTAATCGATAAACGAGAGCGAAGACAAATGATCTAGTGACACGATAGGCTACCTCAATCCGAACGTCCCAAGGTCACACTAAGTAGAGAAAGAAGAAGTTTTGATATGGCCTAGAAAGTGTATTATTCTACAAGCACACAAATCGAGTTTATTTATACATGATAAAAACATCCTTGGGACAGCCACAAAAATAACCTACTAAAGTGACACATCAACCAATGACAGTCAAGGATTTTCCAGGTGAGAAATGTAACCTCAAGGTCAACTGATCAGCCCATTCGCAAAAGCATAAAATCCAAAATTAGGGCCTTTATCAATTGAATTCTGGGGATCTAACATCCATAACACAAACTCCCTCTTGGATGGTCAAAAATGTTTATTCTTACTTGGAACCTATTTTGATTTGGTCCATACTCAGCATATTTACTTTTGCTCTTATCTTCTAATTTATCTAGTTTGATCTCTCATTTTACAGATATCATTTTCCTAGCAAGTGTGTCATAAAGATGATTATCCTCTAATAATTGTATTGAGCTTAATATTAACACACACACATGAGAATCATCTCTTATATTATTGTAACTGTATTATTTATGTGTATCAAAGAGAATTATTTTGATTATGACAGTATTTGTTATGTGAAACATTCTAAAGTATCCGTATTCTTATTCGATGTAGTAATTTTAAAAGAAGGTAAAGATGAAGGAGGTGTTTTATTGATTGTTTACAATATTTTCTTATTTTCTCCACTGTTATTAATATGATAATATCATAGGCTCCACAGGATCCAATCTAAATCTAATGGAACAGATCAGTTCAACAATCAACAATGATTATAATAAACCATCATTGATCATTTCAAAGCCTAAAAAGGTAAAGACTGCTAAAAAGCATACTCTTCAATCTTCTACCACTACTACTACTACTAGTACTACTAATATTCTATCTAAAAGTAATATAAATCGAACAAAAGCAAAATTAGTTGATAAAGTGAAAACTGATCTAATTGATGAAAATTTACATGGATATAATAATGATGATTTATTGGAATTTGAAGAAAATCTTCATCATCATGATCACAAAGATGATGTTGAATATGGTGCAGATGCACTTAAAATTATTCGACAAAGAACCGGTTTAAATTTATACACTGGTACTAGTAAGTCTGTTGCATTGAATTTCTTTCTATACACAAGAATATTCATTCTTTCATGCTTTCGCTAAAGTTTTTATTAAAATGTTATTTATTATCTATCATCTTTCATGCTATGATTTGGTTTGTTTGTTTTTTTAATTAAGAATTGGTATAATATTTGCTCCTTTTCTAATCGATTTGCTAATCTTCACTTGCTGTTGTGCTGTTGTGTAAAGATTGATACACATTTGCATAAGATCTTATGGTGACTAAAAAGATTGACTAACTAACTGACTGTTTAATATATTGTGCATGCTGTAAGTTGGACTGTTTTAATGATGAAGTATTTATTCATTGTGTGTTCTTACGTAACACATTATCAGTGAGATGATAGACTTCAAAAAGCAAGCAATTACAAGCTTTTCACAATCAAATAACAGTTTGATTCATATAATCTAAGATGTTGAACATTTTTTAAAATCAAATGATGTCTTGAATAAACTGACACATTCTCAATGAATATATGGAATACTAGTAGTTTACATGACGGACTGAATTGAGGTAAATAACTACTAATAATAATCATTGAACTGTTGAACAGTTATTTTGTTTTACTGTGAGACTTCTTTAAACTGGAATCAAAATTGGTACTCTCAGCCTTCATTGATATATTACTATGTTGTGTTACTTTTAGACTACCCCCCGGATTGATAGTAAATATGTAGTTTTCGCTTTTTCGGAATATTTTTGTACGATAATTATCTGTCTATTTTCAGACATGGTTAGACGCCACGGCTTTTGCCAACCTGCGTCACTTATGTCGTAGGCGTGTTATCCGTTTGCTGACTAAAGGACGAGTATACTGTGCAGTAGTTCGCTCCGTCTTACTTTATGGCTGTGAAACATGGCCAGTGAGAGTTGAAGATATTCGTCGGTTACTGGTTTTCGATCATAGGTGTCTTCGAAGCATTGCTCGTATATCGTGGGACACCCGAGTGAGCAACGCTGTTATTAGGAAGCGGGTGCTGGGTAAGAATGGCAGATCAATAGATGAAGTAATGAAACTTCATCGGTTGAGGTGGATGGGACATGTGTTGCGTATGCCTAACCACCGACTGCCTCGACGAACTTTGTTTTGTAGTGTAGGAGTAGGTTGGAAGAAAGTTAGGGGCGGCCAAACCAAAACATGGCAGAAATCCATGAAGTCATTGACAAGTGGACTTAGCACCTAACATCTTACATACTAACGCATTAATAAGACTGATTAATCAACAATAAGCCAATTCAAACTCTTACAAATGATGATACAGGCATAATACTTGTTAAATAAATCAGTGGATATGTTATACCTGGACATAAACACGTCAACTTGATATACCTGAACTATTACGAGTTTACCTAGTCGGAAAACGAAAGCGAGGATCCGGTGACACGACATACTACTCAAATCCGATTATCCTAACCCCCGTTTTTAGTAAAAATAAGAAGACGTGATATGAAGTAGAACCTATATTCTACAAGCATCCAGAAAGTACGAAGTCCGAATCCATAAGAGAATCAGGATCCAGGACTAGGGATCCGGGACCGAGCCCTGGTCGTGGTTGTGGTCATAAAACGTTACAGATAATGCGTATTTATACATTTTGGTCGAATAAGAAACAGCATCGAAGTCGGTGACATTGACAGTTAAGACGACCAATGGGAAGCGACATTTGAAGTGACATTGATAGTCAGGACAATCAAGCACGTGACATTGATATCTAGGACGACTATAAAATTGACCACTAGGAATAAACCAATAGGAATTGACCAATAATTCTCTTAGGATATTGGATGAATATCCTAACACACACCAATTCTAATCGCTATCCATGTATATATATACATATAATTATACTAAATATGATTATATTCTTTGATAAATAAATGCATTCAATTTTTGAATGACCTCTTTATTTAGCCTTAGACATACCATCAAATAAAAAGAAATCATCAATTCCAGTGAAATTAGACAGTCAAGGATATCGTGTCCCAGATGAGGATCCATATAAATTTGATTTATTAACCGAAGAAGAAGCTGCCACAGTGCTGTACAAATCAATTATAGAAATAAGAGGTTTGTTTAAAATAAAAAAAACAATTTCTTAATATATTATAATCATCATCATGTTCCTCCTGTTTTGTTTTCTGTAATTTTGTAAAAGTTTTTTTTGTGAATACTAATTGACTACTCACTAGTAGTTATGTTCTAGGTGAGGTGGATTCCTTAAAATTCTAATGAGAAGTAGTTGTCCAGTGTTGTGTGTACATTTTGCCAGTCAAGTTCGTCGGTAACAGGATAAGATTTTATTTAACAATTACATATTGAATGCAACTTACTCCAAATCTGTAATTAGTCCATTTTAACCAATCAGTTAGTATTAGGAGGAATAAATTGAAATGTTACCAGAAGCTTTGGTTAGAGATTGCTGATCGATCAGTGACTGATACTCCACAGAGGAGTTGACAGCCATAGTGTATGTTATCTTTTCGCATCCGTAAGCTGCTTCTTGTTTCCCTCCTATCCTTGTTCTGATTGTGGAACAATTAATTGAAGTGTGGAACACTGGATAAACGAAAACTCAAGGTCGAATATAAGACAGTTATTCTCTACGATAGTCAATGAACTGAAATTATAAATGTGAATTATTACATTTCAAAAGGAGTATCTTTCTCACTGATAGACCGATAGGTTCAGTGTGTAAAATAAATAGCAGACCTTGAAGGTCTTCAAATTTTATTTGAAAAATAGGCATCTTTAAATTACTATTACAATTCCAGTGTGTACATATTGTTTTGCTGTTATGCTCGTCACTTGATATGCTTGAAACTATTACGAGTTCACCTTAGTCGATAAACGAGTGGGAGACAATGAACCAATGACAAGATAGGCTACTCTGATCAGTTGCTCCAACTAACTGAAGAGCAAACGATTCTGAGCCATGTCGTTCAAGGTCTCTAACCATTGGTGACTTTCGTCTCGCGGACCCCAACCAGGTAGGTAGCCTACATCTACCAACATGACTCAGTCTACTTGTCAGTGACTTCATGGATTTCTGCCATGTTTTGGTCTGGCCGCCCCTAACTTTCTTCCAACCTATTCCTACACTACAAAACAAAGCTCGTCGAGGCATTCGGTGGTTCGGCATACGCAAGATATGTCCCAACCACCTCAACTGATGAAGTTTCACTACTTCATCTATCGATCTGCCATCCTTACCTAGTACTCGTTTCCTAACGACAGCATTGCTTATGTGGTTGTCCCAGAATACACGAGCAATGCTTCGGAGACATCTATGGTCGAATACTAGTAACATGCGGAAGTCCTCTACTCTTAACGGCCATGTTTCGCATCCGTATAGTAGGACAGAACGAACAGCTGCGCAGTACACTCGTCCTTTGGTTAGCAAACGGATATCTGGCCTGCGCCATAGGTGACGCAGGTTGGCAAAAGCCAACCGAGCCTTCTGTATCCGTGTTGAGATTTCATCAGTCACTAGGCCATCAGCACTGATGAGACTCCCCAGATACATGAAGCGGTCTACACGTTCGACTACTTCACTCTCTATCACACTAGTTCATGTGCCAACTGGGACTTGAAGTTCATTTCATGCCAGTTAATTCCAATTAGTACTTGTTTATTCTCTTTTTTTTTTACTTATCCCTCTTTTCATAAAATAGAAAATGTGATCATTATGAATAAACCACGTGGAATAGCATCACAACGTGAGTTGATTTTTTGACTGATTTAAATATCATCATTGATGTTATTGTTGTTCTTTTTCCTTTCATTCATTATTTATCTCCTATTTTACATTACACATTTTATTCTGTACGATTATCTAATGCAATTTCTTTTTGCACAGTTAACCTTAGTCATTTGTGAATGCTGTTAGAGGTGTGTGTGTGTGCTTGTAAGCGGTTCTTTTTACATGGTTGCTTATATCATCATTTTTGATATGGCTGTTGTTTTGAGGACCTAGAAGTTTGACTACAAAGCCCAAGGGATAGAGCTAAATGAGGCTGGTCATACACAACTTTGGCTATGTTGGCTATCAGTCAGTCAGTTACAATTTAGAACTTTGTACGTACGTACATAAGTTCAGGTTGCCATACGACATTAGCACAGAGATTCCATAGTCAATTTAAATCTCATAGTGGTAGAGATAACAGAAGTATTAGCGGTAATGGAGAATATGTTGGCTATCGCTTTTAAAGGCTTAACAATCGACAACGAAAACGTATGGAACAAGTTGAGGTGTACTATTTTTTAAAGCCCAAACTTTTCAAACCCCTTCCTTCCATCAAGCGTAAGGCAATATCGCTGCAGATGGTGATTTCCTGAGTGAAAAACACCTTGCTACTTCCGTGTTCCACTTCCATTATTTTTGTGTAACTTCGTCCTTAGTAGACCTTAGCAGTTTGTTACTTCTTTAGTGTTATCCCTACTCTCAAACCTACCTAGTTGAGATGTTATTATCCAGATGAACGAGTATTGTAGCTAAAGTATACATCTTGATTAGGTCGTCACAATATGCGAACCCAACCAACCACATCAAGGCACGTACTAGTTTCGTTTTAGGCACTGTTGATCTATTCAGTCATTATGTAGGTTGTTACTATTGTTGTATAGAATTATTTTGATTCAGTCAGCTACAATGTAGAACTTTGTACGTACGTAAGTTCGTACATCACTTCAAGTTGCCATAACACATTAGCACAAAAAGATCGAACTGTCAATTTAAATCCCATCGTAGTAGAAGTATTAGTAGTAATGGAGAAGATGAGGATTCGATGATATTATACAAGTATAATCCAGTGAAATAAATGTAAAAAAAAACAATAAAAGTTATGAAGATTTCAGATAATTAGAATTTGAGAGAAGGCAAATAATGGATGAATTTGTGCCATAGCAAACGATTTTGAGCCATGTCATTCAAGATCTCTAACCATCAATTTCTATCATCTCACGGACCCCAACTAGGTAGTCTACATTTACCAACTTGTCTCAATCTAGTGGATTTGTGTCATGTTTTGGATTGGCGGGCCCCTAGATTTCTTCTAGCCTACCCCTACATGACAAAACATTACTCGTTGAGGTAGTTGGTGGTTGTACATACGTAACACATGTCTCGATCACCTTAACTGATGAAGATTCGCTACTTCATCACTTGAGATTTCATTGTTACCTAGTATATGTTTCTTAACAACAGTATTGCTTACTCGATTGTCTAAAGATAAACGAGCAATGCTTTAAAGACACGTATAATCAAAAACTAGTAACCTACGAATGTCTTCTACTCTTACTGATCATGGTTCACACGTGTATAGTAGGACAAAGGGAACTGCTGCACAGTAGATTCGTCCTTTGGTTAGTAGACCAATATCTCACCTACACCGTATGTGATGCAGGTTGGCAACAGCCGGTGTACCATAGAATATTCATATATCCATGATTTATAAAAGAATATCTTAATGGTTATTTCTTTTATGAGTTTCAAAACAATACTTATCAAATATGAGTCTATTTTCACTGCACACTGTTGTTAGGGGTTACGTAATACTGGATGATATGTATTTATGCGTTAAAAAAAACAAATGATTATCCAGTGTTTTAAATGAATTTAAATCATCATACTTTTAGCCATCAAATCAGACGAGGCATTTGTCAACACTGAGTTTGATTAAAGATGAGTCTGATGATGAAGGCTCTTACAAGGACTTATGCAATGGTATCAGTGAGTGTCTACAGAAAATCTGATCGACCCCATCAACCACAAGAAGTCTGAAAAAAGCACAACAGGGATCTGTAGTTTGTCAGTCGGTCAGTTTGTCAGCTACAATACTTCATCAACTGATTTCCCATCCTTACCTAGTACTCGATACCTGTACTAATATGTCTAGCCCACGTGGCCTGTCTCAGTTTTTGGAAAAATTAATGAATTCCATTCTTCTCGAGTTATTATTATTGACACGTATTTGAACTTGTCTATTGTTGGCTCATTAACCTTTGGCTGTTTATAGTTGAGTATGTGTGCATGCTTCCTTTGTTTATTACATGTCTAGCTTACTTTTGTTAGATTATGAATATTTGTAACCATGAATCGATCAATGTTAGACCACCATTAGAAACCTGGAAGCACTGGACGGCCGTTTCGTCCTGGTATGGGACTCATCAGCATTGCGCATCCAGGACTCCTGCACCCCGCAGGATTCGAACCCAGGACCTTTGGTATTGTGCGCGAACATTGATTAATTCATGGTTACAAATAAAACATAACAATCTTCACAACAACCCCGCAATGAGATTATGAATAATTATGATCATGCTTCACCGCATTGATATGGCTCATTCAACTTATTCACTTCGTTTCGCTTAGTATTCTCATGTGTGTCTGCATGAACGATTGCATGAAATAAACAACCTATCCAACAGAATTATTACCGTCGTCGTAAAAAACAAGGTTCACCTAAGCATGATATGCAGAAATTAAACGGAATATTTATTTCATTTCATACTGTCAATGTGTCCGCACAAACTGGAGTCAGATCGCTAGCCACTATTAAATCGGCAAGGCCTATGTTGAATCAGATACAACCAGAAAAGTTCATAACACTGTGATTGGCGCTTTTTTTGTGCATTGAACTCAAAAAAAAAACATAATACATTTTAAATTATAATTTCTTATTTTTTTTTTTAGCTGGAAATGATTGTAAATACAATATTGTTGATTTATTACCCTGTTTGGAATCAATCATTAGAAAACGAAATCATTGTGATAGCAAAGTAGAACAACAACAACAACAACAACAACAACGAATTGATGAATTATCAACTGTACATCGATTAGATAAAGATTCTAGTGGAATAATGTTAATAGCTAGGTAGGTAAAAACAACATTCTATGTATATATATTTATATATTACTGTATTCTGAAATGAGTAGTTTCATTACAGATATATAAAATAAATTGGAAATCATTATCAACACAATGATTTATTTATAATAATATGTGTATTTGTATAATGTGTTGTATTATTATGATTGATTGGTGCATTCATGATGATTGATTTATAAAGCTGATTATTTACTATATCATTAATAATCATAGTCAATCATATGATACAGTGTTGTTGTATAAACAAACGGTAATCGTCATTACAACACTTTAAAAGTTTCCCTAACATTCTATGCAATAGAAAGAAAAACACTTTACTGTTAGACCACTATTACAAACCTGGAAACACTGGACAACTATCTAGTGTCCTGGTATGGGACTCATCAGTGTCAGTGCGCATCTATGACTCTTGCTACTCGCAGGATTCAAACGCCAAGACCTTTTGGTCTTGTGCACCAACGCCTAACCTCGAACTCTCTGATCAATCTAGGGATTTTGCGCAACCTCATTCATCAGTTTCGTCGATAGTCATCATCATCATTATCAATCAATCATTGTTAGACTACATGCTAGTACGGGTATGAGGGCGGTAGTCACTTCCCGGCTGCCCACACCGTGGAAGGTTGTTTCTTGAGGGACCTGAAAAGGAAGATGGATTAGTGTTGGTGCGTGACCGCAGAGTCCAAGGGACAACTGCTTGAGGCCAGTCACGCACGGCCTTTTTATGAAACGTTTTTTGAGGATTAGCTCCGTTCTTAAAGGCCCTTAGTGGGCACCCTTACCCAAGGAGACGGAAATCCGTGAGTTAGGGGGAGTGTGACATTTTTAGGGCCGACCTTTTCTAACCCTTCCTTCCTTGTGAGAAGGCAGCATCGCTGCAGATGCTGGTTGTCCGAGGGAAACACCTTACTGCTGTCACACCCCTCTGCAGTCAGCAGTACGACTTCGCCATCAGACCTTGGGTAGCTGCTTTTAGTCTCATCGTTCTCCAATCGACCAGCCTGGCATGGTAGGACCTGCAGGAACATATGTTCCAGCCAGTATAGCTCGGTTGGGTCATCACGATAGGCAAGCCCGACCACCACGTCAAGGTAGCAGCAGCCTTGTTTTGTAGTGTGGGAATAGGTTGGAAGAAAGCTAGGGGCGGCCAAACCAAAACATGGCAGAAATCCATGAAGTCATTGACTAGTGGACTGAGCCATGTCGGTAATTGTCGACTACCTGGTTGGGGTCCGCGAGATGATAATAATCGATGGTTAGAGACCTTGAATGACATGGCTCAGAATCGTTCGCAATGGCGCCAGTGCATTTATTCTCTATGTTCTCTCAAATGCTAGTCTTCTGGATTCTTCAACACCTCTAGTTTCGACTCTCTAAACTTTTCTCACTGAATCATACTTCTTGAATAGTATCTTCTAATCCTAACCTCTCCGATTACTTTTAATTCCCTTACTACGTCTTCTACTATTGGATTTGAATTGACGATTACTTCTCTCTGCTGATGTGGTATGGCAACATGAACTGATGTACTTATGTACAAAGTTCTACGTTGCATCTGACTGACTGACTGACTGTTAGAGTACATGATTAAAAACTTGCAAACACTGAAAGACGGCCGTTTTGTCCTCCTTGTATGAGAAGACATGACTAGTGGACTTCAACTCTGTCTGATAGTAGGCAGTAACTACCAATGACTAATGGGTGAGGTCGCGCAAAATCTGTCGATATGAATCAGAGTTGGCGATTAACACTGTTAGATGCCGGTCCGGTGGTCCAGAGATTAGGCGTTCGCGTGCAAGACCGAAGGTCCTGGGTTCAAATCCTGTGAGGTACAGGAGTCATGGATGCGCACTGGCACTGATGAGTCAGTCCCATACCAGAACGAGACGGCCGTCTAGCGCCTCCATGTTTCTAATGATGATCTAACAATGATTAATTATTGATGATTTCAACTATGTAACAAACACTAATCTCCATAACTCTAATAGAAAGAATAATTGTCTAACAATATTCTATATGAAGTATGTGTAAAAAAAATATTATTTTTCTTTCAATATATTGTAAACTTTGCATAGTTTTCTTTTTATTTTCTCTTGCAAAGAAATCGAGATGCTGCATTAAAACTTCAAGAAGCATTTGCAAGACGTTGGATTAAAAAAGATTATTTATGCATTACAGTTGGTATACCAAGATCAGATTATGGTTATATTCAATTACCATTGATTGAAAGAAATTTCAATGGAATTCGTAAAGTAAATGAATTTTTTTTATTTGTTTTTGTTAAATTGATTTTTCTTTTCCCCATTGATGTGTTTAAGATTTGTTGTAATCGTTAAAACCTCATGGGAATATATATATACACGTTTTTTTGTGGATTGGTTCGACTATTGCAGAGGCGGATAGTGAGTGGTACAAACCAGTGTCTATCTGAACTTATTAGTTAAATGGATGACGCGATATTGTTTGTAGAGAACAGTACTAGGTTCGAGATGGACGGGCAGGTAAAATCAAAACTGTGAGGTGCAACAACACTCAGCTGACTAGTTAATCCTAAATAGGATGAAACTCATTTCTTGTATTCCACTACTAACCAGTAATCCATCCATGCTAATGTACGTAATAATTTATTCCCCATGAGAAGTACCAGTGTAGTTTATACTACTTGCAACTTAGCTTCTAGGTTAGTATACAGTCATGGAGTATTTCGCACAGAAGTTATTATTGAAAGAGAAGACTGACTGATACGAATACATTGTGAGACCAGCGTTTTTTTTTTGAAGATTAGAAGACATTTACAAGAAGACAACCAATAATTTGTTTGTTTTCCAAATGAATTCTAAAGATTGAGGTGTACATATTGTGCTAGTTAACTGATCTGGTCTTAACGTCTTCGTTTACTACATCAGACAACAATAAAATCAGCTATAAAACACACAAAGACTACACATTTTTTGAAACCATGAATCGATCAATGTTAGACCACCATTAGAAACCTGGAAGCACTGGACGGCCGTTTCGTCCTGGTATGGGACTCCTCAGCAGTGCGCATCCACGACTCCTGCACCCCGCAGGATTCGAACTCAGGATCTTCGGTATTGTGCGCGAACGCCCTAACCGATAGACCACTGAGCCGGTATCTAACACAAAGACTAGTTGAAAAGTATCATCGTTTACAAAAAATATAATTTTTTTTTATTCCTCCCCCCCTTATTTTCTTCTTCTTATTATTATTTAGATGTGTACTCCTCAATTAAATCGTCATCTACAAGAATTAACTTGTCAACAAACACAATTAGATGTGAATAATGAATTAAATGAATATGATGTAACTGATGCTTTCTCTGTGTTGTATGATAAAATGCAAACAAATAATAATCAACCAACTACATGGTATCATTTAATTGATAAACAAAACAATGCTGCATTATTACAATGTTCCACATTGACTGGTTTGTTTTTGCGCTTTTTTTATTTTTTTTTTTACAAGGATTGTTACTTATTATTGTTTTTTTTTATTAATTCATTCAAAATAATTCAGGTAGTTTGTACTAATTCGGTAGATTGGGTAGAGAGAGAGAGTTAGTTATCGAAGTTGCGCTGCATAAATGACAAAAAAAAGATAGTAGCTACAACCTGATGGTCAGTCAGTCAGATGCAACGTAGAACTTTGTACATAAGTACATCAGTTCATGTTGCCATACCACATCAGCAGAGAGAAGTAATCGTCAATTCGAATCCAATATTAGGAGAGGCAGTAAGGGAATTAGAAGTAATCGGAGAGGTTAGGATTAGAAGATATTATTCAAGAAGTATGATTCAGTGAAAAAAGTTTAGAGAGTCGAAACTAGAGGGGTTGAATAACCCAGAAGATTATGATTTGAGAGAACACAGAGAATAAATGCACTGGAGCCATTGCAAACGGTTTTGAGCCATGTGATTCAAGGTCTCTAACCATCGATTATTATCATCTCGCGGACCCCAACCAGGTAGTCGACAATTACCGACATGGCTAAGTCCACTAGTCAATGACTTCATGGATTTCTGCCATGTTTTGGTTTGGCCGCCCCGACCTAAGCTGCTACCTTGACGTGGTGGTCGGGCTTGCCTATCGTGATGACCCAACCGAGCTATACTGGCTGGAACATATGTTCCTGCAGGTCCTACCATGTCAGGCAGGTCGACTGTAGAACGATGGGACCAAAAGCAGCTACCCAACGTCTGAGGGCGAAGTCGTACTGCTAACTGCAGAGGGGTGTGACAGCAGTAAGGTGTTTTCCTCGAACAACCAGCATCTGCAGCGATGCTGCCTTCTCACAAGGAAGGAAGGGTTAGAAAAGGTCGGCCCTAAAAATGTCACACCTCATCCTACCTCACGGATTTCCGTCTCCTTGGGTAAGAGTGCCCACTAAGGGCCTTTAAGAACGGAGCTAATCCTCTAAATACCTTTGATAAAAAGGCCGTGCGTGACCGGCCTCAAGCAGTTGTCCCTTGGACTCTGCGGTCACGCACCAACACTAATCCATCTTCCTTTTCAGGTCCTTCAAGAAAAAACCTTCCACGGTGTGGGCAGCCGGGAAGTGACAACCGCCCTCATACCCGTAACAGCACGCGAGACCAAATTGGTCAAAATCAAATCCTTCCTACACCCCCTAATGTCTCTCTTATCTCTACGACAACCTGATGGTACTTGGAATCCGGGGAAATAAAGACATTGTACTCAGGGTTGAACAACATTAAGGCTAGTAGCTAGTTTCAACAGAGCTGCTGTTGTTTTTTTTTTCGGTCATGAAGAAAAAAAATACGTCTCACATGCACAGAAAAAATTTGTACTGATGCTAATCGAAACAAGCAAAATAAGCACTGATAGGGCAGAGAATTGTCATGGATTCAGGATCATTAAAGCATCCTTCAAAATAAAGAAAGACGGAAATGAATGTTATCCGGTGCTATGCGCCTAACAACAATTACAATGAAGACGTTACAAATCAATTCTACGAGGGGCTGAAATTAATCTTTTAGAAATGATAAACATAGGACTTGACCATTCTGATGAGGAGACACTTGAATGGTAAGGTTGGCATGAACAACACTGGATAGGAAGACATCATGGGACTACAGGGACTGTGAGAAAGGAACGAAAACGATGAGGAGTTCGCAAACCTATATGCTTTCAACAAACTGGTCACTGTTGATTGTTATGCTCGTCTCTAGGTATGTTATTACGAGTTCACAGTCGAATAACGAGAATAAAAAATGAACCTGCCTCCAGGTAGGCTACTGTGATCCCTTGACCAAATTGAATCAACAATAAGTCCTGATATAGTGTAGAAATTGTATCCTACATACACCCAGCCAGCACACAATGAATCCAAGCACTCAAATTGCGTTTATGTATACTCTATAGAGACGTCCTTGGGACAGTCACAAAAATAGCACACTAAAATGTCACAGTAACCAATCACATCCAAGGATTCTCTTGGTGGGAAATGTGACCTCAAGGTCAACTAATCGGTCCATGAAATGAATCCAAGATGAAGATATTTATCAAGCGAATTCTGGGGATCTAACCTCCCTCACATTGTTACACTGCGTAAGATTGGAGATAGTAGGGACGATTCAGATGTAAAGACAAAGATTAGCGAAGCCAGGACAGCATTTCTACAATTAAAGACCATCCGAAACCTGAAACAACTGTCGACCAACTCAAAAGTCAGAATTTTCAGTATAAATGTTAAGACAGTTCGACTATATGGGGCGGAAACCTGGAGAAAATCGAAAACCATCATCCAGGAGGTACAAGTATTCATCAACAGTTTTTTACGTAAAATACTTTGACCAGACTCTATCAGCAACAACTTACTGTGGGAAAGAACAAACCTGATTCCAGTGAATGAGGAAATCAGGAAGAAGCGGTGGAAGTGGATCGAACATGCACTGCGAACGACTCTTAGTCTGAATACCGTCCATCGAGCGTAGGTAAATTTGAAATATTGGGATAATAGCTTTCCAGGACGATTTGTTTGGGGAAGCGGCAGTAAAGATCCTGGAATATTGACACCGACCCTATGTGGTTGTCTCAAACACTGCATTTTGGTGTATCGTGTAAACTGGCGTCGAGGCCCCTTAAAAAAGGGTCTCCAGTTGGGTTATGTGAACCGGTGCTAAAGAGTACTGGACGCCAGTGATGTCTGCCCACTTCTATGGGATTAACCTAGCTTGGCCGAGTGCTTGCACTCGATCGAGTCCATGACCTGAGGGCTCCGCTCGATTGTACCAGCGCAAGGCTGTTGGAGGTCAGACGGTTGGAACGGCTGCTGAGTGGCTCGGTAATCCGTTCGGGGCGCCAGGTCTAGCTGAGAAAGCCCGCCTTACAGCCCTTGCCGATTGGGGATTGTATGTAGTGGATTGGTTGGGGAGATGTTGCTGATTCATAAGTGCCCGAACGGCGGCCACTGCTCCTGCGCGTGCTTTTTGGACGTCCACCTGTCTGCAGACCAATCTAGACAACATGCACGTTCCCATATGGGGCAGGGATGATCGCAATATTTGCTCTTGTGAGAATCCTAGCGTTGCTTAAAATGCAGCGGCGTGCATGTGCAGCAGGCATGATGGTTAATCAAGAATATTGAACGAGCTTGTTTTGTACAAATAATTGTGATTGCTCTATATGTATAGCAAGGTCTCGGTAATGCTAATAAGACCGAAGATAACTGCTTTTGACTTTCAACGCAGAATCTGTTTTAATTGAATGACCTATGTTCACAAGATGTTCGATGAACGCCCTTCCATACTAACATTTTTCTGCGTATGACCTGTCATACTTTTTGTGACTATGATTAAAAAATTTATGCTATTCCATCTGTTTGTTTTAGTCAAGTGTTGCGCATAGATTAATTATCAGTGATCAATTCTTTCTTCAAACTGATAGTAAAATATCGCTCATTGATGGGGTGCATTTTGCATCGGCCAGTGATATATATGATCACATTCACGTTCTATTTGTTGTATCCCTGAATTCCTAAAAGCAGTTGACCAAGTTTTATTACCAGGTAAAAAAGTGAACCATAGTATCGACCTTGAACAGCTTGTTAACCAACCAGGTAGAGGGATTTACTTGAAAAAATATAATTGGACAGCAATCGTATCAGATTGGATAAACAATTTCAATATAATTAATAAGTTCTAACATGTTGAATGATTTGTCATAATAAACAGAAATGTGAGAAGATTAGTGTAGAAGCTTGCTTGATATGATTGTTATGATGAATACTTTATTAAATATATTGAAATTATGAATCGATCAATGTCAGACCACCATTAGGAAGGAACCTGGAAGCACTGGACGATCGTTTCGTGTTAATTAATATTGGACTCATCAGCGGCGCTCATCATCCCCAACCTCTGCTCGCATAATCGGATCCGGGATATTTAGTTTCGTGCACGAACACCTAACCACCAGATCACTGAGTCGGTATCCAATGTTGTCAATGTTTTACTTTAATCAATCTAAGGTATTACACAATACCGCTCTTTGTCTTCAGTAGGTGATTGCCTACACTCAGTAGGGTTGAACTCCACTGGTCACAACTTCGACCCAAATTTGTTCCTAGCTTTTTACAGTGTCTTGAAAGCAAACTATTGGTGTGTGTGTGTGTGTGTTTTACTCATGCCTTACATAATTATAAAATATGAATTATCTGTCACACTCTGTTTTGAACTCCATTCGACAATCTAAAAAAAAAACACATTTAAACTGTAAATATTGTTTTGTACTTTTCTGTTGTTGTTGTTGTTTCTTTAGGTATAAAACATCAAGTTCGTGCTCATTTAGCATTTGGTCTACAAACTCCAATACTTGGTGATCATAAATATTCTCATGCAGAATATTTAGCTCCACAACGTTTACCAAAATGTTTATTAGAAGCACTTCATGTTAGACAATCAAAAGTACGTTATTTAAGCTTACATTTACATGCTTCAACGTTACATCTTCATCTACCATCAACACAATCAACATCTTTAAATTTTAGTAGTAGTAGTAGTAGTAGTAGTAATAGTAGTAATGAAGGATTTTTTGATTTTATTCGACCAATTGATCATTCTCATCGTAGTAAATCTATCAATAATAATAGTTCTTCAAAAAATCCATTAAAATTCTATGCTCCATTACCTAATCATTTTCGAGAAAATTTAAAACGTATCGGATTAAAATTACCGCATTATTTAAAATGTTTACATTAAATTAGTTAGATAGATAAGGTTAATGAATGTTTAAATATGATGAATGAGTATGTTGTATACAATAGTATTCCTTTACATTTGTACTTGTATAGGTTTTAATTGTTTTCCAGTTGATTGTAACTATTTCACTCTGTGTTAATTGATATTGATTGTTTTGTGTGCATTCATACATACAAGCAAGTTTTGTATAATTCACAGGGATATTATTCAACAATTAATCAATCAACTGTACTCTTATGCATATTTTGTATAGAAAGAAATATAATTATTTATTCGATTAGTTGAATGTCAATGTAGTTCATTAAGATTTTTGGAATGTTGGTAAAATCCATGTGTCTTAAAAGGATACTATACATATATATATATCTTAACTTATGAAAAATCGGATATGTTGTGTGTTTTATTGTAAAATGTACAGGTGTACAGGTAAGAACAAACATTTTTGACTATCTAAGAGGGAGTTTGTGTTGCGAACGTTAGATCCTCATAACTCACTTTATAAAGACCCTAATTTTGGATTTCATGCTCTCGCGCATGGGCTGATCAGTTGGCCTTGAGATTACATCTCCCACCCGAAAAATCCTTGGCTGTGGTTGGTTGATGCGTTATTTCAGTACGCTATTTTTGTGTCTGTCCCTAGGACGTTTCTGTGATGTATAAATAAACTCGATTTGTGTGATTGTCTGGTTTTCTGGGTGCTTGTAGAATACACTATCTACACCATATCAAAACTTCTTCCTCTACTTAGTGGGACCTTGGGATGTTGGGATTAGAGTAGCTTGTCTTATCACTGGACCATTTGTTTTCCTTCTCGTTTACCGACTAAGATGACCTCGTAATAGTTCAAGCATAACAGTTACACTTTTAGCAATTCAACATGTTTGGACGTAAAATACAATGAAGTCATAATAACAGAAAGTGATCCATAGGATTACTGCGATACAATCTAGATTATCCGATAAATGATTAAATCCAATTTTGTTACAGAGTGAAGATTTTGTTGTGAAAGGAATCTGTCGATTACTTTCCTCTTCTCAAATACGAAAAAAAACGAAGAACAACGGATTAGCTCAATTTATATCAGTTTTTGAAATCCCCTGGTAATAATTCAACCACTTTATGACTTTCACATATGATATTCTCGTCAAGTGATATGCTTGAAACTATTATGAGTTAATTTTACTCGGTAAACAAGAGCGGAGATAATTGATGAAGTGATACGATAGACTATTCTAATCTGATAGTCCCAGGCCCCGCTAACAAGATCAAAAATACTTGATAAGGCGTAGAGAATTTATTCTGCAGACACGCAAAAAGATTGAGCTTCCTGAGCACACAAATGAAGTTAATTTGTACAATGATATTGTACTAAAAATTCCGTCAACCACTGACAGTCAAGGATTTCCTAGTGGGACAGACAGACAGACACAACGCAGAACTTCGTACGTAAGTACATCAGTCCAGGTTGCCATGCCACATCAGCACAGAGACGCAACTGTCAGTTCAAATCCAAGAGTGATAGCGATAGTAGAAGTATTAACAGTATTGGGGAAGATTAGAGAACAAAGATATGATTCGAGAAGTATAATTCTGTGAGATAAATTTAGAAGCAGGTAGCCTACATGTACCACTATGACTCAGTCCACTAGTCAGTGACTTCATGGATTTCAGCCATGTTTTGGTTTGGCTGCCCCTAGCTTTCTTCCAATTTACTCCTACACCACAAAACATAGCTCGTCGCGGCAGTCGGTGGTTCGGCATACGTAACACATGTCCTAACCACCTCAACCGATGAAGTTTCACTACTTCATCTATTGATTTGCCATACCTACCTAGAACTCGTTTCCTAACGACGACATTGCTTATACGGTTGTCCCATGATACTCGAGCTATGATTCGAAAACATCGTTGATCGAAGACTAGTTACCTACGGAAGTCCTCTACTCTTAACGGCCAAGTCTCGCATCCGTACGGTAGGACGGAGCGAACTACTGCACAGTACACTCGTCCTTTGGTTAGCAAACGGATACCTGGCCCGCGCCATAAGTGACGCAAGTTGGCAAAAGCCATTCAAGCCTTCTGTATCCGAGCTGAGATTTCGTCAGTCACCAGGCCATCGGCACTGATGAGACTCCCAAGATAAGTGAAGCGGTCTACACGCTCGACTACTTCTCTACCTATCACTAGTTCAGGTGCCGATGCAACCCAATCTTGAAGCAACATTTTGCATTTTGGCGGGGAAAACCGCATCCCGAACATGCTTGCATTGTTGCTTAGGGTGGTCAGAAGACTGAATTTTGTCAGCGTTCTCACCAAGTAGGACTATATCATCGGCATATTCTAAGTCAGTAAGCGAGCCTCCTGACAAAAGGTCTACTGAAAATTCAGACGAGGATAAGGTTATTTCTAGGAGCATGTCTATGATAAAATTAAACAAGAATGGAGAGAGTGGTCATCCCTGACGGACACCACTTGAAGTAAGGAATTCCGGTGACAGTACGCCATAAGCTCTCACTCGACCTGTAGCGTTTGAGTAGATAGCTTGTATAAGGTTAATGTACTTCATTTGCACACCTTTCAATGACAGACACTGCCACAGAACCTCACGATCCACAGAGTCAAATGCCGCTTTTAGGTCCAGGGAAGCAACTATTGTAGGATGCCTAAATGTGTGCCTGTGTTCCAGGACCTGTCGTAGTGTGAAAATGTGGTCTATACAACCGCGCTCAGGTCGAAAACCAGCTTGGTTTTCTCTAGTCTACTCTTCCTGAGCCTTCGTTAAGCACCGAAGTAATATTGTGTCCAATATTTTAGATACTATGTTGGTTAGACTGATTCCCCTGTGATTGTCACAAGAAGACTCTTGTCCTTTCTTATAGATTGGGACAATCAGTGATTGAGACCAGTCGGATGGGATTACGTCCAGTTCCCAGATTCTACGTAAGATCTCAGTCAATCTAGCTGCCACAACTGGACCACCATCCTTAAATATCTCAGGAGTCAGTCTATCAGGACCTACATCCTTATGGTTTACCTTACTAGCAGATATCACTGCTGTTTCCACAGCCTTTTTGATATCATTCCAACCTGCCTACGGATGGGATTCGCTTGAATGGTCGCCTAACTGTCTTTCTAGTTGTTTCTAATATATATATATCATTAAGTAAAACCCTAAATCTAAATATGTGCCCCAGAACGAGCGACAGTCCTCCATCGGTGGCTAATGGCAATGTGATCTAGTTGCGTCCAACGTTGAGACGTCTTCGGCGGTCGCCAGGTCAAAAGATGTTTTTCCTTATGCTTAAAATTAGTGTTTGCTAGAAATAGTTGGTTATCTGAGCACAGTTGCAATATACGGTCGCTATTGTCTGTTCTCTGAGCCGCGACACCATAACACCCACCTACGTAGACGGGAATCCGTGAGTTAGGGTGAGGTGTGACATTTTTAGGGTTGACCTTTTCTAACCCTTCCTTCCTTGTGAGACGGCAGCATCGCTGCACATGCTGGTTGTCCGAGGGAAACACGTTACTGCTCTCACACTTCCCTGCAGTCAGCAGTCTGACTTCGCCCTCAGACCTTTGGTAGCTGCTTTTAGTCTCATCGTTCTTCAATCGACCTGCCTGGCATGGTAGAACCTTGAGGAACATGTGTTCTATCCAGTATAGCTCGGCTGGGTCATCACGAAAGTCAAGGTAGCAGCTACTGTCTAGCTCACAGTGGGAAACGTAATCTGTAGGTCAACTAAACGTCTCTTGGCGCGAAAACATAAATTAAACATTTCAGAAATCAGCCCCTATTCGAAGCGGGTTCTGGGGTATGACGTCCCCGAGATTCCTCCCTTTGTAATAGCGTACGTTCCTGCGGTCGACCTGCATCTTGATTGTTGTTCTCCGCTGTCGGAGAGGCCACGTGGAACGTCGATCAGCTTGTTGTCGAGCTTATTCTCATGTTCGGGCTGCCGGCAAGTCGAAAGTATCTAGCAGTATCTAGCAATGCTTTTAACCTATAAGTCACATGAATACTAAATAGGTAGAGTTTACTAGAACTCCTGAATCTTATCCGTCGGATCACTTCCAATAGTATTGATTAATGAATTCGTATATCACCGGGTATAATTTGTGAAGGATGTGGTAGGTGATCTACTAGTAGGACTATGTCCAAATACAGTGTAATTAAAAATATACAAACTAACCAAACACTGGCTTCCAATAATTCAAACTTACTTTTCCTGCATCAACTCCGTTAATAATGAATTCCAAAGGTTAAATATGGTATTTTGGGATTCACTAGTTGCATGTTATTGCATTATTAATGTAACTATCAGTTAACAGTTTGCAACAAAAACATTCATCTGTAGAGCCTGCTTTCGATTATGTTATATTGTTGATCTAAGATATTTCTGTGTTCATTATACGGTTTGTTGGATGGAGTCGCAATACGTAAAACGATGAAATGTTGTCCTTACGAAAGCAATTATTTTTGTAGTAGCCATTTACAGGATGCTAACGAGAAGAGTGAACCGGTGTACTCTACCATTAGGAATGAGTTATATAGATAACATATTTTCTGTCCAATAAAAACCACTGTACTCAATTATAGATAATCAACTCTTCCTGCTCTCCAGGCGTTAACTCACTTTTTTTTACTGCTATAAATAAAAACTTAACAGATAGGTAATTTATGATATTCAAATTACCCATGAAGTAGCAAGTTCACAAATTTCATTGCGTCGTTAATGATCATGTTAAATGTAAGTGTTCTGCTCGGTAGGCGTTAAAATATATTTGGTGAATCCACAAATGAAGGTTTTGATCAGACATCAACTTTTGAAATAGCCTGATGATGTAATACTTTGTTCGGTTTCTGACTGAATGAAACAAATAGCCAACTGTGTCATTTTTTTTAGAAGGTTTCACATTTGCTTTAAACAGCCTACATTTACAAATAGTTATATTGTTCTGAACATAGGTTTACATATATATTCAAGTGATTTGGGTAAAAGACGCGTGTCTAAACTTCCCTGAGAGTTATTCCTCAATCCATACCTCAGTTTGTATCCTACAGTTCTAAACAAAATCAATAGGTCGAATTGGATTTCAGTTGCCGCAATGAAGAATCCTCGTCAAAAGAAGCCAAGCTCAAGTCTCGTTGTAAGTCAGGGAAACAAAATGAACAATGAATCCTCTGTTATAAAGCAAGTGCCTTCTGACGTCTTTAGGGGTCACTGTTCACACTCAGATGTGGACA